TTGATCAAGCTGGGGGTGAAGGGGACGCGGCGAGCAATAAAATAAGATTTTTGTTCCGGATTCGGCACTCTTTTTCATCCTTCGCCACGTTCCTCGTTGCCAACCACCTAATTTTTTTCGCATTTTCAACTGCCGGCAGTTTTTTTTTTCTTTTTTGAAGTAAAACAAGTTTAGGATTTGTGACATTCAGAAAAATGTTTGCTACTAGAATTTTTCCCGTCAGGGAGAAATTCAAGTATACAAACATTCATCCTCAGGTTGCCTCAAACTTTTAAAAATTACGTAAATATACTAAACAGTCCTTTAATTTTACATTTTACTCATCTTCGTTTATGATTATGAACATTTCGACGGTGAAAGTCGGCAATCACATAACTCGTTTGCGGTGTCTGAAAATATCTGCCTCTACGTCCTTTTTTTAAAGGAGAGCAAATTGACATTATTTCTTGAAGTTTTTGCAGAATTTTCTTCGCATTGAGAAGAAAAATCATGACAGTTTTAAAGAATTGCCGTTGAGTAGTTTTCCATTAAAAAAATTAAGTAATACAGGAAGTCTGTGACGTCGCAAACCGCGTTATGTGATTGCCGACTTGCACCGTCGATTTGGAATACCAGTGTTATTCTCCCAAATCTATATAAACTTCCGAATTGAAATAGTCTCGTCCACACGTCTTATTTGTGCCCTCTCTCGCCAAGCGCAAAAAGGAAAAATACTTATCGCATAGGAATTTCCTCATTAAGACGTTTCTTTCAGGCCATTAAAAATAATTTTGCAATCAATTTTAAGAGTTGTAAACTCCGAGATAAGAAAAATTCAATTGCATGTCATGCTTGTTGCATCACTCATTTCTGAAGGAATTATTGGACTTGGAAAGCAAAAATCCTTTAAAATCCCTCAATGGTTTGGATTTCAATGTTTCTCCTTTTAAAGTAAATTTTTCAGCCGTAAGTAACATTTGCCTAGCATTCTACTACGGGTCACGGGCAGTCAATATAATAAAATATTTGTCTCTAACCAACTTAAATTTATTTTTGAAATGTTTTAACGGGTTTCGTCACTTTTTTCCTCCTTCTTTTTTACAATAAGGCTGTTGGGAATAAAAACGTAAAACTTTATTCCGGGAAGAATTCTCAAGACTGGACGACTTGACAACCGGAGAAATAGAAGCCCCGAAAAGACTTATTTTATGATCATTCCACTCTGGCTTTTCCTCGAGAGCAGAGGACTCGACGTCGGGATAGAAAATTGAATTGAACCGGACCGAATGAAATTAAGAGAATTGAAATTATTAAGTATCATCGAGGACACCCTTAATCCGACGCGTTGCTTACAAAGCACTGTTTTAGGTGAGGCCAGACAATGAAATGGCGTGGAAAAAATACAATTTTCTCCGGATGCGTATTACTTTCGCGACCTGCGAACGGAGAAGAATTCATAAAAATCGAGCAGAAGTTATCAGTTTTTTCCCTTTTGATCCTGTTACAGTTTATTCTTTTGTATTGTAACGACGATAACTCTCCGGCCGTTGACTTGAAACCGATCCGGAAGCTGTGTTAATTTCATCATCGAAGCGCGGAGTATGTTCTTTTGCGTTCCTCCGATCTGAAGGCGCATAGACGTATATATATCTCAATGTAACCGCAGTTGTAGATTTAAAATCACCTCTATGAGCTTTTTAATTTGAGCTCAATAAAAAACCATTATAACGTGAAAAGAGTTATTGGCACTTACTAATGACTTTACAACTTCCAGACTTTCACGGCAATTTTAGGGATTAAGGCGAAAAAACCCCGTCGCGTCAACAAACGAGATACTCATTGATGAAAAAAGGGAAAGCGTCATTTTTCTTTAACCCAGGTCAAACAATGAGGTTTAACAATGAAAAACTTTGAAATATAAGTATTAAAGTAAGATAAATTAAAATGACAGTTGTATCCGAATAGAATTGATAATCTTTAGTTATAAAAAAAATATAAAAGTATAGAGATTTAAACTTAAATTTTAATTATTAATGATTTCTTTGATTCTCTACGATTCTTAACCATTTGCATTTGCACACATATAACAGTTACTAGAACAAGATATAATATATTATATTTATTTATCTGTTTTATTTTTATATGAACTCGGACAACTTTATCACGATTACAAATCCGTACTAAAATCTCTGAACCGGATTTGAACTCTGAACAAAGATTTTACTATAACCGTCTGTTTATTTACATAGTAAAAGGCTGTAAGAAACACTTTTCGTCAAAATTCCATACGATAAAATTCGCCTGCGGTAGTTGGCTCTGTTTTAATCAGTTTGAGGAAAGCTGCCCTCGACATTTCCATCACTTGGGCACTGCTCTCATCAAAATACAAGTTCCGGTTCCGCTGAAAAATTCCTTTCATGAATTTGAAAATGCAAAGGAAAAGTGAATTCCTTGCCTCTTAACTCCGCCGGTTTCTTTCAGTCCGACATGAGAACTTAAAGCATCCCTCATTTGCCCGACCTCCCTCTTCTACCTCCTTATTTTCCGTAACATCTTGAGGAACGGACAAACAATTCTTGGTTTTCGCGAATGGGACTCAATTTTGCAGGGGTGCCAAGTCAACAATCTAAAAATTTCATACGATCTCATAATCTGTGCCCGGTGCCGGCGCGTTAGAATGTCTTCCTGGGATACCAGTGTGTAGGCATGAAGCCCAAAGAAATGCGCAGAATGCTCAAGGCTGAGGTTGAGAAGGAATAACGATAACGCCTTGTGATTGCAAATAGGTAACATTTTCTCTTCTATCCTATTTGAAGAAGAGCTTTCCGCCAATAGGCTAGAAAAGTTACATGGACCAAAGGAAATGCTCTGTGGAATTGTACGTGTAGTTACGTACTATCACTTCCGGGTGGGTTCTTTGCCTACCTCTTTACATGAAGGCGCTGTTTCCATAAGGCATGGGCTTCCATAAGGCACTATTTGCGTCAAGCTATGCATTATCGGCGCGGATGACGCAAATGCTATACTTTTGAAAACATGAAACATAGAAATATGATATATGTATCAGTATGATAACATGCTGGTAGGCAAAACCAGTATTAGCATGATATCATACTGATATCATATAAGAGAATCGGCAAATCAAAAGTTTGGTCGTTATATTTGAGGAGCTTGGAGGACAAGGCGATAAGTGCAGTTTTTGACAAAATAGAGTTATAAATGATTTCAAGTAAATCTAGTCTTAATGAATTTTCTGTGAGAAATTCGCTCCCGAATTCCAATTTTTAGGCATCAAAAAGTCAGCTTGAACTTTCTCTCCGCCATAAGGATCCATGCAATTTCGACATTTCAAACGCATATTTCTTGTCATAGCAAAAACTGCACTTATGCGCCTTGTCCTCCAGGCCCCTCAATTGAAGTTTTAACACTGGAAAAAAAACACATTGGATCTAGAGTCCAGACTCTTAAAAACATCGACAAGAAAAAATACTCTTGATTCAATCAGATTTAAGCTTAAATCAAGAACCAAGCCTCTTAATTTGAGCGGATTTCCTTTTGATTTAAGCTTAAATCTGATTGAATCAAGAGTCCTTTTTCTTGTCAATGTTTTCAAGAGTCTGGACTCAAGATCCAATGTGGTTTTTTCCAGTGAACTCTTAGGCGAATTTGATTTAAAATATCTCTTAATTATTTGTCATAAACTTCTCTCGACTGGAAATGTATATCGAGGGGATCATCCCCCATCAAATGAGGGATTTCCGAGTCGTGTGGCAACGAGCGGAGCAGCGGTGAAGGGTAGAGTCGTTTGGCGACNGGGGGGGGGGGGGGAGAGGGAGCTTCATGAACTTCTTACACTTTGTTTCGACCCCAAGAAGGCGGCGAGCTCCGACTTGAATGCGCGCACACAATGCACTCGAGTACTTATTTTCATTTGTAGAGGTTTACTCAAGGCGCACCAACCAGAATGTTTTCATGTTGACATAGAATCAGCCTTTGCTCGAGGGCCTCTTCAGCGGCCCTCCAACCGCGACCCTTGTCCCACCGCGGCCGTCCCTCGGCCCTCGGCCCTCGCTCGGGTCATATGGAACCAATTACGCCTTCGACGACAGAATACACCCGTCCAACGTCTTGGTTTTGGTTCCACGCAAAGTCATCCCTGTCTAACTCGTGATTCGGAAGTTGTTGTGACGCTTACTCACCGTGTAAAATTCGAGTACATTCGGATCACATTTTGCGATATGGAAGTGTTGTTTTTGGTTTATACGTAAAAGCACCTATCTGCATGCGGAACATCAAAGTGAGGAGGGGGAGGAGGAACAGGAGACAGAAGAAGAAAAAGAATTGGAAGAGACTAAAGAAAAGAAAGAAAAATGCAGAAATGAAGATGAAGAGGGCAACAGGAAAATACAGGAAATGGGGAAGAAAAGGAAGATGAAAAATAAGAGGAAAAGGAATTCAAAGAGAGGAAAGAGGAGGAGAAGATGACAGAGAAGGAGAAGATGACAGAGAAGGAGAAGATGACAGAGAAGGAGAAGAGGTGGAAGAAGCATTTGTCTATGTAGTAACATTAATAGCAAATACGTGGTTTCTAAAATGAACCTAGAATATTAGTTCCTAATTACAAAATGAAGTTCATGTATGAGAGTAGTATGGACATGAAGGGATCCGTTTTAAGTTGGTTCATCCACTATAGACTAGAGCGTCTACTGACATGACTGTTGTGCTCTCTGACTAGTTCACAATTATTTTAGATCTTCTGTAGAACTCCTAGGGCTCAATTTTAACGAACTCTAAAGATAACGTGCAAGATAAGATAACCCGTATTTACGATTCCTTCGCCGCGCCTTCATTTTCGAAAATATACTACGAAATGTTCAGGCTGCAGCAATAGTTATCTATTCGAATAAATGAAGGGAACTTTCATTTGATGAATAGCATATTTCTCACGGAGGAATCTGCATTGTATCGATCTATTGCTCGCCTTGCCATGTTTTACAGTAAGACCTTTTTTCTGATTTTAGGACTCTTGGACTAACCGGAATCAACCCTGCTGGAGCTGCGATTTATTTGAGGGAGAAGTGTACCCGACCGAAACATTTTGGCGAGAAGCTCTCGTCGATATGCTCGTATAACGATAACATTCTTCAGGTCTGTAACCTCCTTTTGCTTGAAAATGATCCAATTATATGTCTTGAAATGATCTGAAAAACGTTGCTTTTGCGATAATGTGATATCGAAGACCTTCTGAAGCCTCTCTTAATTGCAATTTCAACCATAGTATGAAATCTTCTTCACGAAAGTAAGGATCTGTTTAAGAAACGACTATGCATACAATTCTTGGCATTACATTCACACCCTGGTAAAAATTGGCAATAGAATCTGTGTTCCAAAATACCATAGACCTACAGCCGGCTGTAAGATTTCCAATAGCTTCCATAGCCGGCAACACAATTTCTTATAGCCTTTTATAGCCGATGGCGACTAAGCAACAGCCTGGCGATAAAGTGTATGCTAAACGTTACTAATTACGGATGCTAAGACTTAGTGAGTTTTTGGACTACCGCTCTCTTTTTGGGCAGTAGTATCTTGATTTACCTTGCGAGGAAAGCTCCGTACTTTTGAAGGATGCCTGCCATTTCGTATGACACTGTGCAATACCTCTGGTGTGAAATAGTTGCTTCAATCGCCGTGGTACGCTGCGGCGCAGCGCGGCGGGCGAGCAGCCAGCGCGAAACGCGCATCGGCGCCTTCAAACCTAACAGGGATACTTCACGCATTGCGCAATGCGTGTAGTATCCCTGTTAGGTTTGTAGGCGCCAGTGTGCCGCCGCTCCGCTTTGTGTTAGGCTTTAATAATCTCGTGGAGTCAGCGTTTTTCAACTCATGACTTTGAAATGTTTCCACACCCTGTATGGATTATTCTCATTTTAATTGATGAAAAAAAAAATATGTAGTAAAGGAAAATATAATGTGCGTTTTGTAATTATATTAAGGTGATTCCGTACAAACTTAAGGATTTACAAAGCACACAAATTTCTGCACAATTTCTCGTAGCCTTTTATAGCCCATGGCGAAAAAGCAACAGCCAGGCGATAAAGTGTAAAGCCCGGCGATAGGAACTACTGCAGGCTGTATAATTTTTTATCGCTTCGTGTAGCCCGGCCGTATGATTTTTTCCACTTTCTACAGCCAGCTACATGATTTTCTATCGCCTTCTTCAGTCGGCTATAAGAGCTCCTATGGTATTTTGAAACGCTGCTCCTATCGCCAATTTTTACCAGGGGAATCATCCACTATGCTATATTTTTCCATTATGTATACAGATAGTATAAGAGCCGATTTACAGAGAGGGCCGTCGTTAATTTTTGTTGAATTTTTTTACAAAAGATTCCTCTTTTGAGCTCCTTGTTTCGATCTGTGATGATAGTACTTGACTTATGTATTCGAAGAAACCCGTGCAAATTGAATATATTGTCAGAATTAGTTTTCAAATACTAAATTTTTGTTACAGGCTGTTGCTAACGGTGCTAAGATGGGTATTGAAGAATGTCAACATCAGTTCAGTATGAGCAGGTGGAATTGCAGCACTTTCGCGAATACCACATCGGTATTTGGCGGTGTAACAGATATAAGTGAGTAATTTTCTAGCATTTTCAATCTTAGTTCTTTTTTTCCCTCTATTTTTATGCACGCCAACATTCATACTACTCGTGTGGTTCCTGCCTGACTCTGATGAGTGAGTGATTTTTCAATGAAAAACAGAACCGCTGTAAACTAACAAAATTATATGGGAGTGAAATTACTCTCCCCTTCATCTTAGAGATTATGCAATTATAGCTAAATGAAAGTAGGGATAAGTAACTGAGTCGTTCAGATCAAAATCGACCAGACTCCAAAAATCTCAAAAATTCGTTTTATACGGCAAAATACGGTTTTCAGAGTCGACTGAACTTACTTGTCTTTTCCAAAGAAAAGATGTCGTCGTATATTAGAAAACGACTATGTCTATCGGTTTGTCTATCAATTTCAATAATCAGCCCGATGAATTTCGGGTACCGCGCACGAAGTTCTTTCCTCTATGTAGGTGCCTACAGCCTACTTACCTTCTTTTTCCATTGCAATCACCCACTTCCACCAATAGGATACTCTATTCCTTTTGTCTTCTTTGTCTATCGCTTTGTGTATGTGTATCGCTTTGTCTATCAATTTCAATAGTGAGCCCTCTGAACTTCGGATCCCACGCACGAAGTTTCTTTCCTTGTGTAGGTACCGTGGGTGCCTCTCTGTGCCCCCGTAAGAAATTCCCAGTTCCGTCCGTCCATGACCACGGTCCTGCCAACAAGACCAATCCACACAGGTCAGTCATTGCGCAGCTTTTTTGAAATCCACTCCCCCGCCCGGCCCTAACTCGCAGCACTCAATGCTACGTCACAATGGGTGCTCCCTGCTCCCATAAGAAATACATTGCAGGCACTCAATACTACGTCACTGCGCAGTAGAGTACCAAAACTCGTCCTCGGGAATGTGGTCTTGCCTGCCAAATGCTGACCAATTTTAATTCCTTCTTTCGCCTCGACAGGAAGCAGAGAAACGGCCTACGTGTTCGCGATCTCGTCGGCCGGCGTGGCCTACTCGGTGACGAAAGCGTGCTCCAAGGGGGAGCTGAACGAGTGCAGTTGCGATCACAAGGTGCACAAGCGGAAACCGCGGAGGGGCAACTGGCAGTGGGGTGGTTGCTCCGAGGACATCAATTTCGGCGAGAAGTTCAGCCGCACATTCGTCGACTCCGAGGAGAACAGCGAGTCCGCCTTCGGGCTCATGAATATTCATAACAACGAGGCCGGCAGGAGGGTAAGCAAAGCAATCCACTACCTATTTTCCCTCGATTAGTCAATTAAATCGCCCGACCTGGGCTCTCGATCATTTTCTCGCAACGACTCGGCTCACCTATCTGACGTCCTCAGGAAGAACGCCGTATGGACATTCCGGTGTTGCCGAATTTTCTGAAAAATTTATGAGCTTTTGTAAGGAATAAGCAGCTCAGGGTGGCAAAATTCCATGCAAAATAAAATCTTGAAATTTCACGTGAAATGGATTGCATTTTGCAAAAAGGAACCACTAGCATTGCAATGTTGCTAAGATTGTGCAACTTCTTTTGTCTTGAAGGAAAAACCCGATTATCCATTGATAGTTTCTATTTTACTCGCTAAAAACTGTAAATTTAGGACAAAAATTACCATCTAAATTTCATAGTTTTTCACGATTTCCGCAATTTTATTGCAAAAGATGAAGTTGCACAATCTTAGCATCATTGCAATGCTAGTGGTTCCTTTTTGCGAAATGCAATCCAAATATTTCATGAAATTTCAGAAATGTATGAAAGTTATTGAAAAATGCTGACTCCTATTCATGTTTCGCAAAATGTAAAAATTGAGACTTTCTTCTATTTTTGTGTGTTTAAGTGCGGGTTGCATACTCTAGCCCCTGAAAATATGGAATATTTTATAGCCTCGTGAAATTACATGAAATATTTCACCGAAATTTCCAATATTTCATTTCTTTCTTACGTCTCATGCCATACACTGCCTTAGCCCCTTATAGCTATGCCCAGACAGATTGTCGTTCCCTTCATGAAAGCACGTAACGACATTTCAATGTTGCCAAATTTCCTCTCGCAAATTGCATTATTATTAAGAGAATCTTGCATGGGCATATCCAATTTAAAATTTCACCGAATTTGCTTCTGGCCTCATGCGAAAATCAGAAAAAATTTTGGATAAAAATTGTAAAGGTATCCATGCGTTGTTAAACTTTCTCTGAAGAAGCACCCATCTATTTTCAAGGAAAGCTGTGATTTTTTCTTCAAATTCTCAGATATTGTGGAGTAAATCGTGAAAAAACTTTTGTAAAATATTCAAAGACAATTTCCGAAAATTGTCGAGGAAATGCAATTATTTATCCGTAGAAAAACAAAATATGAGTTTTTATACGACGTTTTTATTACGGAATTACTCGGAGCGATTCGTCAATTAAGTTTTTAAAAAGCATAAAAATAAATTCTATGTCAAGAAAAGTTGCGTAGTCAACTAAAATAAAGGCAGATTGGCAGTGGTTTTATGCTTTGCTGTGGAACTTAGTTTCATCTTCAACAAATAGGCAAAAACGTACCCTTCAAGTAGTTACCTAACCGTCCAGAATGAAGGCGAATTGACAATCTCTCCACATGCAACTTATTTCTACGTTCGAGGTTGCGCGTCGACTCGGACGTGATCCTACGAAATACTCGAACGCCTTCAATTTCGACAGATAGGCAAAAACGCTCCCGAGAAGTAGGAATAGTTACCTAACCGTTCGAAATGAAGGCGAATCGAAATCGCTCCAAGCGCAACTCATTTCCACGTTCGAGGTTGCGCGTCGACTCGAACGCCTTCATTTCTGACAGATAGGCAAAAATGCTCCCTTGAAGTAGGAATAGTTACCTAACCGTCTGAAATGAAGGCGAATCGACAATCGCTGCGAGCGCAACTCATTTCCACGTTCGAGATTGCGCGTCGAATCGAACGCCCTCAATTTCGACAGATAGGCAAAAACGCTCCCTAGAAGTAGGAATAGTTACCTAACCGTTCGAAATGAAGGCGAATCGACAATCGCTCCGATCGCAACTCATTTCCACGTTCGCTCGCTGTTGCGCGCCGACTCGAGCGTGTCTCTCATTGAGTTGGACCGTTTGATAGACAAAATGATTTTCAATTACAGATAATCAGGTCGCAAATGAAGAGGATCTGCAAGTGCCACGGGATGTCCGGTTCGTGCAATGTTCGAGTTTGCTGGCGGAAGCTGCCCACGTTCCGGGCGATCGGCGACGTCCTCATGCAGCGCTACGAGGGCGCGTCCTACGTCCGGGTCGTCGAGAGGAGGCAGAAGGACGAGGAAAAGCGGAAGAAGAGAGGCAAGAAACTCAGGGCCGCCAACCCCATCTTCAAGCAGCCCAACCGCACTGAGTTGGTGTTCCTGGACCCATCGCCCGACTATTGCGAGAGGAACGAAACGTAAGCGATATTAAACTTTCACCGATTTGCTAACACGAGGACTTGGACCGTAAATGGCTTGGAGAAAAAAAAGGAGGTGTTTGCATCTTGAGGATTGTGTACCCTGTGACGCAGGTCGGTACAACCTGGTCAGCAAAATCCGGTATTCGAAGTATGAAAAACGGACCACAACGTCCGATTTTTTGCTTAAATCAACTCATGATATATTTCAAACACTTTATGGAGAATGCATTTTTTCCATAAAATACACCATTTCCAAGGAAATCGATGATAAACGTCGCTGTACCGACCTACGTCATCAAAAAAAAATCCAAGATGCCGGAAATGCAAACACCTCCCTTTTTTTTCTCTTTACGTAAATGGACCGCTTTGAGCAGAAAACAACCAAGCCACAACAGCTATTGCCAAAAACGAGGCTTTTTAATTTATTACAAGAGAAGGTTTGTGCGGATTCCTTTAAAAAGTCGAGAGAATTTGCTTCGTGCTATACAAAATATTCACTGAAATTTGCTCAAAAATCCGCACAACCGTTTTTATATAAAAATTTGAATTGCCCAATTAAAATTGGAAATAGCTGATGTTGCCTGGTTCCTTTCTGCTTAACGCGATGCATTTATGACTAAATATTAAGACTTCTTTAAATAACTTGGAATCTCCTAAAAATAGACGGATTCAGGCAGAATCAGCTTGCCTGCATTCCAGGTCGCTTAATCTCTGCTCAGACTTGATTTTATTTACAAGGAACCAGGGCCGGATTTACCTACTTGCCGCCCATGGGCCGGCTGTATTTTGCCGCCCCTTCTCATTCGTTTTGAAACATCAATAAAAACCATCAAGTAAACGATCCGGAGGGGGAGGGGTGCATAAGGCGCGTTTACTTATGTTGGAACCATTTTTTTGCGAAAGCCCTGTCAACACTACTAGCAAAAGTTCACGGAACTTTGCACAAAAGTTAAGTTCCGTAAACCTATCTGTATATGGACAAGGCCTTCCATTTATAAGAAATGAACCAAAAAATTATAAAAGAACAAACATAAATGAGGTTTTAAAAGTTTAACTGCTGCCGCCGCGCCACGCTGACCGCACTGTGTTTGATGCAATGCGAGAAGTATTCATGCAATCTTGCAGGCGCTGTGCGTTTCACGTCGACCACTGCTGACGTACTAACTTTGACGCCATGCGTGAAGTATTCATGGAGTCTTGTAGGCGCTAATATGTGTTACATGCCGACCTCTACGCGCCGCGCCGGGGGCTTCTCCTTTCCATCTTAAGTCCTCGTCAGCATTGCCCTCTGCGCCGCGCCATTCCAGGCCAAATTGCGTGTTTGGTTTCTCTCTTAACTCGACTAATTAAAGGTGCTGTCTCTTGCATCATCGAAAGACGACAGAATTAGAACTTACTATATTCTCTGGAAATGGGAAATTTTGTCGCCTTTTCTCGTTCGTAATTTTTTTCTGAATCCAATTTTTTTCATACCTACGTTTAAAAAATTGCAAAATTTGTCGCCCCCTAAATTTTCCGCCATGGGCCGCGGCCCATGTGGCCACCCCCTAAATCCGGCCCTGCAAAGAACTAAAACGCATAACGCCTCAAAAGTATCTGGGAATGTTCCTTAAATTATACAGAAAATTTCTTCTCACATAATTTGAAGTTAGAATGATGCATGGTTTTTTGTTTAAAAAATCAAAAGAGAAAAAAAATTGGAAGGAAAAGGCAAAGCCTGATGTACCTACTTTAGGCTGGCTCTAGCTGAACACGTCCATGTGGATGGTAAAGTCGCAAAAGTGTATCTATCACAGGTGTACTTAATGTTTCTAAACCTCTGCAGTTACTTTATTTTTTTGGATAAAAAGCAACGGATTTTGTGATTCAAAATTTTCACAGATTGAGGAGCAATCAGTAAAAAGTCCAACAAATAAGTTATGTTCCTCCGTTTTCCTCAGAAAAAGATAACACATAGCGAAGGATTTGCAATATGCAAATCGTAATGCATGCATGCTCTGTGAATACTCCAAATTTCCATGCGTATAAGGAACCTTAATATGCAAGAACAATTTGGGGGAAAAATCCAATGAGCAAGAATACAATTTTTCTTAAAATCCATGAAATCAATGCGTCTTTGTGATTCTGTAACTTTAAACAAAAATATTAAAATTTCATCTACATTTTCGATATGGTGTCTACGCATGAAATTTTGACCTACATTTTAATTGAGTGTTTGATGTTGTTGCAGATTGGGCATACTAGGAACTCATGGGCGCCAGTGCGTCCAAGGAAGTCCGCGAGTGGATGGCTGCAGCATTTTATGCTGTGGCCGTGGTTACCAAACAAAAATTCGGGAAGTTGAGGAGAATTGCAATTGTAAATTTTTCTGGTGTTGTAAAGTAAAATGTGAAACATGCCACTCCAAGAAGGAGGAGCATTTTTGTAATTGATTCAATGTTTCATGTTAATCAGACTACTGTACTATATCTACTCAATAGATTAATGCATGATAATTGTTTTGTAGCAGTTAAAAGACTCCATTCGTGCTTATGCGTTTAAAAGGTTACCTGCTTTTTTAGATCACTGCATGGTCAATAATTGTGATTTTTTTTTTTTATTAGGAATTTAGAAGAAATATTCCTATCCTTTGAAACACCTATTCATATATGTGCCAAATATAGCGTAACTAGACTGAAGACATTTTTAACAAAGACGATTCTGATTACTTGTCCCTTTATTGGAGAGAAAAATTACGGCACTTTTTAATGAAGTGCAAAAACACTCACCCAGGTGAGGAAGTCATTCGATTGTAAATTCCGGAGGAAGTTTTTACATTATCAACCGAAAATGCATGATGATTTGGATAGCAGCCTTAATTGAAAATTCCCTGATTTCCACCTCCATTTTTGTAGCTTCCTATCTTTGGTGTCACAATCTCCATTAACTTTTACTCATAGTTTATTTGTAAGTAAATTTGCGGCACACTTTCATTTGATCTCAATTTTTCTTTGTTTTCCCCTTCTATTTTCTCAGCTGAAACTTGTGTGAAAGTTTTACTGACATTTTAATTTTTCAAGTTTTACAACAAATGACCAGAGCAACAATTCTTCGTCGCTGTCTTTTGTCTCCGCTCCCCTAATGAAAACTGATAAAATCATTGCGACTATCTCTTTGTGGAAGCCTACATATGATTTTGAGGCTTAAAGTGCCTTCAATTCGTCATGTAGGCAAATTAACGTACGCTGTATATTCTGCACAGTCTAACAATAAGTCTCACAATAATGGAATGTGATCCCAGAATGAGATAAAATTGACCAAGTTCAGCCTGCCACTGTCCCTGATTTCCTTGTATGTTTTATTTTTCTAACAGAAAAATTAACAACACAATGCTTTGACAATTTTTGATGAATTTTCCCTCGGTTGCACAGGATAATCTCACAAAATTTTAGGTCAAAATCTTGCTTATTAGGAGGTGCTCTAGAAGAAAAATATGACATGGCGTAAGATCGGGCGAAAAAATGAAGCTAAGATACTTGCAAAAAATCATTTCAGAGGAAAACGGTGGAGAACTTCTGTTGAACTACTATACAGTCATGTTCAGACACGGCAAATGTTGTGAAAGTTGAAATTCCACATTCTCAGACTCGAATGTGCTGATTTTAAAAGACTGTAATACCTCCAATTTCTTGAAACAAGCAAACCTACTTGACAGTGAGAATGGGGACAAAACGGTAGCGGCAGATGGTTTTACTTGATCATTGAAAATTTTCTGACAGGTATTTTAAAAGCATGAATTAATTAGCCAAATAAACTTGACTTTACTTAGAGCTAATAGAGATAGTAAGCTTGTTTTCTTTTATTTAAGTGATCAAATTCATCACCGAAAGGTGAAAAAACGAATCGAGCAAAATTTAATTTTTCTTTCTTCTTCTTTTTTCTGAGATTTATTTCTTTATTCCCGGTAGAAAAATGTAGATATTTCATTGTAAAGCTTAAAATACAATACCTACCTACTTTGTATAGATTTTTTCTATCGTTGATCTTCATGTTCACATATAGTCCTACAATTAGTACCTAAGATTGTGCAACTTAATTTCAGTATTTTTAGTGGTCACTCATTTTCACATTCGCAGAGGAGATGAGTACCGGCATCATCTTCAAAGGGGTAGTTGTTCACTATCAACTGCTCAATATTCAATGAATGAATCTTTAGGTGGTACGGCTTATTTTATGTCATTAGTAGTCTCAACACTTAACTGCATGCCTACATACTCTATAATAATTGTCATCCAGCTCCTATTAACTCATAAATTTTAAAAAGTCAAAATATCAGGAATTGTGTGAAATATCAAATTCTCAACTTACCGTAAGTTTTTTAAAGTTACAATAGGTATCTCATTACTTAAAACTTCAGGGATCAGAGTGCAGATACTGAAGAGATAAAGGCCAAGAAGTTAAACATTAAAATGTTAGTCCTGGATTTACAAGAGTTTCCACTTTGCTATTGAAGCGCTAAGTGCAAGAAGAGGACTTCTCAGCTGCAGTGTTTTAGAACATCAGTCGCTAATTTATGTCTCAAAGAAGAACATAAGAGGTGATTCTTTGGCAGCTTTTTCTGTAGAAAATCGTAGGGACATCAAGAATATGTTATAAATATTTCAATCAAATAAATGCATTCACTTTCCTTACAATGAATGTAATATTTGCTGGAATTCTGAAACACTGCATCTGAAAAGTGTCCTTCTTGTATGCAGTGACTCAATGGAGCCTGTTTTCTTAGGAGAGCTCTTCACAACAAAAATCTCTTTCTATTTTCTAAAATTATAGGCAGAAATTAAATGGAGACGCTCAGTGAATAAGTGCTTTGGTAAACTGAATTGAGTGAATTCCAGTTACAGAATCTAGTCAGTCCATAAATTTTTATCAGATAATGGACACTGTTTATTTACCCTCCTTCAAAAAATAGGCTTTACTTTTTCTAGTATCACTAATGTAATTTGCAATTTTCTGCCTCTGAATAAAATCTCACAATAAAACTTGAAAAGAAATTAATGATCGTAAGAATGAGTAAAACAGTTATACCTACTACAATGCTGGAGTTAAAAAAAAAACATATAATCTTGTTCCATGCAATTCTTGACACTTAATTACACTTTTTCCTGTCTTCGTTTGGTTTTTTCAAGTCAAGAATTTAAGTTACTAGTTGAAATTCTTACAGTTCTGCACACTTTTATGATCATTGCTCAATGAAAAATAAGAACATAGAAATATCTTTCAATTTTGATTGGCAAACGGAAAATATACTGTGATCTTTTGAGCTTGCTGGTAAATAACTTCGAAAAAGAGATAACTTAAAAAATACCTACACAACAGAACCAGATTTTAAAAATACTAATAGTTCAAATCAACACTGCCATGTAAACGTTCTGATTCAGTACCGAATAATTTACAATGTTGGTTTGTTTTCAATATGTTTTGATACTCGACTAATTTTTCTTCTATGCCAACTGCTCTTTTCGCCAACCGACATTTTTAACTCTAGCATTATCAATATTTTATCAATCCATATTAAAATTCTCCCTGCTAGAGTGAAAATTGAAAAAGCCTCACTACAATATGTACGTTTATTCTTTTATCAACAATCTTGGATGGCAGAATTATTTTGTAAAAATTTTCATCAGATTAATGGTGCAAGAATGTTGAAGAGTTCAAAGGCCATGCGCTACAATACAAAAAAACTCTACACTTGTGAGTTCCAAATCTTCTTTTTGTCACTACCACAAAGAGATAAAAATCTTTGAAAAAACTGATACCTAACGCGAGAAAGCTACAACATATCTCTGGCAGGAATAGCTTTGGACACCTTCTTTCATTTCATACGATTTTTCCTTTTCACTCTCAACTCCAAAAGTGAGAACTTAGCTTTTTTAAGGGGTTATTAGTGAACATTTGGATTTCTTTCTAAGTGTTTGAAATGTTTGAATATCTGAAAGACGTAAAAACTGCACACAAAATCGATACAAATCCTTCTTAACAAACAAATTTCTTAATTTTGTTTATACTGCCATTACAACTGATCAGAAAAATTCTTGTAAACTAGAGGAAATAGTTCGAAGCTACTTTTATTGGAAATAATAGCCCTTTTGCTTGGTCTATAGCGGTGACAAATTAAAGACTCGGGACACCATAGTGAAAAGTCACTACACGGCTTCAATTAAATATTCATGAATGATAGTGATGTCGAGGGTCACAATGTGACACATTTCAGCCTGTAAAAAGATTTGATGGTCTTGGAGCTTTTGTTTAATGCAAAAAAAATCGTAGCTTCGTCAACAGAGCGTGCAAATCCCCAAAAAGAACTCGCTCTCTTTGAAACTGAATACATGATGTCCCATATGACGATGATTTTTTGTGCTTGCGCCCTATGCTTTCTTTGATTTAGTGGGACAGTGGACTATGAATTAACTAGTTGCACTGTTTTCTCTGCAACAAATTATGCTGATCAATTTTATAAGTGTACACAGCAAAAACAGAGGATAAATTTTGACAGTTTTTTTTTTTTTTGATTTTCCTTAGAATTTAGATATTTTTCTAGTGAGCTCACCTAAATTAAATTTCTCCCTAGAACTTTCAAATATCCTCCAAGCTTAAATATACGAAGATCAGAATGGGTCAGTTGCGCTGGTCATAGAATCGTGTTTTGAAGCTTAATTCTTGTAGATTAGTTAAAAATAACAAAATCTGTCCAAACCCAAATTTGTGCGTTCAATATAAACCGAGATATTGCTCATTGAAAAGTCGGGTTTTTGACGTCATCAACCAAGGTAGCAACACCCTTGGTTTCTTCCACCTTGTTGTAATCAGTCGGTGGGACGCACATTAGCACTGGTTATTCAACTTGAAACCCAGATGAAATCAAAGTGGAAGAAACCAAGGATATCACTACCCCGGTTGTTGATGTCAAAAACCCGACTTTTCGAAGGGCGATATCTCGGTTAATACTGAACGTAGAAAGTCGCAGTTTGGACGGATCTTATTACTTTTAGCTTATCTACAAGAATCAAGTATCAAAACAGGATTCTGTGACCAGCGCAACTGACCCATTGTCCCTCATGTACTCCTTGATTTTGTACTCCTGTTACCGGAGCATGTGCTCTGATCAAATCTACTATCTCCTACTGACAGACCAAAATTTTTATACATCAGGATTGGCTAAATGCCAATTATTTCCGATAGTATAGACTTTGCTGTGATCAACCTCAAGAGGCTGAGTTCTCTTTTGTATGTCAAAGAAAGCTTTCATGTTACAAAAAAAGTCACAAAATCTTTTTCTTAAGCCTGTTAGTATGAAACAAAAAAAAAACCCTCTCCTGAAGATTTGTTTCTCTTTTCTTTCCTGTCTCTTCTCTTAATTTATTGATCATAGTCATTTGTAAATAGTTTGTACCTTTCTTTCTTTTTTTAACCTTGATAAGTATAATTTAATGTACTTTTTCACACAAAATTTCATTATGAATTCTGACGTAAAATAGATACTTTCTTATGTTTCTACCAACCTTTTGTTTCATTTTTATCTACATATGCAAAGGCAGAGTTTAAACATGGTTCATGCAGCCTCAAATAAAAACAAGTAGCAAAAGCTNGCGAACTTTTATACAAGAATCAACAGTTAAATTGCAAATTCCTCGCACATATAACATCTCCATTGGGCCAAAATGCACCGATATCAATACCTCATATGTTACTTGGTTCCTCGAAAATTCTCCTCTTGGACTTAGCCTAAAAGTGTGGACACTTTTTAGGCTCCGGCGAAACCTAGAGTCTATACGGCTTCGCCGCACGACTAAAAACCAAGCACTGCTTACAGTATTTTCCAGCACTTTTTAAACCTTTTACATGATTTTTTTTCCAAGACGTACAGCTTTGTCCGCATATCATGAGTTCAAGTTGGCAATGCTTGGTTATTTTTAAAGAATTTTCTTTCAGATGTCTTTAAAACAATCTCGTTATAGTCAAATGTTTTCTTACTTCTCTCTTCAAAAATTCTGAATGCTGAATAATAGTAAAGAGTTAAATTAAATTAAATTCAAGTAACTTCCAAAAAAACAAGCAATTTCAAGGCCTTGAAAAAAATCCAAAAGCAATCAGCTTTAAAGCATTTTTCAAGACTACGCAAACCATATTGACAACTTTACTAACAGTCAAACAAGAAAAAGATGTTTTCAATTGCAGCATTTCAAAATTTTTCCAATTGTTCATTTGACAAGAGCAGTGTTCGAAACTCACCTTTGAGTTTTAGGAGCCATGTGGCGCATCAAACCCGAATTTCAGGCGCCATTGAAGATTTTTTAGGGGCCAAATTGACTTTTAGCCTATATATTACGGCGCATTTAGTGAATAGTTAGACGCCAGATGTTTTTGTAACAGAACTAGTAAGTAGCTGTAACTTGGAGAAGACAAAAGCACAAATGATGAAATTGTGAAGAATAGAAAAAGCTTTCACTTGTGGTGCTGAAAATTTCGAATAATCACCTAATATGAAAATTCAGATTTCTAGGGGGCAATTTTTAGGGGCCACGTTGGCGCAGAGCCTTCATTTTTTAGGCACCATGGGCGATTTTTTAGGCGATTTTTTAGGCGTTTTGTTAGGCGCATTTGGCGCTTTGGTGCCTGTGAGTTTCGAACACTCTTCAAGAGCTAGAAAGTAAAATGTTTGTGAAAGAAATTTTCAGAGAATTAGACTGAGTAGCTGCCTCTGAATTGAGATAAAGAAAAATCATAGGTAAATAGCAAGCAAGGTGCAGCAGAACTGAAATTTTCTCTTTTAGACAATGGTAAAAAAAAAGTATAGATTGCAGTGGACATTACAGTGGACCACTATGAGTTTTCCCAAAATCACATGTAAAAAAAAAAAATATCTTCAAGTTTGAGAAGAGAAAAATTTTACTTTTAGTGAGGCAACAAATCACCAGACTTGTAACAAGTTGTTCTGAGAACAAATAAAAGAACACCTTACAATATTTACACTTAACCTGAAACATGAAAACAAACAAGACTACAAAGCGAGGATTTCCAATAATTATCGGATAACATAGTCATGAGGATAATCAACAATTTTGGGGAATTTCTCAATTTCTTCCTCAGAGTAGTCATACAGGCTTGGTGGGACATACCGTAAGGGCTTGATCTGATTTGTTACATTCTGCATTATCTCATCAGGCACTCGCTCATCTGCGAATAAATGCAATCTCAACATGTTGTACCGCCTTTGCAAAGTACCGTCCATCGCAATGTAAACAGCTTTTTTCATAACCTGCAAAATTAAGGGGTCACAGGAAAATAAATAGAATGGGAGGGACAAAACGACATATAAGGGTCAGACTGGCTTGATCTAACTTCACAATCTGCGTGAGGAATTTGCGATTTTTTAAGCTTCCCGCTTCAAAAAGGATACTACAGCACAGGTGAACATGATGTTAGAGGAGTCGTTCCATTCAATCCCTGCTCAACATGGCCGACGCTTCCGTGCGCAAGTTGAGGAGAGCATGGGGTCAATCAAGGCAGATATCTATCAATGCGAGAAAAATGTGAATGTGAACACACTGATTGTTATCGGGTGGTTAGAATCATCGTCCCGTCACAAGCGTTTTTGCGGATTGGCCTCGCCTATGTTGAATATTGCGTGGTATCCTTATGAGCAGGGCAGGGATTAGATGGAATGACTCCTCTAACGAAATGTTCACCTGTGCCATGGTATCGTTTTTAAAACGGGAAGCTTGAAAAAACGCACATTTCTTATGCAAATTGTGGAGTAAGGAGAGCATTTCAGACTTGGCCGTTGCGCTCATCAAGATTTTTGAGACATTTTCTATGAGTAACGACTCTTATTTTTGCTCAAGCAAAACTTTGCAACAAGCCAATTAAAGTTTCAAAGAGAAGCATTTGGTCACAAGGTCCATTCTATAGAACTTCGAGAGTGCTTTGAACTGATTATTACCATAACAGATGAATTTCGATCGTTTCTTTAACATTTGGATAAATTTTCCTGTTCACAAGTTTTGACAACTAATATTTCAGGACAAATAATCCTGGTAGAGTTAACATTGATTGGAAAAAATAATGTTCCATCCTTCATCTTTGGCAGAGTGTGTACCAAGATCCTTAAACAACTTAAATGCTGTTTTGGAACTTCCTCTCCCTAATAAGAGGAATGGACTTTTTTACAAGGTAGGACATTGAGCACTTGAGCAGTTTGTCATTAAAGTTTTATGTTGAATGTGATGGAAACGTCAAAAATGTTCTAATTCAACTCCTATTTTCATCAATCCCATTGACTGTGCACGGAATACCAGGAAATTTGGCATCCCGTCGGCTGAATTTCGGTATTATTCGATATGATGTTCTTTACAACTACCCAAGCACGATGAGCTTCTAAAATTGAACTAAGTATGTGCCATGTTGAGAAAAGCAAGAATGCAAAGTAATTTTTCAACCTTCTTACATGTGTTTTCTGCGAGATGGAAGACTGTTGCAATGTCTGTGTGGATGCTGCGTTGCCCGCTGTTGTCATTCGGAGAAGTCTTATTCTTTTCGTCTTTTTATCTACTCGACCTCCGAGAGGACAAAAGCTCTCCTTGATTAAGATATTGCAACATTTCTACAAAATTTTGATTGTAAAATACCAAATGAACACCCTGTCCTTTAACAGGACCTGGGCAACTTTGTGCTCATGTCAGTATGCTTCAATTTCTCATGTCCGCGCTTCAGGGAAAGAGAAAAATAATATAAACCGATTGCAGTGAACGCACGGGTCGTAAGACGGGATGTTGGAGTTTTTTCAGCCAGCGTGTGTAAAAAGTTCAGCTTAAAGCTGATATCTCATTACAGAGGGAAAAAGCTCACACACAAGCACAATTTTCCCCCAAAGAGCTGAACTTAAGCTTTAAGCTGAACTTTTTATGCACGTTGGCTAAAAAAACTCCAACATCCAGAATAATAATGTATACGAATACATACCATGGTAGGGTCCTTATCGTGAAGTTCCCATGCTTTTGTCCATGAAGCACCTCCTGGATAACCAGTGTGATGGAAGTATACTCGCAGCCGCCATTCATCACCGGGTAAAGCGATGTCTTTAGTGTTAATAACGACAACATGGTCTCCACATTCACCTGATTGAAAAAGTTCATTAAAAAAGGTATGAATAAAAGGTGAGGTTAAGAACTATTAAAGGGGTCACAAATCCTGGAATTAGTGATCCTTGGGATTTCCATACCGCCAAAGAAAAAAATGTACACGATTAAATTAAGTCAAACTTCACAGGGTAACTGTGTGAATGAAGCAACCAAATTAAGGGAGCTTCTGAATGAAACAAGAAAATTCAAGTTTCCCATTCAACAAATGAGGAAATTCTTTAAGTGCTAAGGTCATGGAGAAAGTAAGTTTACCTGTTCAATACCTCCTAAATTACGGTAGGTTAAGAAAATCTGTAAAAAACATTGAAAAGCCACTACTCTCAGGTCTCTATTGCCCTATAGATTTTTAAATTTGGTTTGAGGAAACTCTAGAAAAGTGGGTTTTTCTGAACCCACCTTCTCTCCGCACGGATGGGTCCAAAATTTCACGGAGCTCCATTTGCAAGTCAGCCGCTGTGTCTATTGCTTATGGCAAAAAAGGTGGTTGAAATACATGTAAAACATAAGTAAAGACTTTTTTTGAGTAGGAGAAAGCAGGATTGACCGTGTTTACTTTGATTAATGGTGGCTTTGGAATGCAGTAAATGGAAATTTTAAGCTACTTTTGGTCAACTTGTGGAGTTGTAACCTTGAATTTGGTTTCGGTGTCTGGATTGAGTTCTATTATTCGTTCTCTTGCCAAAAAAGGTGACCCTAACTGCACAAATTCAGGTTCATTCATGATAAAAAAGTTGTAAAAGCTGCATATTTTTCCAAATCATGCTTCTTTGAAGAAATTTCTTTGAGAATGGACAGGATAATTTGAATGCTTATGAAGGATTCAGTTAGCTAGTAAAAATTAACGTTGACAATTCTGTAAACTTTTGCTCAGATGCAGCTGATTTTGATATAAACACGGTCAATCCTGCTATTTCCTACTTGAGAAAAGTCTGTACTTATGTTTTACATGTATTTCAACCACCTCTAAGCCACTTTTTTGCCATAAGCAATAGACACAGCAGCTGACTTGCAAATGAAGCTCCGTGAAATTTTGGACCCGTGCGGAGAGGAGGTGGGTTCAGAAAAACCCACTTTTCTGGAGTTTTATCAAATTTAAAAATCCATAGCGAGTTAGAGACCTTAAAAGAGTGGCTTTTCAATACTTTTTACAGATTTTCTGTACCTACCTTAGTTCAGGAGAAATTGAACAAGTAAACTTACTTTCTAGACGATCCTTGTACCTCGTCTTAGGTGCTCTGCGTTTTTGTCAGAGACGAAAGACACTCCTTTGCTATCTTGGCGATGGTGGAAGCTCTTACTTTCCTGACTCCAACATTCAACTGCTGCCTTACTTACTAGGTGTACGTTGAGTAACATGTTGGGTATTTCGTTTCACAAACATACCAAAGTTTGGCAAACTTGTTTAGCTCATTACGTCACTCGAAACTCATAATCCATGAAGTAGGTAGGTCAACAGCTGAAAAAAGGGTGATGATAGTTGCTCTCTTATAATTGTCCATGAGGAAGTGTTGAATCCTCCAAAAAAAAGTGTCCGTCTATCGCTAAGAGGCCAGTGAAGGGTCTCTTGTCTCTACTTTTTGTCTAAGAAACAGACTGGCTTTATCAGGATTTCCAAATTTTCTACAGATTCCAATTTGCTGACTTTTTCTCAAATTGTTTTCTTATCCAAATTTTCAGAAATGACTGACTCTGGCCTTTGAATGAAACCTCCACTTAGATTTTTATTCTTTTAATAACACTAAATTTGTCGAAACTCTGAGCAAGATTCGATGGACGCCATATTTTGTGTCAGAACGACATGCGATATATTTCAGCAATTGGTTCCATTTTTTCAACTACTCGTCATTTTTCTCGAATTTTGAGATCGCAATTCTGTTGTTAAGAGACTAAAGAATTCATTTACCAATTTGGACAAACAAATTCAATGTAATAAATGCTTGGTTTTTTCAGAGGAAAAATATAGCTTTCGATACTGATATCGAAACTGCACTCAAATGCAATATTTTTCCTCTGAAAAAACCACGCCTTCATTGTTGGTCAAAATTGGTAAGTGAATTCTTTAGTCTACTGACAACAGAATTGCGATCTCAAAATTCAAGAAAAATGACGAGTAGCTGAAAAAGTGGAACTAATCGATGCAATATATCGCATGCCATTCTGACACAAAATATGGCGTCCATAATCACCTTAAATTATGGAAAAAGGCACTCAGCAGTCATTTTGAATGGCAGCAGCTGCCATTGATGTACCAAAAATCTGCGACTTGTAAAACTCTCTTTCTTTTCTTGTGAACTCCCTGACTTTCCAGGTTTTCGAACCTGCTCAAAAACCCTGTGTCATCTAAAGTATTAAGTTTTTAGAGAAAAATTCAAACATGGAAAAAAGAAACGATCCAAACTTCACAAATTAGAAAAAACACAAAACAATGGGTAAACAAGGAACGTGGGAGTGTCGTCAGTCTTGGCACCTGGGTATGGTCCTCTGCGCTAGAATTGACTCTATGCCTGTGTGATAACCTCGCTTTTTCTTGTTATTCCCGCAAATGGGGGTTTAAGTAAGGGTCTCTTAATTTTTGTAATTTATATTTTTTTAATTTTATCTTTGTTTCCTGGTCGAGGAGGGGGTTGAGACCATACTGAAACGTCCTAGGTTTTTATGAATCTGTTTTTAGCCTTGTTTACCCGTTGTTCTATGTTTTATCTAATTAAATTATTTGGGCTATCTGTGTACATTATCTTCTTCACAAATTAATTATCATTGACATTGTTTTTGAAAAAAATGAGACGGGAAGTTTTGCAGCACAGAGAGATATACCACCTGATTAAAGCTTCCTCACTTCGAGAATTAAATAAGTGGCAAGAACTTACTCATTGGATGGAAAATCGGTTTGTGGAGGCCTTGCAGATATTTTGCAACAGTTGGACCTGATTCGATTGGGTTTTGCCATTTTGCATCAAATAAATGCCACGTTCGAGCAAATGTATTCCATTGCTGTGAAAAAAAAAACAGAAACATAGCATGTTAGATCACTAACACAAATTAAGAAGTTCAGTATTCATTTTACTACCTTCTCTGATTAACAGTGCTCCATGTCAGAGAATACTACTTTTTATTGATTTGATTTGATTTAACTTTAATCAGGCAAGGTAACTTTAGTGGTTACCACCAAAAAAAAAAAAAAAAATTCATTACTTAAGTTCCCTGATTGTTTTCGACCGCGGTCTAGAACAATCAAACCTATTTCAAATTACTATCAAGAAATTTCTTTTTTAAGAAAGTTCCACTGATTCGGTACAACAAATACTAAAAATATGAGCTTAATTGGTAATGATGGATACCACCAAGAACATTGCTAATTACGAAAAAAACCAACATCAACACCCAATGACAAAAAATTATGTTATGCCTATAATTATATGTACTGCAAAATGTGCATTGCAACTTTTAGACAGCGTTCGTTTTTGTTTCAAAATTTCATTCAGAAAACGAGTTATGTCAAAAAAGTAAATTGCATCATTTCAATTGAGTGAGACAGGTACATTTTTCCCAAATAAATAAAATGTGTTTTCAAAATTCGATTATTGGTTGAACACTTTAGTGGCAATTCGATTTTTTCGTCTGAGAGATTGATATTGATTAATGACAGTACCTACTTTAAAAGTTAATACAATCCAGAAACCTATGCAATTATACTATTAACTTATACAAATCCAGAAAACTTATGAAGTTCATAAAATTCTTAAGTTTCACAATAACGCTCTGCCAATTTCCAGGAACACAGAAAATTTTCTAAAACATTTAAATACCTCTGAGACCTGAATTGGCCATCGCCTAGTAGAATGGAAAAATGTATGAAATATCTTCAATTTGATTTAATTTTCTGTGGTGCAATTATTGACTTTCAAGTTTTGAAAAATGAAACTGGAAATAATTGATGTTTTTAAGACAATTAACTATTTGACATAACGTTGTGTTTAATTCATAAGCTAAATTTTCAGCAAGTCATTAGCAGGTGCACTTCAAGCTAGTGAAATGACTCACAGATGCATATTTGCCATTTGCATATTTTTAGTTCACGTACACTACACAAATAAACCTTAGGCAGAGGTTGGTTAGCAATTAGCATACAATCTGTTTTATAACTATTTCCAGCAGAAACAACAAACAGGAAACATGTCATGCCTTGTTTCAAGTAAGGTTACATTCTTTAATTGCTTGCAAGGATAGCATAACCGTTGTGAGTGCAGCCACATGAGAAAGTAAACTTATCTGGACAGATAGTAAGAACTGCTGTGATTAATGCTTTATTCATGGGTCAATTTTTTTCCTCTTGAGTTTAAAGCCAAAAATTTGGGATAAGTATGAGGCGCGGCTGAAAAGTAACTCCTCCAAGCTTACAACTTGAGAACAACTAATGATTTCAGCAAAAACTAAAAATATTCTGAAGGTAGACATAGTTAACTTTCAAACGGTTTCCAGGTTTGCAAAATTGAACAATTTTTGACGTTACAGCGTTGGCAAACTTCCAACATGTTCTCTCACGCTGGTTCAAGGAGGATATTGTGGGTGACAAATATCGCTGTCAAACCCCACAGGTGCAGCAGATATTGAAATACTCGAAAGTATCAATTTCGGCAAATACTGCGAGACAATGGAACTTTCCAAAACCAGGATTCGAAGAATACGCAAAAATATCTTGTTACAACATGATGATGTGCGACCCCTCTGCAGACGTCAAACTTTGAATGCTTGGATATGGAGATCATTCCTCATCCTCCATATGGTCCTGACTTAGCGCCATGTGATTTTTGTATCTTTCCAAACCTGAAAAGAGACCTCAAAGGCACCCAATTCTTATCAGACGCCTAAGTCAAAGCCACAGTCATAAACAGAATTCAAAATCAACCGTATTCATTTTTTTTTTTTTTTGACAGGATTCAACAACTCGTTGAGGATTGGCAAAATTACGTTGAAGCATTGAACATCAAAAATCATTGTAAATCTACTTTTGGTACTCAGTGATGATCTTTGATATATTGTACTTCTTTTTGCGCATTCCTTGTTTTGTTTATAAATCAAATTTGTCCAATTTCAGGGAGACAAAGGTTGTAACTTGCCATTCGTAAATTTTTTCTTCAATATCGTGAGAGAACATGTTGAAAGTTTGCCGACACTGAGATGTCAAAAATTTCGATTTTGCAAATTGATAAACCAATAGATCGTTTTTTTTTAAAAAAAAAAAAAAATTTAAAAAGTACCAGACTGGGTCAACAGTTAAAATGAAATAAAATTTAAAACTCACTAGTCAGCGAAAATTACGAAACCGTCCGACGCGCGTTTTGACCCGTTGGATTATCAAATCATGTGTCACTCCCCCGATGATGATCCAACGGGTCGAAACGCGCGTCGGACGGTTTTGTAATTTTCGCTGACTGGTGAGTTTTAAATTTTATTTCATTTTAACAATAGAAAGGTAATTGCGTCTACTTTCAGAATATTTTTAGTTTTTGCCAAGATCTTTAGTTGTTCTTAAGTTATGAGCTTAGAGGCGTTACTTTTCAGCCTGGCCTCGTACTATGTAGATGACTCCATTTCAAAAAAAAAAAAAACTGAAAGCAAACCAAAGGCATATTATCATACTTTACCTTCACTCTCCCTAGTGCTGTCATGATTTGTGTAGAAAAATGTACAGCCGTATAGAAACTTTATCTGCAACAAAATAAAATGAGCTTCATCAACAACATGTCAAAAACGTTATGTAGCTGAGAATGAACTCTAAAAAAAGTTATGCATATTGCTAATTTTTGACAAATAACATTTCCAGTCGAAATTATTGAGGGGTTTCACTTGAACATAGAAAATACACAAGGTGGTGGTTGCTTCTCGGTGGTGGTAGTCCATTTTATGCATTACCTATTAGATTTGGTCACAGAGTGCACAACAAAAGAAATTCCTAATTTTCAAGAAAACTGTACACAATACAGCAAAATATAATACAATTTAAGAAAGGAGGCACTAAAAATGGCGTTGACTCAGCTCAAAATGACCTAGATAGATGGCTCTCAATTAGGTACATAAAAGTCCAAAAATCTCCCAAAGGAGTGGATAAAATTACTTTTCTGGAACTTCGAACTTCTGAACATCTAAACTACCTGCCTTCTTCTAGATCCTATCGGTAAAGTTTCATTCCATTTAGAGACAGTTAAGTTGTTAGAATAGTTACAAGGGTAAGCTACTCCCTGCCCATCTTTGAGCGAATGGGTGCCCTCCTTTGATTCATATGAACAGATCACGGGAAAATTCTTGGTTTAGGTACATTATAAAATCAAAGTTTGAAACTATAAAAACGGATTCCATGAAAAGGTGCCAGCTCTTTTCAATTGCCTATTTTCTCAACTAATACCATTTTCAAATGAGCTCGCGTGGGGCTCATCTCAAGCCCATAAGTTTACCCTTATTCCTCCTTTCCAACCATCCAAAAAATGCCAATGAGCTTAAATGGAAGGAATCATGAAAATAGAGAGGAGACAAGGGCTTTTTAGATAGGTAGATGTTGAATCCAAAAACTACTCTTTCCAGCTCAATTACGAGACCCTTATTTCAGATAAGTTTGCCTTTTTTAGTTTTTGTTGAAAGTAAATTACACTCAGCTTACAACAGGCACATGTTTAGTAGTACCCCGAGTCAAAAAGGTACGTATAATGATAATGCTTGGTAATTTCTCGGAAAATTCTTCAAGAGTGATTCTGATAATTATAATCGCTTGGTAAATGTTCATCCAATCATTTTACTTGCTTGATCATTCTCATAAATGAGGGGCTTAGAGGATAAGTGGGATAAGTGCAGTATTTGAAAAAATGGAGACGTTAATGACTTCAACTAGGTAAAACCAGTGTTCTATGAGAAATTCACTACTAAAATCCAGATTTTAAGCATCAAGAAGTGCATTCAAGCTTTCTCTCTGCCATGAGGCTCCATGTAATTGTAAAACTTCTAACAGTACTTCTTGAGATAGTAAAAACTGCACTTATCCCACTTGACCTCCAGATCCCTTAACTATCAGTTACTTGATTTTGCGAAAAATGAAAAAAAAAAAAAAATGATTGGGTAACTAAATAGGTAAGATCATTTGATTCTACTTCTGTATTCATAATTTGTCAATTCTTTAGTTATTTGAACATCATGACATAAAAGAAAACAGTGATGTAAAGGAAGATTTGTTCATATTTTGTTCTATAGTCATAAAAAGTATATCATGAACTATCTCAAAGACCAAAATGTTAAATGTATCTCTGTTGACAACGTTGCAGATTTTCTATCATGCTTTATTCCTTCTTTAGGAAACTAAACAACATAATTTCCAGAAAACTTCCTTGATTTTTCTTCTTCATTGGCAAACTTTTCTATTTAAGTTCAAGCTATAATACTGGCTTGTTTCTCTTTATAAAATCTAAAATAGGAGAGGAGATATTGGAACACTGCAATGGAAATGAGCAACTTTGTACCTTGGCCGTCAATATTGAAAAAATAATTTGAGTGATAAACGTTTAGGGATTAGGTTGTAGTAAAATGGGCATGCGAATCAGTGCTGGTCAAAAATTGAGTTTTTACCAGGGAAAAAAAAACAGTAGCCACATCTCTTGTATATTCAAAGAAATTAAAATTGAATTCTAATGATGAAAGTCTAGGATAATAACAGATGTATGTCACTTATCAATTGAAATTTTTGAAACTAATTAATGCAATAGTAAGTGCCAGTCCTACCAGAACCTGATTCATAGTAAACATGACGTTCTTACATTAATATTCAAACTTTAAAGTGAGTAAGGTGAAAGGGAAGCAGATAATCAAATGAAAAATCAACAGTTATAAGATACAAAATTTTATTAACACAGAACAAGATAAAATAAATTGCGCAATTTAATTTATCAGAGGAACTAAGTAACATTTCAATATGAAACAAAACAATCTCAGACAAAGAAGTTAACAGTCTAAGAGGACATCCACTCATGAACGACACAGAGTTATTAAGAGCGAATGCCTCGGCATTGAAAAAGACAGTAAAAAAATAGAAATTGAGATGAGTAAGGCGGACGACCTTTACAATACTTAGTTTAAAATCATCTCAAACTTTGTGGAAAACAATAGAAAAATGCAATTAAATGAAACTAAATTTGTTCAAGAGCTAATAAAAATCGGTTTTTTGACTGAACATCACTGATGGTAGGTGCCAGGTGCCTTCATGTACAGAATTGGAGTCTACGTTATAATCAGCACTTGAGAATTAATGGTCTCTTCTGCCTAAGAAATTTCAATAAAGAGCTCCATATTTCTTGGTTCAAAGAGAAGGGGGAGGGGGATAATTTGCGTACAGTAAATATAAAGGATGGAAATTTTTCACAAAAATTGAGAGGAACGCAAGCATGGTAAGGGAATTTCATTGGAGCGCAAAAAAATAGGACAGTGGCAAATAATGAGGTAAAAAAATACTAGAAAGAAATGAATTTACAATACAGAAATGAAAATTGAGAAAATTTAAATTAATGAAAAATAACTATAAATTATTATGAAAAGAAATTAAAGGTAAAGAAGGCTCATTTTTAAAGACTGTCAATTCATTTAAACTTGGATGATGTATTATGCACCTACGCGCTTCCCTCCTGAGTTACGTTACGTTTTAAAAAAATTGTTTCAAAATTCACCCAAATACGAGATATCAAAACATAAAACCCCCGAGAGAGAAACCTCAAAAAGATCTCCTTCTTTCTGATGATATACTTTCTTAGTCATTTTAAGACTAATGTCTTCAAGAAATGATAGTTTAATATGAAAATTCAGTACTTCACTAGACTGGCTAGGTACCTAAACTAAAGTTATTCAGCAAGAAAAAACTTATTGCCAAGTGCTAGTGCATTAGTTAGTGCATACACACAAAGAGAAAAATCTGAAGGTGCAACAATAAAAAAGGAATAAATTACTTCAGGAGAGAAACAATATTAAGAATATGAAAAGTATGCTCCGCACGAATTATCCAGTCAATGCAATAAGCAAGAGGGGTGGAAAGTCTGATAAATGCATTTAGGTTGACTCTCAAGGGGTTACAAAATTGGAGGGCTTAGATAGTAACACATCAATTCAATGAATGAAACTGAAGACATAGATGGACAATGTGATTGAAAAACTTGAGTAGGTGATTCATCGAGGAGCTTGAGAAAAATACATAGGATGAAAAAAGAAATAAAATTGATGCTACATACAATGCAGTTTAGTCGACTTCTTCAACTGTTGGGCCACCGGCGCCGGGGGCACCAGCTCCACCACCTGCTCCATGAAGTTTGCTCATGATGGGCATGCAAACTTTCTGGACTTCCTGAAGCTTATGGTCGTATTCATCCTTTTCTGCCAGACTGTTGTTGTCAAGCCACCTCAAAGTATTGTCGCACTGCTCCTTCACTGAATTCTTGTCCACTTCTGATAGTTTGGATCCTGCCTCCTCTACCGCCTGCTTCACATTGAAAATGTATGCTTCAAGTTGGTTCCTGGCATTGACTCGAGCCCGCTGTTTGTCATCTTCCTCTTTGTAGCGCTCAGCTTCATTGACCATCCTGTCGATTTCTTCCTTTGACAGCCTACCCTTGTCATTCTTGATAACGATGTTCTTCGATTTTCCGGTGCTGTTCTCCTTGGCTGCAACGTTCAATATTCCATTGGCGTCTAAATCAAATGTGACGTCAATCTTCGGCACTCCTCTTGGCGCTGGTGGAATACCAGTTAGGTCGAACGTACCGAGGAGGTTGTTGTCCTTTGTCATCGCACGCTCACCCTCATAGACTTGGATAGTTACAGCTGGTTGATTGTCTGCATAGGTGGTGAAAGTTTGTGATTGCTTGCAAGGAATCCTGGCGTTTCTCTCGATGATCTTGGTCATTACACCACCAGCCGTCTCAATACCGAGTGAGAGAGGAGCGACATCTACCAACAGCACATCTTGGATCTGAGAGCTTGTGTCGCCGCTCAAAATGGCAGCTTGAACAGCAGCACCATAAGCGACAGCTTCATCCGGATTAATCGAAAGGTTCAAAGATTTGCCGCAGAAGAAGTTTTGAAGCAATGACTGTACCTTCGGAATCCGGGTGGAGCCTCCGACCAGAACGACATCATGAATAGCGGATTTATCCATTTTAGCGTCGGTCAAAGCTTTCTCGACAGGAGCTAGAGTTGATCGAAACAGGTCAGAACAGAGCTCTTCAAACCTTGCTCGGGATACTTTGGTGTAGAAATCAACTCCGTCGAAGAGAGCATCAATTTCGATACTTGCTTCTGTGCTGGAGGATAGAGTACGCTTGGCTCGTTCGGCTGCAGTCCTCAATCGACGGAGTGCTCTGGGGTTTGTTTTGAGATCCTTCTTGTACTTTCGCTTGAATTCATCTGCCAGATGGTTGACAAGGCGATTGTCAAAGTCTTCACCACCAAGATGGGTATCACCAGCAGTTGACTTCACTTCGAACAAGGAACCTTCATCAATTGTCAAAATGGAAACATCGAAGGTGCCACCACCCAAATCAAAAATTAAGACATTCCTTTCACCTTTTAAGTTTTTGTCCAGACCATATGCTAGAGCGGCAGCAGTGGGTTCATTGATGATTCGCAAAACATTCAGCCCTGCGATAGCTCCTGCGTCTTTGGTTGCTTGTCTTTGCGAGTCGTTGAAGTATGCAGGGACGGTGATGACTGCATCTCGAACTTTGTCACCGAGGAAGGCTTCCGCAGTCTCCTTCATTTTGGTCAGGACCATTGAACTGACTTCTTCAGGGGCAAATTTCTTGACTTCCCCTTTGTATTCGACTTGGATTTTGGGTTTGCCACAGTCGTTGATCACTGTGAAAGGCCAATGTTTCATGTCTGCTTGGATTTTTGGGTCATCAAATTTTCTGCCGATGAGACGTTTAGCATCAAAAACAGAGTTCTTTGGGTTCATAGCAACTTGATTTTTGGCAGCATCTCCGATCAATCTTTCAGTGTCGGTAAAGGCAACATAGCTAGGAGTCGTTCTGTTACCTTGGTCGTTGGCAATAATTTCAACTTTGCCCTGCTGCCAGACACCAACGCAGCTGTAGGTGGTTCCCAAATCGATTCCAATTGCCGGGGTTTTCATTTTGAAGTTGTTAAAAAGTTCACAGTCACTGAAATACTAGAGCACAAATTATTTGCGGTGATTGATACGGCACAAAAACTCCGCAAATTGCACTGACGTTCACGATGTAAAAAACTGTTGAAAAGATAAAATTCGCACTAGTAAAATAATCGCAGAATAAACGCTTAGAAGATCGCTTTGAGAAAAACTTCACTTGACACACGGTATGATCGTTTTCGAATCTTCAACTGATGGCGCAATAACGGCGCGGCTAGTATTTATAGCCGCGGTCGATGCCCGCGAAGCTTCGAGATTCTTCTGGATGTTTCACCCATTCAAAAGCGGGAGCGCAATCTGACGGAGCGCTGTGATTGGCTGCGCGCCGCGACCCACAAGCCGTTGCCATAGCGACAGCTGTGGCGCGTACTATTGTTGCATACGAGTGAACGGTGCCGGTTGTAACGCCGACCGCTTTCTAGAGACATCTCGTTCGATCGCGTACCTTCCCTCCGATTGCACGGGGAATATTCTAGAAAAGATGAGCCAACGGTGAAAAATGTTGCGACGATGGCTAACCAATGTTCTGGTGCGGTAGATCCAGGTTCGAACTGATACCGAGGGAGCGATATTGCCGCTTCGTGGCTTCATAAGGATGTTGCGAGGGGCTAACCTTGGAGAAAAGCTCGAGCACATGTTCTAGATATGCAGATAACAGATAACGTGCTTGATTAGACCTGCAGTAATTCAGTGTTGTCAGTTTTTAAATTAGAATTCACCAAATTCCGGCACATGAATCGTAATTGAACCTCAGAAAAGACACTAAATCCTGTTTATGTATGGGACATTGCACTACACTGGTGCATATTTTTGGGGCTTAGGTACCAAGAGCTAAAAATTTAGGGACTGAAAATTTTCAAAACTTCTTTTCTCAACTTTCACTAAGAAAAAGGGACAAATAAGAGCTTTGTGGTGCTTCGAAAATTGCATGATTGTTTTCGTGCAGTGAAAAAGCATGAAAAGCTAACCAAACAGTTTCTACCATGACTCCCAGGAAAATGATATTAAATTTTCGTTTCTTGGTTTCCTATAATTTCACTGTGAAAACAAGAAGAAGTTGCACAATCATCGCAACACTGGAATGCTTCCGGATCATTTTTGCAAAATACGTACAATGTAGATATATTTAAAAGAAAGAGAGGAAAAAAAAAATGTACGAAAGAGTGTAGCAAAAATGGACTGCATTTTGCAATTTGGACCTATAAATTCTGGCTCATCTGAAAAAACACTTATGTGCATAGGGAAACATATGGTACATACGTTGTTTTCTAATCGGGCCGGAATTTATAGGTCCAAATTGCAAAATGCAGTCCAAATGTACGTTAAGGATAATGAAAGAGCTTGATAGAAACAATTCGTCACCTTTTGGGCCAAAGTATCACAAGCTTGCGACGTTTAAAAATATCCGCCGACATTGTGCTTTTTAACAAAGAAACTGTTGGTTAAATCTATTTGAAAACACTGACATTTGTTGGCAGCATAAAGAAAATTCAGTGAAATTTTCGGACAGCTTCGTTGAAAAACTTCTCTGTAAAAAATTAACATGGCGGCGGAAAACGTCGCATGGCGCTCATGATACTTTGGCTGGATGGTGAAAAATTACTTTTTTCAAATTTTCTGCTGCCCATTAGACTACGGAATGAAAAACTTCACGTATCGAAAAAATGTGTTAAAACACGGTGCTGCAAGGCTCCTCGTCAAATTTATACGTCGGGTTGCGATTTGGCACGAAATCTAAATTGACTCGTTGATAAGTGTGACTCACCTTTTGTTCAAAATTCCAAGGAGTGCCCGCGGGCCCTCACAAGTGCCTAATCGCGATTATTTGCCGATGCATTAGGGTTCTCGCTGTTGTTCGCTGATTTTAATGTTTCAGCGGGCACTCTGAGTTTCACGCGACATCGCGGATATTCGAAGTTCTCTGCGTTACTCGCGGATATTTGAGGTTTCGATCCGATACTCCCCGACATTCGAGGCTTTGATAATATGTTCGCGGCTATTCGAGGGTTTTCTCCGTAAATCGTGGACATTCGAGGCTTTTCTCCAAAATTGGCGGTTTTACGAGGCTTTTACAATATGTTAATCGCGGATATTCGGGTGATTTTCCGTTACTCGTAAAAATTCAAATATTTCTTCTGTACTCGCGTAGATGTGAGGCTTCTCTCCGTTACTCGCGGATATTCGAGATTTTGATCCGATACTCACGGACATTCGAGGCTTTTCTCCGTAACTCGTGGACATTCGCGGCTTCGCTCCGAAACTGTCGGTTTCACGAGGCTTTTCTCTATGTTAATCGCGGATATTCGAGTATTTTTTCGTAACTCGCAGATATTCGAATATTTCTTCTTTACTCGCGTTGATTTGAGGCTTCTCTCTGTTATTCGCGGATATTCGAGACTTTTCTCAGTTATTCGCGGATATTCGAGACTTTTCTAAGTTACTCGCGGATATTCGAGGCTTTTCTCAATTACTAGCTGACTTTGTAGGCTCTGCATTGTTACTTGCGGATATTCGACGCTTCTCTCAATTACTCGCGGATATCCGAGGCCTACCTCCGTTACTCGCATATTTTCGGGAAAACGTGGTTTTTTCGTTGTTTCAAAGACACTGGAGTTTGGGCGAGGTCTTGCTATTTTCGCATTTTTTTACAATTGGACTAAGCTCGTTAGTACTCTGGTGCGATTGCAATTTCCCGTGGATATTCGAGGTTTTACACGCGTCAGCAATTCGCCAATTTTCGTGGTTTCACAAGGATTCGCATGATATTTTGGTTATTCACAATTGGATCGCATTTAGCAAAAAGGAACCAGCGTGATTACAGTGTTGTAAAAATGTTGCTTCTTCATAATTATCCAGAAAAAATCTCCCAGAATGCCTAATAATTTTTTCTGTCCACCAAGAAATTGTTAATTTTAAAGAAACACAACTGTGTTTTGAATACTGTGCATATATTAAGTATTTTTAAAATAAAATAAGAAGTTGCACAATTTTGAAAACACTATGATCACGCTGGTTCCTTTTTGCTAAATGCGATCCAATTCAAATGTGTGCAATTTTACAAATTAATCTGATTAAACAGGACTGAAAGCTTTTCATTCCCGTGGAAACTTTCGTGGAGGCTGCAGCTCGACACCCTCCTCGCCCTCCCAGTTCCACCCAAGGCCTTCCCTGTCCGTCGCTATCTTGTCGAGCCGTATCCGCGGCAGATGGAAAATTTCTCATCCCAGGTGAATGAAATAAAATTAGTAACGATGATGATCCGAAGTTCACGGATTCGGATTTGGCATCCGTCGGTCTTGTTCGCGTTCGTGGGCGGTTGTCGTTTCGAGTAGGCCGCCCGGTCCAGGTCGAGCGTTCGTTCACTCGCTCCACCGACCTTGGTCAAGTTCGTCATTTGACCAAAAAGGAGACGAGACCGACCCCGCAACGGGTTAGTCACGAGCGAAAATATTCTCGCGCTCCTTCACATTTTCCCCCGACTACGTCGACGTCAACCGCCTCGGAAAATTCGTCGCCGCTCTGACGTAACGGCATATCTCAATTTACACGTGAGCCCCAGAATGAATGGATTTATATGTAGGACAGGGATTACGTGAAAATCGAGATACGCCCGTACGCCAGAGAGGCGACGAATTGCGCCATCCATACAGAAACGCCCGAGTTCCGCTTTTGAGAAGGTAAGCCTCGCGCGACCGTGTTCCCGCGCGGTTGTAAAATTTCGTGAAATTCACCTTTATCAGGATGACAGGTTTCCTTGGATTTCAAAATTCCTTGAGTTCTCAGGGTTTTTGAGTACTCAGGGTTTTTCAGGATAGTCGAATATTTCTTCATTATTCGCGTAGATTTGGGGCTTTCCTCCGTTACTCGCGGATATTCGAGACTTCTCTCAGTTACTCGCGGATATTCGAAACTCCTCTCAGTTACTTGCGGATATTCGAGACTTTTCCTCATTACTCGCGGATATTCGAGGCTTTCATCCAATACTCGCGGATATTCGAGGCTTTCATCCAATACTCGCGAATATTCAAGACTTCTCTCAGTTACTTGCAGATATTCCAGACTTTTCCCCCATTACTCGCGGATATTCGAGGCTTTGATCCAATACTCGCGGATATTCGAGACTTCTCTCAGTTACTCGCGGATATTCGAGACTTCTCTCAGTTACTTGCGGATATTCGAGACTTTTCCCCATTACTCGTGGACATTCGAGGCTTTGCTCCAAAACTGGCGGTTTTACGAGGCTTTCCTCTTTGTTACTCACAGATATTCGAGTATTTTTTCGTTACTCGCAGATATTCGAATGTTTCTTCATTACTCGCGTAAATTTGGGGCTTTCCTCCGTTGCTCGCGGATATCCGAGACTTCTCCCAGTTATTCGCGGATGTTCGAGACTTTTCCCCATTACTAGCGGATATTTGAGGCTTTTCTCAATTATTAGCTGTCTTTGAACATTACATTCCCGGACTCTTTATTTTCCTGCATGATTTTTAATGGAATTTCTATTCACAAAAAGAATTTTGTGCCGTCTTGTGAAATTGAGAAAATGAATGTTCTGGCTGGAGGAAAAAAATTCAAGGCTCCACAGCAAAATACTTTTATCTTTCCCTGTCTTTTCAGGGTTGAACAAAATTCTTTAACTTTTCAAAACCTTGTCACCCTGTTTTTAGATTTTTATGGAATAGGTGACTGTACATAGGACAGAGAGACTGAGTCTAATTACACCACCTTGTCAAAATTTTCGGTAAAGCGATTTTTTTTAGATTGCCTCAAAAATACAGATTTAGTTTCAGTGGAAAACCCTCTCAAGTGTCCTAAAAAATGAGTAGCATGCAATTCAGTGGGCTTGCCAAGGTTGCCAGGTTGTGCGCTTAGATGTAGATATTTTACTTGAGTTTGAATTGGGAAAGTGCTAATTATTCAGCACCATCTGGCAACAAAGAGGCATGCAAAAAGGTCCTATCTAGGGGATCTGCAGACAGCGGAATTACGGAGATGATTGTTAAAAAGTGAAATTGAAAGTGAAACCAAGGGAGTTCATGGACCTGGCAACGTGAGTACATCAAATCTAAGATGGAGTTAAAACAGCCTAGAGTTTCAATATGAAAAAAAAGGAGAAAAAAGTAATGTACTTCCTTTGGATAATATACTAAAAGATACCTAATAAATAAATACATGAAATAATCTTCACTTATCAGATCATGAAGAGAGGAATGACTAATGACAGCACGCATTAAGGAACTGAGAGTTGAGAACTTACTGGAATCTGCCTTTCTCAATCCCTCACAGAGAAAATCCAGGTGCAGTTATGAATCTCTACTACGATCTCCAGCCTCTATTCTAACCTCAGACAGCATGACAAATATCTAGAATAGGTGAAAGCAGATATTGATCATACCAATTACAATTGACATGCACACATAAGAATTTTATAAAGATTTATGGATTAATTCAGAGAGAAACTGACAATCAATTACTCTTTATGTGGTTTGTAAGTCAGAGTTTCACAACTTTACTCTGTTAATTTCATGCAAATGAAGTTACAATATTTATCACTTTGGCTTCTTCCGAATTGTGACCGAGGATTTTGAGGAATGAAAGTAACCCAAAGAAGCAAACTAAACTTGGAAACATTTATGAGACAGAAATGTATAGTTTTGAGAGGAAATCATACGATGAAATTTCAACCTAAAGGACCCCGCACACCTCTTATGGGAAGCTGCACCATGACCGATTGCCTTCTGACTAATGTCATTTGATTCTCCTCAGGATGCTGATCAAAAGTTATAATTGCGCCAACTTTCTACGATGCACCATTTTCGCAAAAAACCTGAGAGAAGATCCAATTATTCAGCAACAATTAATAAAAGCTAACAAAGCATTTGAGAACAGGCCCGATGTAAATAAGGAAAAAACGTAACGCGTGTCCGTCTTCTTATCTATACCTGCCGACTCTGGGGCTATCTCCCTCCCGCTCTCGTCCGGTTGACGTTCCATCTTTCCTGTTCTTATGCTCCTCAAGAATCTTATTTGGATGGTCGAGCAAAACAGCGTGCGGAATCCGAGATAAGACTGCCGGTCGGTGCGGGAGTTCCCCTGATTTGTTCACTCGAGTACTGAAATGAGGAATCTTTCTGGCTTTTTATCGCCAAATAATTAAATCTTCTATTAGGTTTTTTACGAAAACGTTGCATCGTAGAAAGTTGGCGCAATTATAACTTTTGATCAGCATCTTGAGGAGAATCGAATGACATAAGTCAGAAGGCAATCGGTCATGGTGCAGCTTCCCATAAGAGGTGTGCGGGGTCCTTTAAACACTGACAGTGCTATAGCCACTTGCCAATAGAAAATCAGGAACAAATCCTAAATTACGTAACAAGATGTACACAAAGATGTAGGAATCAGATTTCAAAATTTAACCATTGCCCTGAGTTTAATAATTTTGCCAATTTTTAAAGACAAAACACCATTTCACAGTGGTGTTTTAACACTAAAAAAAGTATGAACAAACCCTAATCTTCGTCTTTCAACACGACGCTGATGGAAGAATAAAATTTTCATTTCAAACTAAAATGAACTGCTTTCATGGATTAAACTTTAACAACTTGCAGCTGAGAACAACGGACAAGATCCACAAATTCGAATCCATGAGATCCGTTAACCAAAATCTGAACGTCTTCTCGCCACCAGCTCTGTTTGGCATCTTCCGCTGGCTGTAGACACAAGAGACACTCCTCAAATTCTGTACCTGTAAAGCGAATTGGACTGAGTTAAGCAGAAAGGAACCAACCCACATTTTGGAAATAATTGAGTTATGAATGGTTTTGAACTCAACCACTGCTCTACTTTCTATCGCCAAAAATTCAAAGTTTTTGTTGGAGCATATTTTGCAGAAATTGAACTAGAAGTTTATCTTTTACATTGAGTCTTATGCAGGAGCCAAACTTCAAACCTCTTTTCCTCGGTTCGATCCCGATGTGGCTTGGTTCCTTTCTGTTTAACTCCGTCCAATTAATCCTGCAAATTAAATAACCTACTCCACCTTCATTCATGGTATGAACTGCCTGTTCACTCAGTCATCAGGCCGGCCCCTTGGAAGGATTCAGTGATATTTAACTCATGTGATCATTTTGGATAGCTAGCCCTCAAATGGATAGCTTTATCAAACGTTGATGCTCTTAATAAATTACATACCATTGATTACAAAATGACAAAATTAAAGGCGTTGATTAGAATGGGTCTTACCCTTGATGTTGGAGACGGCTTACATTGTCCAATATCCACTGCAATTGAGGGTGACGCACGTCAAAATCAAAGAGAGTGTCTTCAAGGATGAGATCTAGTATTTAAATTTAAAGAGACATGTCAGAAAAATCAACTAAATAGCTTGATAAAATAAAAATTTAAGCACAGGCCATGCGGGCACAATAACGCAAAACCCAAACATTGCTTTGCTTACCGAAAGAGCAGCATTCATCTACTGCAGAAAAACGTTGCAGATTTTTCATGCATCAATCATCAAATGTTTGAGGTTAAACGGTGACGTTAGTGCTTTGCACTGAATTTTGGACCCTTGACTCTCTCAATAATTGTGAATTTCCTCCTCAAAATCAGTGTTACAAAGTAATTAAGTGCGCGTAAGTGTGTTGAGTTTCATATAGATTGTGGTCTAATCACCCGAGGTTTAAATTTTGAACTTGAACTTCAAAATTCGTGTCGGAGCCCGTGCTCGATAAAACGTACCGCACCTCCACCCTACACCATGTTTGATTTTTGACTATAAGTGAATTCTCTCACCTTCGTCCATTAATTTTATTAACGTGTACTCGCTCTCGACCAGTGTTTGATTTCCTGTCAATAAGTTCTGTTATAATGAAAAACTGATCGTGACTGACCAGTGAGTTACATTCATTAACTTGTGGTGTGCAGTGTGTGTTCATTGGAACAATCCTCTACTTTTGTGGCTTATTTGCCCGTTGAGTAATCGTTAATCATGAAAAGGAGTCGTCATCGAGAGTCTCCCCCTGCTAGAAGTAAGAGATCCCGCTCCAGGGTCCGTCGACACTATGATGACAGTTCTGATGAGCGAGTGACCCCTGATAGGGCGCGTCGACGGTCAAGCCGAGGTCGCTCAACAAGCCCTCGAAGGTACTCACCAGACCGAGATGATTACCGTCGTGATGCTGAAAAGTCCTACCCCAGTTACAAAGTGTTGTGTGTCAGCGCGCTACATCCGAAAGCCAGTGATGAAGTGGTTAAAGAAACTCTGTATCATGAATATAAAAAGTACGGTGACTTCAACATCAGAATATCCGACGAACTCGGCGAAAGAGTGGCGTACATCTGTTTCAGACATCCTGAAGATGCACGAGATGCTAGACACAGTAAACCAAGAGTCGTTCTCTACGAAAAGGTGGCAATTGTTGAACCTGTCTACGAGAGAGCCCGAAGTCCACGACGTTCCCGCAGTTTGACACCTGAATATGATGCTCATCTACGCCGCTCTCCACCTCCTGATAGCAGGTATCTTTTGCCTCCTGAAAGCATTTATGGGAGAGGTTATATTGCTCCTGTTCCTATTCCACACCGTGATCCTTTGAGAAGAGATGCGCCTCCAATGATCCATGACTTCTATGCTCGTGGTCCTCCCCTCCACCCACTTCATCCTCACCCATTACCTCACCACTTACCTCCAGCCATGCACTCTGCCTATGGTCCACCCCGCCACATGATGTTTCCCCGCTTTAAGCCTCCCCACGAATACCGCAAATCAGAGAAGAAGGAAAAGTTCCCGAATTACTTACACCACATACCCCCTGAAGATGACCCTCTAGCCACCCGAACCCTTTTTGTCGGCAATTTAGAAGTGAGTATCCATGATGATGAATTACATAAAATTTTCTCACGGTATGGAGTTGTTGAAGACATAGATATCAAGAAACCTCCACCAGGCACTGGGAATGCATTTGCGTTCGTTAGGTTTCAAAATTTGGACATGGCTCATGCTGCCAAAGTCGAACTGTCAGGACAGTATATCGGGAAGTTCCAGTGTAAAATCGGCTACGGCAAAGCTCTACCTTCAGTCAAGATTTGGGTCGGTGGACTTGGGTCATGGACATCAATTTCGCAATTAGAAAGAGAATTCGATAGATTCGGAGCTATTCAAAAAATTGAATATGTGAAAGGAGATACCCAGGCTTACATACTGTACAATTCCATCGATGCAGCAACCGCAGCAGTCAAGGAAATGCGAGGATTTCCACTCGGTGGACCTGAGCATAAACTGAGAATTGACTTTGCAGACGTTACCTCTGCCGGAGGAAAGAGTAAATCATTCTCACGGAAAGATCCAGCATCCTCAGCAGGAGACTTCAGAGCTCGAGATGATATACCTGGTTTTGATGCGGCTTATGATGCCTGGGGTGACTCCGACCTCCCGAGCCCACGTTCTTATCGGAACAAAGGAAGAGACAGTTACTCTCGACTTCCACCTGGTGAGTATGATGATGACTGGCCTAGTAGATCTCACGACTATGATTCTCATAGAGGAATCAAAGGTGATAAATCACCCAGACGCCATTCTGGAAACAACAGTGATTCTGACTCTGAGCTACGGCGTGCCAATGGGATCCTTGGTGCAGCAAAAACTCTTGCAGATCTTGCCTGGCAGTCAACAAGCACCTGGTCAGGAGGTATTGTTCTCAAGAATTCTCTTATCCCCCTGAAATTTTACCTAACAGATGGTGATGCTAGTTTGATTGATTCTCTAATGAAGAACGAAGAGGGTAAACATATCTTGCGCATTACTCAAAGATTGAGATTGGATCAACCAAAACTAGAGGATGTGTCAAAGCGCATAGCATCCTCCAGCTCTTATGCAATATTCCTTGGTTTATCGAGTCCCAACACGTCTATCAAAAGCGAGGATGTTTCAATGCCTTTACATTCTTTCAAGTATTTGATGTCATATTTGAAGCAGAAAGATGCTGCTGGCGTGATTTCACTAATTACCAAGGACTCAGAAGTCACAGGAGTACTTTATGTCTTTCCACCTTGCTCATTCTCAACTGAATTATTGAAACGAACAGCTCACAGTGTAACGGAGGATGCACTTAAGGAAGATCATGTGATGGTTGTTGTTCTTAATTGCACACCTCCGTAAATTTCATTTTAAATTGCCGATGTAAATATCAGCCTCCATTATAAATTTTCACTTGTGTACTGGTTTGTCAGTCTGCGTAGGATTCCTCTGTTCATACTTTGATTAGATGAAAGTGTAACTAGAAAATTTTTAAGTGAGACACTAGTCGACGTAAAAAAAACTCGAGTCCAATGAAGTGGAGGTATCATTATGCATTCGATTATTCCCTAATCTATACGTCTTTTTGTTAGAGAACATTCACTTGATAGAGTAGCAACAACCCTCCTAGGATCATGAGTGGAATGCATTAAAAACCTAACATAGCAGAAAGGAAGAGAGAGGTTTTAAAAGTTAAGCAGTTTTTTTACATGAGCGATCCTTATATTTGAGTTGTATTATTTACTTTAATCCAGAAATAGCATATTTTACTATGTACAGTTATTGGTGGACCACATTTCTCTATCTTTGACTATGCTTATGAGTTCTCAGTTGCTCAGTGACTAACTTTATTTTATCAATGACTAAACCTGATCTGGAAAGTTTTTCTACTACTGAACAACCTTTCAATTTTGATTTACTTTACTCTTACGGATCACTCCGATTCCATTGCTTGACTTACTCTTTAATTTTGTCTATCTTTTTAGGCAGTTTTATTTTTCTGAAAAAATCTCCCCCCTCATCATTTATTCTTTTTATCATACTTGTTTATGTCCTAATTCCCATAGATGAGTGTTATTTTTCCATAAGGCTGACAAAGAAGCTTTCATTAATATTCTTTCCTGCCTCTCCACTAAGAGTTGCTTTACTTTTTCACTGTAATTAGTCTTTGTATAATTTTTATCTTTCTTTGCCATCTCCATATTTTAAAAATACCAATTTTAATCTCTCAAAACCGCGAGATGATGAAATTGAGCGAGTGCGAACTTCTAGTGTACTTTTTTAAGGTTTTGTGGGAAGCTCTCGGAATTCAAAACCCCATTCAACTCTCAGAGATGTAATTTTGTACTTACTGAGAATTGGAAGTCATCAGTTGAAAAACCTGTTATTTCTGGCCTTACGCAACGAAAAAATAATTTGAATAATATTAAACAAGAAATTTATTCAAGACTTTTCATCTAGTCAATTAAAATTATTGAAAATGCTAAATTTTGTAAAATTTCCCGCTCGAATACTCGTGACTGCTGCGCAGAGTAACCCTCTTGCACTATAGTCAACTTTCAAAATTGCGCATGAATATGAATAATTGTATCACTCTGAGACTGCAGCGCAATAAAATATTGACAGTCTAAAGATCCATTCTTTTGTTGGCTGTAAGTAGAGGTGAAATTCATTTAGTTTCTCTTTAAAATTCCATCAGTGGAATCTCATTACTTGAAAGAGAAACTAAATTAATTTGACTTCTATTTACAGTCAAAAAAAGAATAGATTTTTAAAGTGTCAGCATTTTTTCAAACCATTTTTGGCTTATTAATTTTTTAGGCAAAAATCTGATCGCCTTTCATGGATTGAGAAGTTAAGTGACGTTTTTATGATTTTTTGAAAAGTGCATCATAGTTGAATATTAAGTGCAAGCTTATTATGACATAACTCAACTTTAATCTCGAACATCTGTGCTGCAAAAAGGCTCTAGCGTCAAATTTTGCACTGGGCATCCCCTGAAGCGATTAAGTAAAAGCTTGATCTTAAGAAATATCACTCAACTTATCCATCTGGAATACCCTTCAATTGCGACGAACATCCTCTCATCATTTTCCCTTCTGGTCAATGGGCACATTGCTATAAAATATTCCAAGAGCTTTCCAAGTTAGATTTATATTATTTCAAATTAACATCTTTAATATTTATAGGATCTCTCCTAGTTTGGAATTAGGTAATTTTCCTAATTTTACTTCTTTTTTTTTTCTTTTCTTTTTTTTGTTACAAGTGCTTTCCTTATTTAAGCTTTTAATTTTTTTTTTTTTTTTCCAAATCATCATTATTATTTTACTGCTTTCCTTGCTAACAATATTCTAATTTTATGAAGGTTGCAGTTCTTAGACTCACTTTTAATTGTTTTGAATTATGTATTTTCAGCATTATCTATTTCAATTAATTTTTATCAACTCTCTTTGCACTATTCTCCCGTACCATCCCCTGTTTTATTATGTCGCATCTAATTTCAGTGAAATAGTTATTTTTTACCCTGCCTCCTTGATAGAAGTGCGTGTATTTGATATTGGGGAACAGAAATTTTTCTCTTGTGCTCTAGTGGAGTGATTTTTCCTTCCGAACAATTCATTCGTTCTCCCCATTAACACATACAAGCATCACCTGTGGGTGGCTCAATTTATTTCCATCTATTCTCGCTCAATTTTACCCCAGGAAATCTTGAATTGTCAGCTTCTTTTTAGTGTTGTACCTATCTGTGGAAAACCTGTGTCATCAAACCAACCTGCAATGTTTTTTTTTTTAAAGTCTCTGCTATTTTTCGCGAATGTTCCAATAGCTGTTCAATAATAAAGTCATGGTTGAAAATTACCCGTGTCGTTAATTTTTCATCTCATCTGATCAGATCTTGTTTTGTGGAATAAAATTGAAATTAGAATGAAGGAGACTCAATGTGTCGCGATTTTGTGCTAAGTTCAACCGAGTGACAAGTTTTGCTAACAATGATATGTTATGTTGTGTAGTGCGAACACCTCTGAATCGTGTAAGCTGCCTCAAATTTTAGCCCATTGGCTTCCCATTTGAGTGTATATTCCGAAGACAAATACACTATTGTTTAATAGTATATGATGGCTGTACTAATGTATTAAATTTGTGGAAATTTTATGGAGATAGAGGTAATCATTTGCCTTGCAAATCACCCAAATATTCGAAAAAATCGCCTCTCTTTATTCTAAACGTCAGGCTGAAGCATTTGAGAACTAACTCTTATGACGTTTATTGACCTCATAGATCCCAATGATAACTTTTCATCTCTCAGTGATTACTGTGAATTTATTTTCTGTGCCGTTACATAAAATCGCTCAATTGGAGTCTGCATTTGCTGAACCTCTAAATTTCCTAGTTAAATAGAATTTATCCAATCGTGACTATCACATTTAATTCTTCCAGTTTTTGGACTGCCAGCCTAAAGAAAGTGCCGAAACTATCATATTCAGCTGGCTTTCCATTGAGATTCTATCATAATACATTTCCTCTTGAATATCACTTTTACTAAAATTTTCAGTCACATAAAACAAAGTGAGGTGCTGTGGAATGAACTACTAAGCATGAAAACACCAGTCGGTTTTGTAAAATTGAAGACAAGTTTTTTGTGGAGTGTAATGCTCTGTTTCTGAAAGTATTCAGAACACATCACAGATGTTCGGATTTGATTAGATATGAGAATAAGTGCGATCACTGCTGCCTAAAAATAGAGTGAGCTCTGTTCACATATGTCCGCCTGTCGAGCAGATGATTTCATTGAGTTCAGTTTTAGTGGAAGGATATTATTATGTTTGGTGATGTGTGTTTGTGCCTTGCAAAACAATGTTAACAATGTGCCTAAATAAGCCACTAGACGAAGTCTGAGCTAGAAACACCCGTACCATGTTCTCTCTTCAAAAACTTACACAGAACTAGAGAAAGGATCCTCATAACTGAAATTTCAGAAATCAACTCCTGAGCAAGATACTAACAAGAATTCTTGTATCAAATGAAAGTTAGGTAATGAAAATTACATCATTTGTACTATTGCCATTTACACAACGTTGATTGTAAACTCATAAATCTTGTTCATGAGTTTATTTTCAGACTTTCTGTTTTGTGATCCATTTTCTTCCTAAAAATTTGAAGAGAAATCATGTTGCCCAGAGCTTTTATTCATACCTTGTCTAGAGGCTCTTTGGACCTCATTTTTCAATCGGGAACTACCATTTCTGACTCATCCAGCAAAACGCGCAGTTGCAAAGGGGAAATAATGGCACAATCAGTGTTTCTAAAAATGAGTCATAAATGGTACCTCCTTATTGCAAGATGTAGTCCAAGTAAACCATTTATTTGTAAAAAAGCTCAAATGCTAAAAACTTGTGAGCCCTGGATGTCATCAGAAATTAGAAGGACCAGGGCTCTAAAGTGTTTGACATAAGGGCTCTTTTATAAATAAACGGTTCAACCGGTCATCAGTAAGAAAATGTGATCTTTCAACATCAAGAGTTTTGAAGAACATTGATCCTCCCCATTTGCTTGCGTTTTCAAAATTCTCACTGTGGATTACTTTAACTTAATGATGTCCGGCTGTCCTTGATCATTTTCTATAGACGAGCATAAGAAAAATTAGAATTGGAAAGAGAGACACATGAGTAATTATCTGTTGTGTTCGCACCAAATTTAGGAGACTTACATGAGATCTTGGGCCCTTTCCACATCCAAGAAAATTGTTGAGAAATATCATGTCTCATTGGTTGTTGACTTTTAACCAGATTCAATAGGGAAATTGATAGCCAAGCTTAAAGACGACTTAGAAGTGTTTCAAAGTGGTTCGTGTGACATGAAGAGTAGATTCTTATTTCTAGGAGGAGAAATTTAAATAAAAGAGGTTTATCTCCAAGAAGATTAGGCGAGTTTGCCCTCTTAGAAATAATAGAGAACATTACTTCACATTAATGCTTTGTGGACAGAGTCCAAAGTGTTAAACCAACAAGGTGGGAACTTAATGAAAAAGTACTTAGCCTTATTCAAACCGGTCATCCTTAATGAGTCAGTTATGTTAGTTGCAGAATCGCATTTTAATGGTTTAAGTATATAGATTGGTAAAAATGAATAAGATTGGTCAGAGGGCCTTGTTTCTACGTCCAGTACTCATGGTCATGGAGATATTACCTTTCTATAACCACCGTGTGTGACGTTCTCCACAGTGGCAGCACAAACCGTGGTTTCTTCCACCTCAGGCTCATCTCGGTGCGTTTTAATTCAAGCAACCAATACGGATGTGTGCATTACTGATTGTTATGTAACCATTCCAAATCAAAAGAAACCATGATATGCACTACCGCAGTGGATGATATCATATAACCTGTTTTTCAATTAGTGATACCTCCCTTGATATTACATGTAGAAACTTGAAGTTTGAACAGATCTTGTTATTATTTGCTAATCTCTGACCTTCAACCATCCAAACGCGATTCTGTGGCTGGCGCATCTGACCCATTACTGAGAGTTAAAAATAAATTCAAAATGACCAACCACCATATGTAACCATGATAACAAATTTTTTTATTCACCAAGAAATCGATGTTTCAAACGGATCAATGTTAACAATGATTAGTTCCCTTCAAATCAGAGCACAAGCAAAACTGACACGCGTACGCAGTACGGACTGTGATAACAAAATTCTATCTATCAAAATTTCAACAAGATCAAACAAATCAAGGATAGAGCTCCTTACAAATTTTAAGTACTAACAGGACTGCCGCATTCTCGACTCGTTTCCAAACCGATCTTGAAAACTTACGGTGGACGCAGGCTTGAACGTCCGTCTGGTTATCCTGCTGGTAATTTGGCCTTCTCCGATGTTAACATATGGGACATGCCCACTAGAATGAGACTGAGGGTAAATTGATTGCGGTAAGAACGTGTTCCCCATCATGAGACAATTGACATCTTTCAAGTCTTCTCGTAAAGGAGTGAGAAGAAACAATCGCCCATCTGAGAAATCAATGCCTCGAACAATGCCTAGGTAATCAGACAAAGAAAAGGATATTAGAAAACGAATTTAGGAGATATTTCAAGGGCAGAATCTACAATAGAGACAAGAATAATCAGATGGATGGACAGATCAGAATGTTGATCAAGAAAAAGATGGTTAATATTTTTTGGCAGCATGGGACATTCCCTGTAAAGGTGAAGTTTACTATAGAAGAGAGTAAAGAGATGGCCAATTTTCCAGGGCAAAATCTTCATTTTGTGTGGGAAGTTGAGAATGCCAGGATGAGCCATGAGTCAAAGCAAGAAATGCTGACATTGGGATGAAGTGCAGGCCGCAGGGTCCGATGATCGAAGCCAGGGGCTCGCATCCCAACTGAGAACATGCACACAAAGTAGAATAGATTTGAGTCGAGATCATGACATGATATTCGAAGAAGATCACTTTGATCCAACACCTGCCTGCCTCTTATAATCACGAGAAAAATAAAAAGATTTTGGAAAAAAAACTTCAGTAGATGATTTTTAGACCCTCCATTGAAACATCCGGATTAGAAAAACGAAGAGTTATCCAATGTTTCCAACAGTTCAAGAAACCTGGGAATTACCATGAACCCTTGCAACCTCAGCTGGTGCCATTGGAGAGAGCGTGAACAATTTCCAGGTGTGGAAATCTCATCCATAGTGTGGCAAAGGTCAACGTAATTAAAAGAAAACAAATCCACGGAAGGTTATGATAGAAGAGATTAGAAGATTTTAGAGTCAGGGCGTTGGAAAAGGAAGTGGTTATGGAAATCCTGGTTTTTCGGTTCTAATTTAAATATTTTTGTAAATTACACACAAAAGTAAATCATGTTGGAATATATTTTTAGGCTATTCTACTTACTCAAGAAAGGGGGGTCATATATAATATATTAAAATTGAGATGATAAGGGTTATATAGTATTTTTAGGGGGAAAATAGACAAAATATACTTACCGAAGCCAAGGCACTTATGATTGAATGTATCATTACTAGATTTTGAACACAATGCAACTAAATTCCCATTTATAGCTGCGAGAGACTGAGCTCGACTGAGATTCTGACCATGGCAGATAATGATATCTAGATGGGATACATCAGTTCTGCAATGAGTAAAAGAGCATTCAATTAATTTAAGTTAGGTTGATGGCACTTTTAGATGAAGAAATCATCCAATTTTAATGGGTGTTCTCAAGACACCTACAGCAGTTGAAGGGTATCAGTGGTAAAGGAGTTCCTGACATTTTTAAAAAGCTTGAGACCTTAGACATTTTGAGTAAAATTCTTGGGGTCTGGTGAAACGATTGAAAACGAGAGATCAGTTTTGGGTCATAATTTTTTACAGCACAAAACTGATCGTAAGAGCGTTTTTTGTGCGTGTTGAAAAGTGTGGTAGTAAGGATAACTATGTACCAGAACACGCATGTTTTCATAGAAAAATATCTGTTCACATGACTACACGTGAAGTCATTGACACATGTATGTACACTAATAATGAACACAGCCCAGAACACGTAAGTGCAAGAATAAACGGCTTCCTCACAAACAAGTAGAAAAAACCGGTGATAATGTGCGTTATCATATCTTTCTCAACTTTTTATTCTTAGGTTCATTGGAATAATACAAGCCACTCAGCTTTCATATTTTTCATTTTTTGTTAAACTATGGATGCATTTTTCTTAAAATGACAGAAAGGTTACTGAGCTTCTTATTCCTCAGTCATAACCTTCATTTGAAGAATTTTTGTCATTGAAGAATAGGGAAGCTTTGGATTCAGAAAGAGGTAGGTATCGCAATTTGGGTCACCTTCTTCAGAGGGCCTCAGTTTTCAAACTTTTTCCTCACATAGCACCCTTCCTTAGGGTGGTAGTTATTTGGAGAGATCGCAAGAAAAAAAATATATCACAAAAAAATGAGGAACGACGGCAGATCAGGTTAAAACCAAAAGAAAGATGCAAAAATAAAGCTTGTAAAGATAACAAATAATTGTTCGCCAGAATTTTCATTAACTTGGTATTGAACACAGGAAAAAACCAACACAACGGAGAGACAGAGCCAATGTGTTAACAGATAAAAAATAATGTTAACCAGATCTTTCTAATCCAATTTTTTTCCTTGGTGGATAATGTGGATATCAAATCCTTCCACCACTGTTCAGTAATTTGTAGAGTTGAAATTATGCATCTTGATTCTATTCAGTTTGAAGTTCCTTCCTTCTTTGAAAATTATGGCAGAAAAGCCTCCGATTTTAAACTTTTTCTACCTACATACTTGCAATACTCTTTTGTGTTGTACAAGAAATTCTTGGCTTGAGGGGATGTCACAGTGTCCCACAAGTTGAAAGAAAGTGGAAAAAAACTATCACAAGAACAAATAAAAACTATGATTAAAACCCAGAGATGGAAAGTGAAATTTCAAATCTCTCAAATAAATTGCATAAAATTTGAAATTTGTCCTTTTTTTCGAAATAATTCATTAAACCTTCGGAAGCTCAGAAAGCACTTCAAATGGTCTTTATGATGATACGGCAGTAAATGGTGCAAAAGGGGACACTAAGGGGAAATTAGAGAGAAATTCAGCCCCTACTTAAAGTCCAAACCAAACGAAAACCTTTGAAAGGCATGAATGTCTTAGGCTGGGGTGAAAAATTTCAAAATCGAGAATGACTGTTTCTAGGTGCTTTTTGGCCTCCTGAATGCATCCCAAGAGCTTCGGCAAATTTCATGAAATATTCCATCTCTGTTCACACTAGGATTTGAGCCACAGACCTCTCAGTCACACTTTAAGCCACTACACAACTTCCTCACTAAAACATGAGGCGCATTCTGTAGCAACTTCAGCGAGCAACCCGCCTTGCAAATTTTTATTTTTAAAGGACCATGAAATTCCCCCTATTACTTGTTGTAAGAAATTCTAAATACTCAATATTCAGTACTTGTTGAAAGAAAATCTAGGTTTATGAGACAGCACTTCTGGGCAACACTCATTTGATTCATAATGAGTGACGCATCTTTGAAATGACGGTCCATGTTCCGTGCAATAAAAATCAGAAACTAGGTCTCCAAGAGGGCACTTACACAAAAGGAATAACATCCGTAATGGCATCCGTGGATTTGGGTAGAATTTGACTGAAATAGGAGAGTATAACTGCGCCTCTTCTTTCAGGAGGATTGGTTTTACTGCAAAAAAAATTTTTAAAAAAAAATTAATGTTTTTAACAGTTGCTGCAAATTTGAAGGAGAGATAAAAATTTAATGAATCCAGTAGCTTAAAAAATTGAAAAAGGGGAAACAAATCAAAATTAGTAAAAAATAGACACAAAACTTAAGTCTTAAGGATGGTGGCAACCTTCACTAAATTAGAAACTGCAATGAGAGAAGAGAAACAGAAAATTTAAAAAAACTTTAGGCTTTGTCTCCACAAGACGTTCACGTTAGATTCACTGCAGGGAAAAGTCTCACTTGCAAAGTTGAAACAAATACTGACTAATTCATTCACTCAAGATTAATTTTAGCGCAAAGTTGAGCCCTTTTGGGAATGAAAGACCAACTAAGAGAGGAAGAATTGAAAGGAGATTGAGTGCTACTTTGTTATTCACTCGACTGTTTATCTTGGTTTAATTGTTAATTGTGTACAGTTATTGACTTCATTTTGGTTAAATACTCGATTCTTATTGATAACCTGCATAAGCTTGTTGCGGGAATATGAGAGCTCTATCCTGTGGAGAGGGTAACTGCGCTGAATCCCTAAAGTTGTCTCTATAAGATGGCACATGACTTCTTGGAATTTGATTCTATTGGGGAGAACAGGCTTCATTTCTTCCCTTAGATGGAGCGCAAAACTCAGCTCAAACAAAATTGAACTGTGGTAATAACAACGAAAATTGTATGAAATCAAAATAATACACTCAGAACTCACAAAAAGTCAAATACCTGATTCTTTTTTCAGTGAGTTTTGAGTTGATTATGTTAATTGTATAGGATTTATGTTGTTTACCTCAGGTTTGATTGCCCCAGGTTTTTTGGTTACATCGTTATCAACATTGAACTTCTTAGGGCTTGAATATTGAGATTTTTCCATGGACATAAATGTGATAGGGTCCATACTGCATTCATAGTACATTTTTAAAGGAGCTATATAATTGAGATTTTGTCGAATTGAAATTCTTGGGACTGTTTCTGAGTATCAAAAGAAGATGAAATAATAGTAATATAAAATTGAACTGAGAGCTATTATCTCAATTAATCTTGAATTTTTATCTTCACTTCAGAAGGAAAAAGAGAGAGCTTACTTACTTTGGATTTGCATTTGAAACAGATGAGATGACACTTAAATCATGCGTCACAACACCGCTCACTCTACTGACTTTAGACTTGATGAATCTATGATGCCTTTGTACAATGTCTGGAGATAATGGAAGTGGATAATTGTTGTTGTCCTTTTTGCTCTGTATTTGTATGACATGTGTTGGTCTGAAGTAATTGATGGTGCAGGACATCAGTTCCACTCCTAGGCCTGTGATTCATAATTAAAAGAGTATAATTGGCTGTCCCTTGGGGAAACCTTGGTCCACAAAAACTTAGCATTATATGTATCAAATTTTATGATTATGATAGAGGCTTCATACATGAATGAAGAACCGGTCAGATTTGCTATTTTAAGTGAAATAAATAATTACACTTAATTTTGGCTTGAAAATTAGGACAAAAGTCTTCCTGACAATAGGTAGTTAAAACCAAAGCATAGGGATAGTATTGAAAGAATAATTGGATACTTTGGCATTTGACACAAAAAAAGTTCAATTAGAGAGAGACAGCGATGGGGGAGGGTGTGAAGAATTTTGGCGCCTCTAGAGATGGAGGGCGACTTAGAAGTGTGCTTTTCGTGCCTCTCTCAAGGGATAATGGTGGTACTAAAAGTGTAAATTTTAGATACGATTTTCAAAAACGTTAATATGAAAATTAAACCCCGTGTTGGCAAAAAAATTATCCAAATCCACAGCAACTTGTCCTATACAACATCAGCAGAGATGGTAAGTGAAATTTCGAAAACCTCGAATAAATTTCACAAAATTTGAAATACATTAATTATTATCAGAATTATTAATTAAACAGGAGGACTAACAAATAAAAAGAAACCAGATGCATTGAGACATTATTCAGGGTTGCCACAGAATTTAGAAAATGAAATTCCCGTACATTTCCCTGATTCCCCTGACACATTTTAAGGGAATTCTTTGACAATTGAAGATGTGACGGTTGGTTAGGAAGGCATAATTGAAAATAGATTTTGGACAAAATTTGTTGTTCGAAACCTCAAACCTATTCTAGAAAGCAAATGAAGGTGATTTAACAAATTTTCCTGGACATTTTCGTTATTTTCCCTGACATTTCCCGGTTTTCCCTGACTGTGGCAACCCTGATGATTCCTGCCATGCATGTTTTCATGGGATCCTAAAGCTCATGTCAGGATGGATATAGCTCCTAATAATTTGAATATGTTCATTTAATCAACATTTCCACTAAAATCTTCCATACGAAAAGTTTTTGGTGAAATTCACCAAAGTTTCTGGAAAAAAGAGCATTATATCGATGACTGAATGCAAAAAATGCAAGTACAACATTTGAAAATCTCAATTTATGTTTCTGTTTCTTTGAAGAGAAATGGGTAATCAAAGTGTGCAAATTGCAGATTGCAATATAGGGTGGTATTTTGAGAATGAAGGAATAAAAGTTATAGAAAATTTCTAGAGAGTATTGGTTGGGTTTCTCTTAAAAAAATAAAACATGAGCCAAGTTTTAAAATAATGAAATCAAAGATATGCATTTTTTAGCTTTGAACATCGATACTTATATTACTTCAAATCTTGCAACGGACATCTTATATGGTTCCGGGGATCATGGAATTAAACCCTTTCTACACCCCTGTTTGAGGCATACTTTGTAATTTCAGCGATAGATATATGTAGATGTTAACAAAAAATTATTCTTACCTCTGCAGAAACCCATTGTGTTAATGAACCATGGAATTTTTTTCAACTCTGCACTAGAGGCACAGTAACAAAGAATCTCTTCTAAGTACTTTAAGTACCTGTCAAAACACTGCGCAACATTGATCTCTCCAAGAAACCACACTCTGAAAACAAGATACATACTTATTAGTTGAATTTTCTCTAACTCTTTCTCCAACGAGTCAATTGAAAACTTTGGATGGTTTCTTCTGCAAACTGGCCACTGACCATGAACCATGATTACCGTGTTTCAAAAATTCCGCTACTTAATTTTTTCTTCAAAGGGGAACAAGCCAACTTTGTTACTTACTAACAGGTATTATCATAAAACATACCTCTAACAGAAAACAAGAATTGTGACAATTTTGAGGAAATTATGATAATTAGTTTTTCAATGAAAAACAAAGTACCTACAATAAGTCGTCTGCAACTTCAAAAATGAGGAATTGCAGTTTCCAAGTTTAACCACTAACTTGAGATTTCTTAACTCAGTTGTCCCACAGCAGACAAGCAGAGAGGGTAAGTCGAGGCGAAAAATAATGACTGACAAGGGGAACTTCCCAAGCTGCCGCCTCCGATCGGGCTGAAAAAATTCGTACGAACTCTTTGGATGAATTTATTTGACCCGTATTTTTTTGTTTTTTCCAATGCCCCCCAGAAACACCCCAAAAAAATTCCGGAAAGTTTTGCTTTGAGCGCTTGAGTCTATATACGCAGTATAGCAGCAATCGTTTACCGTCAAGTGGTGGCTCTGCGGTAGCGCGCTCGCCCAGTGATCCGGCGGGCCCGGGTTCGATTCTCGGGCGCCGCGTCAAATTTTTACGACCGAATTTTACATTCTTACACATTTTTACATCGATTCCCATTTAATACATTAGAACTTAAAACATCGATTAATTTACAACCATCAACGATCAATAACTTCTTCAATTTGAAGTATAGATTTTTTTTTGGGAGGGGGGAGGGGTCATGCGTGCGATATTCTCGCCAATCACTGTACTTTCACATTAGCAGACGACCCGCTCCGCCCCCTCACATCGACATATTTCACCCGATCACCCGTATGAGTCATGATTTTTCCCATCATTATCCAGAAAATGATAATGAAAAATTACTTCGAACATTCAAATTAAAAATGCTACAATTTTTCATTATCATTTTCTGGATAATGATGGGAAAAATCATGACTCATACGGGTGATCGGGTGAAATATGCCGATGTGAGGGGGCGGAGCGGGTCGTCTGCTAATGTGAAAGTACAGTGATTGGCGAGAATATCGCGCGCGTGACCCCTCCCCCCTCCCAAAAAAAAATCTATACTTCAAATTGAAGAAGTTATTGATCGTTGATGGTTGTAAATTAATTGATGTTTTAAGTTCTAATGTATCAAATGGGAATCGATGTGAAAATGTGTGAGAATATAAAATTCGGTCGTAAAAATTTGACGCGGCGCCCGAGAATCGAACCCGGGCTCGCCGGATCGCTGGGCGAGCGCGCTACCGTAGAGCCACCACTTGACGGTAAACGATTGCTGCTATACTGCGTATATAGACTCAAGCGCTCAAAGCAAAACTTTCCGGAATTTTTTTGGGGTGTTTCTGGGGGGCATTGGAAAAAACAAAAAAATACGGGTCAAATAAATTCATCCAAAGAGTTCGTACGAATTTTTTCAGCCCGATTGGAGGCGGCAGCTTGGGAAGTTCCCCTTGTGAGTATTTCCACTTGGGGTCATTTTGAAAATTTCTAGAGACTGCGAGAAAACAGGTGAGCAATAAAATGAGTAAGGTACATCCGCAAATACAGTGATCATATGCAGTAGATTTAGATTGCTAGTCTAAGGTAAACGTTTCACTTTAAGAGTACTAGCGTTTAGCAGCCGAAAACGAAAAGGAGAAGAACAAAGATAAAAAGCATACCTTCCAGAATGACTCAAATGAGAAAAGTTTGGACCAAGAAGAGGTTTGGTGACAACATGGACCGACATGCAGCCTGGAAGTGTCATCTCACACTGGCCAGGATCTAAATCAATTACTAGAGCCTTCTTTGCAGATGTTCGACTCAAACATTGATTGACTAAATAACGGAGAAGAGTGGACTTCCCAACTCCCTTACCACCAGCTAGTAATGATATGCTGCCTGAAAATAAAAATTGAAGATGATAAGTAAAAATTGGATTAATGGTAAACTTTAAAGGACACTGCTAATTAATCCAGATTTGGTGTTCATTTTGACTCAAATCCAGAGTAAAAACTTCCAAGTGCCAATATCACTTTGATTAATGACTAATGATGCGTTTCATTCAAGTAATCATCAAAAAATTGGATCAGCAGAAGGATAATCCATTCCCCAAGATTGTATGATTATATTTTGAAGTAAATTAGCCCAAAAATAAAATCTCAATTACAGCCGAAAAAATTCTATTGATTGATTACTTATTGTTCTCAATCCATGAATCTTTTCCTACAGTACTTCTGATTTGATTTTTGTACTGATTAACTTCAGGAATTAATGATATAATCTTCGGGCACATAAACATCTCCTGCTACTTCAAATACTTGAAAATAATCTGATTGTGAGTAAAATAAATAACTTCACTTTTATGCTTTCAAAAAATCAAGCTAAGTATTTGAACAAATTGTTAGTAATACCTATTACTACTGTTACAGTCATCACTGTGGGCTGAAATATATTTTGATTTATAGAAAATTACAGGATTGTTATATTTTTATTGTACTTACATTAGCTTCTACTTCTCTTCAATACCTGCAAACATTGGGCTAGTTTTTCTATGAAACTGATTGTGCGACTACTTCCGATAGTACCAAAGGAAAAATAAACAGAGAGGAGCAGTGCAGAGGCAACTTTTTCACAAAAAACCCACCGATCAAGCTGTGCTCTCGATGGGGGATGGAACTTAAATTTCTAGCCTTGGCCATTCTCCTCTTAGATTGTTGCGTATTTTATTAACAGCCCAATAAGGTCAAATATGATTAAAGACGAAACATTGCACTTGATTTGTAAAAATTTGGATAGGCAGTAATAGTTAGATAAAAATATGATTTAAAGTTTGTAAACAAACCTGTATAACTTGTAATTGAGCTTAAAATCTGATCAACCAGCGGCTGCCATTGGTCACTGACTTTGAAAAAATTTTCTGGCTCAGAAGGATGGATAAACTGACAAACAAGTTCACGTTCAATTTTTTTGACTTCTTCTGGATGTTCAACATTCATGAGCTTCTCTTGAATACTTGTCGTAGTAGGAAAAATAGATGACTTGCAATGGCTATTCAAAAAAACTTGCATTCTTTTTGTGTCGGTACTTCTCTCGAGCAAGAGGATTGTACTACTTGATTTCATGAGCGAGATAACCCTATCAACAGTTTGAGTGGCAATACCTCCACACCTCTCTTCAATTTTTTCCTTGAGATCTCTGAGATCTAAAAAAGACTGTGTATTTTTTGAGATGGTTACTTGTAAAATGCCAGAGTCTCTCAGAGAGAACACATTTGATGGGGGCGTGCGATTATTGAAAACGTAACCTAGAACTTCTGCTTGCCCGTGAAGTATTGACAGCTTTACGACCCCAAAAAAATGTAAAATATCTGTATGATCACAGATAGCAAGGACTTTTTTTGAACTGACAACAACGAATTTCACTGATTGGAGAAAGTCAGCAAAAATGTTGGGTTGATCCTCAACAGCAGGCTGATCCCCTGGGAGTTGGGCGTCCACGACAAGATGCGCTAAGCTGGAGCTGGAACTTGCAATGTTAAGGTTAGAGATACTGACACACGTAGAGTCGACTCTTGTTTTCGTGACATCTGAGACCTTCGAGCTGAATATAGATTTGCGAACATTGTCTTCGACCGATACAAAATTACTGACAGGATTCAGGTTGGAACGGTTATGTTCCTTCACCACTTTTGCCAACTTTAACTCCTTGGTTTTATTCTTTTTCTTATCTTTACGTGACTTGATTTGAAGTTTCTGTTCATTTGTCTTGGACTTTTTAAATTTGGGCTTCCCCATATTCAGAAGGAACTGGTAATGTGATGAACAATGATTTCAGTCAAGGCGCAACATTGGAGACTTGAAAGAGGAAAAGTACGAAGCACTATTTGATTTTGAGAAAAGGAACTAAGATAAACACTTCATGATGAATATCGATGGTAAGACTTCAGCTTTATCGTTAAACAAACGCAATTTCACCAAAAGAGACTGTAAAGAATGGGATACTTCTACTTGAACTATTCAATTCAAAAATTCAATTGCAAGTTGCAGTTGCACGTGCTGTCATTTAAAATGTAAATAAAAATAAATGGTGAGGGTGAGGACGCATTAGTAAACGCCAATCACAGTTCCGGATTCATTTGACGTCATATAATAATGGAGATTCCCGATGCAACCTCATTTCCTTATCACTAACTTTATCTTATCATTTATCGTGATTTAAAAAATAAAATTGCTATGATAAACCCTTTCTTGCCGCTTCCTCAAACTTTTTAAATCAATTTCTAGGAACTTGACTTTTTTTGCGTGATTTTGACGCCAACAGTGAAATCCGAAAGTAACTTCTAACTTGTATTGGTTGGTGATTTGGCCAACTTGATACTCAGCCTCCCGTGACCTTGGAGCCACCACCACCTCTTTTCCATCTAGTAGAACTGTAGATTATCAACAGCCAACAGCGCCAATTGGCAATTTGACTTTATTCTCAATCTCAATCATTATTTTTGAAACCTTTTCTTTCGGTTATCAGAATTTATCCCTCAGAACTTCTTATCTAGTGCCAGCTAATTTCTCATCAATATGAGTTCAAGTGAAGTCGATCCAATAACTTCTGACCCATTCGATCAAGCTGATGATGATGATTATGACTTGTATACTTCAGCTATTGGGGTGAGCATTAGTTTCTTATCACTCATTCCTAGATCAGTCGCTTCCCTTCATTCCTCTCTGTCTCATGTCAGGTAGGCTTATTAGAACCTTTAATGTTTGCCACTCAGTTGAAGTGCCCTCAGTGCTGGCGCTCTGCAAACAACCATCCCTGATAGCCCTTATCAGCTCTAGTCAAGAATCATCTTCATTTTGAGTTCTCAATTTGGTGTCGTTCAAGAATAGGCAGTAAGTGGGGAAGTAATCCACCAGCAACATTTTCTCTGCTTTAATTCATCTGCCGCCTCTTTCATTTGTAAAATGCAGAGGAGATGTACGCGGTGCAAATCGTGCCGAATGGGCCCACCAGCAAATATAGATTCACCCAAGGCAATCAGTCAAAATACTTCTAATTTTTATTTTGACTGCTACTACCAACCTCTGCTTTATAGTGTAGCATTAATTATTTCTTTTATTGGCTAAGCTATCCCTTTATGCCAGCATGGTTCAAATTCAGCCTACTTAATGTCAAAACAAACGAACCAGTTGACATCAAACCTAGCTACGCCCCTTCGAAGTGATGTCTTTATCTTCTAGTTTAAGTTTGAGCTTTATCTATTTTTTGTTTGACAGGAACTTATCTGGAGTACGTAAGTGATTCACTCAACCAGGTGCATACGAAATATAATTGTGCCTTTGAGAGTGCCGAGTTTAGTTTATTTGTTTTAGAGTCTGAATTCTATTTTAATTTTAGACTGGACTCTGTGATTTTACTTTTTTGAACAGACTCTTCTTTCGTAGCCTCTTTCCTAATCATTCTTTGCTAGAGCTGCCAACTGCACTTAGTCAAATGACCTCCCTGTCTGATGCTCTTTTGTTTTTGTCACAGGACTCGATGAAAACATCGCAAGCTGAACCAATGTTACCAAATAATCAGGTTTGTTTAAGTATTATTTTTTATTGTTTCATTGAAAGTAGGAGTAAGTCCTAGTTTATAACCAAAAAATACTATATGAAGTTTTTGTGGAACTAAGAATGAGAACGTCGTTCTACTTTTTCCTTAAAATGATTCTTCCATAGAAGCCGGCTAACACTACCCTTTCTGAAAGGAAGGGTGTAGCTCCAAATTCATTATCTGCAATTTTTCAACTAATTTACTCGCTAGATATGAACATGTTTGTCAGAACTTCTGCATGATAAGGCCTGAAACCATGAATACTTTAAAATTATGGTGATTTGAATTTTAAAATTAATTTGCAATGAACCCAACTTTTTTTGAATAACACCCTTTTTCTGGAAAATACTTTAGAATGTTCAAACTACAACTCTATTTTCCCGCCATTTTATTTGAACTACAGAAATCTTTCTCCCGAAATCTACAGCGTGATTGAGTTATTCTGTGCCAAGTATTATTCAATTAATAACTATTTTCTCTGTGACAGGCTCCTGCAACCTTACCATCAACACCGTACGAAAATGGATCGCCAAGTATCGGAGTTCAGAGCCCCCAGGCACCGAAAAAGAGTTTACATTCCTTTGATGTAAGTCAAATTTTTATTTCCGATATTAAACCTTTCCTCCTCAATTAAGATTTTTTGTGCTCTAAAAGCTCATTCAAACTTATTTCTCAAAGCTGGAAACAGAACTCTGTAAGTAGCTCCTCTACACGATTTCAACAAGTTTTCTTGGTAGTTTTTAGGCTTGGTTCAGACAGCCAAACTTTCTGGTTTAATAGTTCATCAAACCACGCAAATAAAACTAGCAGGCCGAGTCAACTTGTCTATGCCTAGTTGTTTTGGGATGGCGCTGATGAGTATACTTACTTTTCTTTGTACGTGAATGGGGTGGATCTGATTTGTTAAACATATTTTGCTGAAGTTTGGTAAAGGCTGGACCATCTAGACTGGGCTTTTGACTTTTAAATTGTGTTAAATAGCATGGCTTAGAGCTACAGCCAAATTAAAGATAAATTCTAAACCTAAGTTGATAAAACACTCCACTCCAGGATTTTTTTGGTCTTGTGAAGCTGCTGGAAGCATTTCCTAATGAAATTTTCTTCCTTTTAATTTTCAAGAATACGAAAAGCTCTCAGCATCCTCATTAGGTAAACTCCATTTTCCTCCAATTTTTTCTAAGTAATGATTTTATTCTTCTTTTTTTCTTTGCTCATGAATCCATAATATCTACACTGAAATGAACCAGCCTTTCCATTGTCATAGATTTTTCTATGACAGAGAATCTTGTAAAAAAAATTATAATGGGTAAAAATAATTATTCCTCTCTGACTTTGAGATCTTTCTATGGGACTCAGAGTTTTTGGGGCTAACATTTTCTGTACAGTAACCTGTCGCAAGAAGCAAATCTTTTTGGATTATCAAGTATTGGTGTAGCCAGCAGCAAAGGCATATTTACTTATTTAGCAAACATTGGTCAGTTGTACTGGGAGACTTCTTTTGATTTGATGCCTTTCTTTTGAATGTGTCCTCTGTCTTTTCCCATAAATATTTTAGACTTTAAAAATTTCCCATTCATCTTTTTCAGGAAGCAGAAGAGGACCAGTACATTGATATTAGTGTCACTGAGCCCAGTAGGAAAGGTGATGGAATGGGATCATACGTAGAGTTCCAGATCAACACCAGAACCAATATCAAGTTATTCAAAGCACGTAGTTTCAGTGTCAGAAGAAGATTTAGTGATTTCTTAGGTGTTCATGACAAACTTGTGTCTAAGTATCTGCGAGCTGGCCGTATCATTCCACCTGCCCCAGAAAAAAGCGTCATAGGTAAATTATTTAAGTGAAACTGTCTTTAATGCAAATTTATTTTTTTCAGAAAGAAAGCAATTAATTTCTTTGACTTTAGAAATAGGGAATGATTAAGGGGGGAGACAGTTGCCCTCCTCCTCCTCCTCCTCTTCCTCCTCCTCTAAGCAATGGTCTCGGAAATGTTGAAAAAGTTGTATCATTTTCAAATGAGTTTTTTAAAGTAAGAGAAATTCTCCGGGAAGAAAGTCTAAGATTGCATGCCCTTGTCAAGCTCTTAGCGTAGTGGTCTCTGTATAACTTCCCATAGTGATTTTCTGGAATAAATCTAATAAACCTATTTTTTCACTGAATTTTCAGGAATGACAAAGATTAAGATGTCATCATCAGCACAGCCAGAACAGAACTCATCATCTGAGTTCGTCGAAAGACGAAGAGCATCTTTAGAACGCTATCTGAAACGAACTGCCCTTCATCCTGTCCTAAGAATCGATCCTGATTTTAGAGAATTTCTGGAAGCAGGTAAAGCCTCTCTAAAAACTACTCATTCAATCTGCCCTTAGGATTAAAATTAAAAGTGAATAGTTTAACTATCAAATATGCATGTTTCTGCTGGTAATGTGACAGATCTTTTGCTACTCGTTCTTTAATACAGGAAAATCAACCTTTTAACTCAAGAATTTGTCCAGGGTTTTCCCTAAATTATCTTTAAATCTTCAAAAATTCCATCCAAAAATGTAAGTCAGCTTTTTATTGCAAAGATGAATCCAGATCGGAGATTTTAAGTCATTCCAGTCGAGAAGTATATTTTTCTGGTTTGGTCATTGATATTCGACCTTGTATCCTATGCTTTCATCTGATTCAAACTTGGCACAATCATTGCTCTGATTCTTTGCTCTCTATGGTCTAAGTCTTCCCTTAAATAATTATGATTTAACGTCCTCAGATGTCATATAAAATCAAGAAATATCTTGTGATGGTTACTAAATATTTTATACAGTATACAATATTTCATTTTACGTAGTAGAAAGTTTAAAATCGTTGTACCTAGTTCTCAAACACAGAGTTACTAAATATTTTATACAGTATACAATATTTCATTTTACATAGTAGAAAGTTTAAAATCGTTGTAGTTCTCAAACACAGGAGTGTTGAAAACCCTAAATGTTAACTAGTTTTTTTGTTTGTTTTGGCATAATACTGGTATAAAAATATTTTCAATCATCCGCACTTTCTTAGGATGATGAGCCAAAAAAGAAAAGAAATGTGAATAGTGAAGAAAGGAGACAGAAAGCAAAAAGAGAAAAAAAATAAACCGCTTACTTTACTTAAACTGATGTTATTTTATTTCTATTGTATTACATATTTTTATCTTTTTTTTTCAGACCATGAATTGCCGAAAGCTCATAATACGTCCGTGCTTAGTGGAGCTGGTGTAATGCGTCTTTTTAATAAAGTAGGAGAAACTGTCAACAAAATGACATATAAAATGGATGAAAGTGATCCGGTATGTTTTCTGTTTTATTTCCTCACCAGTCATTTTATCTAGGGATGTGCAAGTACTCAAATTTTGAGTCAAATTGAGCCAGGTCTTACCAACTTGACTCAATACAAAGGTGCATTGTGGCTTGAGCAACTTCTCGACTCAGCTTGATTGCTAATAACTTTAGCTTTTTTTTATCTTTTTTAAGCCAAGAATGCAGTGATGAATTGGGGCTTGAAAATGAACGGAGATTAACCTGGAAGTTGTAGTGCACAAACGAAAAGAGCAAATATTTGTATCATCACAAATATTAAGTTAGTTTTTGCTCTTCACATAAATTATGTGTCTTGTGTCTTATCAACAGGGCAAAATACCACATAAAGACATCAACTCACCAACAGCCCTAAAGAGAAATGTTTGCGGTGTGGCAAATTCATTCCCTATCTAAATTTACCAAGCCAAAAATACAGCCGTGCATATTCTGTGAGCCATTTCAGCTTGAAGTTGTTTTTCGTCTTCATCAATATGAGTTTGCGTGTTGGGGCTCTCGAGGGGGGTAAAAGAAAGCAATGTGCAATCTCCTTCAAATTGCGTTTAACCTTTTTACCCTTATCTCCACCAAATACCCGTTCTTATTTCTTAAAGGAGCTCCTTTATATTTACTCCTAAAGTTCCAGAGAATATATTTTAAATGTCAAAGAAAAATCATGCAAAGTGCCACCAATTAAAAACTGTAAAATTCCCTGCGCTACAAAATTGTAGAGAGGTTGCAACATCACTAATGAAGAAACATACTTTTCTACTTCAGGATCAGTATCTTATGTAATGAATGCTCTTTTGTTTTCCAGTGGTTTGAAGAAAAAACTCAGTACATAGAGCAACTCGATTGTAACTTGCGAAATTTGCACCTCAGTGTTGAAACATTAGTAATGCATCGAAAGGATCTTGCTGTGTTCATTGCCTCTTTTGCTAAAAGTGCTGCAATGCTAAGTAACTGCGAAGAACATACCAGCCTAAGTCGAGCTCTCTCCCAGCTTGCTGAGACGGAAGAAAAGGTATTCCATTATTTACCATGGTTTCAAAATATCTCCCTATATCAGTGCCATTTTTCTGACTGGTCCATTAAATTAATGTTGTGAAGCTGAAAATTTAACGCGAAGAGAGTGTTTTTTTTTCTGCAAAATAAATTATGTAAAACTTTTTTCAAAATTGCTGGATGGGAAGTTTACAGATCCAGAAATATCTTAGCCCATTCATTCTAAAAACTCGTTTTTCATACCAAAATTTTCAAATTATGTAATTTTTATTTCTTATCTTACAGATTGAAGCTCTCCACAATGAACAAGCCAATGCAGATTTCTCAATATTTTGTGAATTGTTAAAGGACTACATAGCTCTTGTTGGAGCCATCAGAGTAAGCCCTCTTATATTTCTTGAATCATGTTTCACTTTCGTTAAATTTAATTTTTGTAAATACTTTCACGTTAATTTTAGGAAGTTCCTCCACTAAGAAACCCGTAAAAACTCATAGTGAAAAAACTGATTTTTTTAAATATGACTTTGCTTTTCTGAAAAAGAAAAAAATGCTGAAAAGAAATTCTGAAACACTGCAAATGGAAAGACTTTTAGGACTCATTCATAGAAATTAAAACCTTTTAAAAGCTGTTGAATCGTTTTTGTTTAAAGATGCAAACACAGATAATTCTCACCCCTAATTTTTTCCCCTCTTTTAATTTTTTTGGCCACTAAGGCTTTTATCTGAATAATAACGAATGATTTTCTTCCCTAGGATGTTTTCCATGAAAGGGTCAAAGTTTACCAGACGTGGCAACACTCGCAATTAATGCTAAACAAGAAACGGGAACAGAAAGTGAAAATGGAACTGAATATGCGAACTGACAAAAGTAGCACTGCTAATCAAGAAGTTGCTGAGGTAATAATATTTCTCATTTTATTTGTTCAAAAATTCTCCAAAGAAATTGGTCGACAAGTTTTTTATTTTTTTTAAATTGCAAAAAGCAAATTTTGTTCATTACTAATTTAAAGCCTAAAAAAATTGCCCTAATTGGCACCTGTCCTTTGTTTGTTTGTTTTTGTTTTTTTTTGTTCTTTTTTAATAAGTGGCAGAGAACAGGATCTCCTTATCGCCTCATTCACAGTATTGGAAAGTACTATGAATTCATATTTCACTAGGCTGCCATGTCTAGCATGTTATAGACGCTTATCATGGGATTTGTCCCATGGGACAGATGACTCAAGCATGTCTGTTTCAGATAACACTTCTCATCCTCCAGCTCTCCTCTACATTTACTCCATTCACCTCGAAGTGAAGAGCAATCCTTAACAGAACGTCGAATGTTTCAAATACCAGCTTGTATTTATAAAATTATCTCACAATAGATCGTATCTTAGACTGTGTTCAGCTGAAAAGAGACGGTAGATTTAAGGTCCTCTTGTATGTTTAGCCAGTGAGCTAAATAATAAATTGACCTCTAGTAAAATTCTATTCACTTTTAGGTAACAAAGAAGACCCCTCAGGGGGTCCCCAAAATATTGGTACTTTGCTGCTAAATACAGGCCAGTTATCATATATTGGTCAGTTTATACCATGTATTTTGCAATGTACAAAATCAAAAAATCATGATCATTCTCTTTTTTCTCTTTATAGTGGGAGGCCAAAGTAGAAAGGTGTCAAGAAGAATTCAACAGTATCTCTAAAATGATTCGTGAGGAACTGGAGCAGTTTGATGTAAATCGAGTTAAAGACTTCAAAGAAACTATTATCAAGTATCTAGAATCTATGTTAGATCATCAACAGAATGTGAGTATTATTTTTGTATAGCACTATATTTACTAAAAGCTCTCTGCCTTCAAACAAAGTATTTATAATTTGTTTTAGTTATCTTTAGAAATTGTCTAGGGTGATTTCCATGATTTCTCAGCAGGTGATAATCCCTCGATTACCATTATTTTCAAGTCATGACCTATCTACCCACTCTCTTTATTTCTTCAAAGCTGTCCTTTTATGGCTCAAAATACCCAGCAAAAGTAGAAGTATTATTTTGATTCATCGCCCAGAGTACAAATTTTGCTCAATGGACTAACTGCCCTTCCCAAAACAAGAAGAAATTGGTAGAAATATTATATGAAAAGCAAGGACAGGGAAGCAAAGAGATCTATAAAGTGTGAAAATTGACAGTTTTTTTAGAAGAAGAAAAAAAAACCTGAGCTTGCTCTTCACCACGTATCAAACCCTTATCCAAATAAATTGTTTGTTAGTCTTGATTGAGGCAATTTTCCTGCGATACTTACTCCTATTTTCATTTTTACACATCCCATTTTCGAAACTACATTTCACAGCCTTCCCATTTTCAAAATCCCTTTTCATGCGACCTGCCAGTCATGCAGTCAAGAGCTCTCCGCTCTCCATTGTTTCTTAACTGTAGTCTTCAGTTTGCATATAACTGATCATTCAATTTTTTTTACAGGTCATGAAATGTTGGGAACAATTTTTACCTGAGGCTCAGCTTATATTGGTCCAAGATGAAATGTCCCGATCGGTGAAGTAAACGAGAGTATTTGTACAGTTTAAGCTTTTCCCGAGTAAAACGTAAGCTCATGCTCTATTTATTGTTGAATTTTTCACTCGCTATGCATTTAAAATCAACTTGAACTTTCTCCCTCTCACTCCTTGTTTATAACTCCAAAAACATTAATCCAAATCAACCTATTTTTTGTTACTTCAAAGTGAAAATTTATTCTACTATTTGTTACCTTTTTTTTCCTTGTGTTTTATACTGCTCTCAATCCTGTCTACTTTTTCTTTGTATGCATTTTTTATTCTTTTTTTTTTTCACTGGAACGTCAAAATTTCAGGTCAACTTTTTTTACACGGAATCAGCGAATATTTTCGTAATTGTTCATTCACATCGTATTTCTTTCTAATTTGTATGCTATTTTGTATCCTTTTGTATTAATATCCATACCACCATGTATTTGAGCTCTCATATGGTTCGTTTGTATTTTTAACTCGAACTACTGCCCATGAATAACAGTTAGATGATCGTCAGTCAAAAGAGGTTCAGGATGTCTGTCCAGCCAGAAAACTGACATAACAGTTTTTACTGAAAATTTTTGGGGATTTAATGTAGAAGACTGGGATTTTTTCCCTTTCTCAATTTTTCATGATCTTGGTGCTCCTCACCTAAGAGAACAAAGATTTTGGATTGAGAACTTCAAAGTTGAATGTAAAATTATCGGTAGAAGTTGTTCCTTTCTCTCACATGTTCGTAGATCATCAATTAAATTATCAGAAAATTTTTGTTATTTTAGCTGAGAAAACTAGGAAAGTTTTTTTATAAAAAGCTGTAGACACCGTGGATTTAGGAAAGTAATTGAATGCTACCTCCGAAGTCTTTTGAAATAAAACCCAGCCGTAGAGAAAAGTATGAAGGAAAGAAGCCTAGGAGAAGGTTTTTTCTCACTGGTCAGCAGGAGTCATCAGGTTTCAGAAAATCCAATGAATAACATAGTGTCTGATTGGCTAAAACTCATCGAAGGTGAAAGTAAAAAACACTAACTTCAGATGTAATGCCTTAAAATGGCTGTTGTCATATTATTCTTTTCAAGGCTACGGAGTGAAAGTCACGGTTAAAAATTTCCTTAGACTATTTTGTACAATACGAAGAAAAATCAATTAATTTTCTGGAACAAAATGTTGGTGTTTCTTAAAGAAAAAATTAAATCTGGAAAGAAATTTGTATAGTTGCGAAGCAAGACACGTGTTTCTTACTTTCATCATAGTGTTCATATTTTGTTTGGACGGTCATGCCTATTTATTTATTTATTTATTTTTTGTTGTAAAATGACTAACGTTTATTCTTCTCCTTAAAACTGATGTGAGGCAACTCTGTTATGAAACAACGGCCAATGGATTTCTAAGTGCTGATTTGCTGATTGGTGGAAAAACCACGAAATGAACCTTGTCTCAGTTTCTTAGTTTGTCATTCCATTTAAAGTACAAAACTCCAAACGTGAAACTGTGAGTCCAAACATGACCCTTTTTACAAAGGTAGGCAAGAACCAATCATCATTGAATTCAACATTCATCAAAAATACTGAATCTAACGTAGAACTCACATAATTAAGTATTAGAATCTGCTGTTTCGCTCATTCCTCCAATTTGTGAAACACTCACTCGATGTACTTATGCAGAGTTAAAATTAGGTTTTAAAATTTTATTTTACTCATTTGTTTTTCTTTAATGAATATTTTTCACTTCCTTTCATATGGCTGGCATCTATGGAAAAGGAACCAATTAAATGGAGTTGTTCATTAATGCCCCCATATACTTAGAAAGATCGATGGCAGGTTTACCTATACACTCGGACATAAGCAAAAGAACTTGGTTCCTTCACATAAATGCTGCCTATATTTTAATGCACCCTCCATTAAGAAGCCATCTCATATATTTATGCTGAGATTGCTAGTTCTTCCAAGATTTTATCATGTTTCTGTTCTGTATTTTTACACTTGTTTTTTATACAATTTCAGGGTTACAACCTGTCATAACCTCTATTGGTTAGCGAAAGTTTTAATCGTTAATCTAAGTATTCTTCCTAAATTTTTACTGTAGCACAGCCAAAGTTCACAAAGGAAAAATTAATTTTTGACTTTTTGGAATATTGCTGAGATCCCCTCAACTAAAGTTTTTGAAGAAAAAATTTGATATCTCAACTTGAAGACCTTGTATCTCCATTGCAGTATTTCAATAGTTCCCCTCCCACTTTACTGTTAAGGAGGAAAACGAGACAACTTTATTACTTGTAATTTTCACAGGAAATTCTTCTCATAGAGAAAAATGATCCAGGCTCTTCTTAAAGAATTAAATCGCTTAGTTTTTTGCAATCTTAATAGAGTCCATGCCAAATAAGTTTTAGCACTTTCAGACTGCCATAAAAGATTGTCTGAAGTCAGTTCAGCATTGAAAGTAAATGCAAGAATCAAGATAGCGGATTGTCTGTTGCTGTCTATAAGTGCATAAACTTATTTGGCGTGGATTCTAAGCTAAAAAAAATTTCAAGAAGTTGTAAATGGGTCAAATCTGCTATAATTTCTTGATCGATAATGCCTGAAATTACCATTGATGTTGGAAAAATTAGAGAGTGTAGATGGGTGGGGTGAACGTAAGCCGATACTACTACCTGGAATAGTGGGGGAGAGCAAAAAAAATGAGACCGTAAGCAGGAAGACTCTTTTTTTAAAATTTATACTTTCATAATTTAGTCGTATTTCCATGCATAAAAAAGAGCTATGAAGAGATGCAATACAAGTGTAAAGCCGGAAGTCTCAATCATCGGAAAATGCTTTGATAATTATTTTTACTTAAAAAATGCCTTTCTGAATTCTTCAGAATCTCAGTTTTTTGCACCTACTCCTTTGTTAGCAAGATCTTTTATTTACTGCTTAATGATGTTTTAATTGTATTTTATCATTTTATCTAACAATTTTATTCAAATAATTGTTATCATTATTTTTTCCCTTATTTCTAAAACATTTGTTATCATTTTTTTCCTCAAAATCACTTGTGATGTGATTGCATTAAAAATCACACTATCCATGTGTAACTTCATGTATTTGTTTTCAAACGGATCATAAACATGTGATATTAAGTAAATAAACCATTTAATGTGTACATATCGGTGGTTCTTAATCATTGAATCAAATTAAAACCAATTTGAGTGCTAGGTGCAGGAGAAACACTTCTGAAGTGTGGTGTTCAAATTCCTCCGCTAGCATTTCATTCATTCTTAGGAAAGTAAATGCATGCATTTTGCTGAAACTTTTACTGAATATTCTATATGATTTAACAATATTCTAATCGATGAACTCCAGAAAAATCACCTATTGTTCGTGACCAAGAAGCTTCCCTCCAGCACCCAGCACTCACTTTAGCACAGCTGTTATTTCAAGTCAAAGAAAAATGAAGTATTAAGAGCACAATCCGATTTTCATGAAAAAAATTGGTTGGAAAAAGGATATCGAGTAAGAAATGCAGAGAAAAATCTTTTATTGGTATCACAAGTAAAATAATTATTCACAAATATTTACAAAAATATGGAAGGGTCCTTTCTTCAAAGAAGAAAAATCAGCACACAAGCCTATAAGAGATGTACCGTCCAGCTGTTTCTGAGGATCTAATAATCTTCACAACCTGGTGGAACAGAAAAAAAACGAATCAGAAGATATAGCAGCTCATGCAAAAGCATATACAAAAATATAAAATCTTTTGTTTAAAGTAAAACTAATTTGGATTGTATATGGCATGAAGAACATAGCTTTTAAAATTTCCTATTTGGAAACAGACAAAATGCAAGGATTTCATCAAAATTAGCCCAACTGCAGTCTCGTCCTTAACCTCCTCTCACGTTCTGCTTCTTTGACAAAATTACTTTTCTGGACTGAAAAAAGTGAACTTAGCAACAATGTTCCGCTGAAATCAGCTTTGAAAACAAGCTTCAACTTCCGTTAAAACCCCGCATCTTTATCTTATGGTTTCATTTCTGAAATACGGATTCATAGAGGGCCCATTCTTGTGGAAGTGTTTTCAAGCGACCCTATACTGTGCATGGGCAATGTGAAGTTTAGATGCAATATGCATTCCTTAGGGGATCATTTAGACTGACTTTAACTGAAATGCACCGAATTGCATTTTGGAGGAAAAAGAATTGGGAGTAGTTTTGAATTTAAGCAGTCGAAAATTTTCTCCAGGCAAAAATTCAGAGTCAAGAAAAAGTATTTTGATCATGAAAGTGGTGGTTAATGCTTGAATCTGCCTCTTGTCCAGTGGTCCAATAGAGCTTACTATTTCTTGCTCATCCATAGAAGAACCTATATTCATAGAGAGACGAATGGCACATTCGTTGTTTCTAAAATGAGTCGGACATAGTTGTGACATGTTCCTTATTACAACATGTGGTCCAATTATGATTTCATGATCCTTGGTTTCAATCAATATTTACTAAAGCTAGAATATGAGATTAGACTTGTTACAGACTCTCATAAAAAACTAAATAACTTACCTGTCCACGTTTGAGACCAAAATACCTAGAGACAGGATCCCCTGCTTGAATCCTCATGAGCTGGTTTTCTTTCAGTTTACTGAAATATTCGTTGAGGAAAATTTCAACTATATCGATTCTTACAAACAACAATTTTTAAAACTTCATATCACTTCATTTATACAAGTCAACTTCCAACAAATTACTTCTGCAAAGATCAATCATGGTCAAAGGATGACCTTTCATTTTACTTGGCCAAATAGATTTGGACTAAGCTAAAACTAGTTTGTAAATAAAACCGACTGCTCATTTCGTCAGACCACTTCTGCGAAAGTTAGAGGGCAAGTTTACCTAGATTTGGACGAAGCAAATAAGTTTTGATAATAGGTCAAATGCACTGGTCACAGGATCAAGTGTTGATGATTTCCGATTATAGAATAGCAGATGGCAATAAAATTGTTCCAAACAGCTAACGCCAAGTTCCACTATCCATTATTAATAGAGGGGTCGCCCTTCAAAAAGCATGGAGTATGATATGGATTGAATTTTGCAAAAAGGAAACCAAGAGCATTCTAATGCCACTAAGATTGTGCAACTTTTTTATCTTACAAATATAAACTGATCATCTAAACAATTATTATCTTTACTCCCAAAAAACTATGAATTCAAGACGACAATTATCTTTGTAAATTTAATTTTTTGCATATCATTGATCACAGTAATTTTTGGCGAGGAATGTGAGTTGCACAATCCTTGCAACATTAGAATGCCGTTGGTTCCTTTTTGCAAAATGCAACTCACATCATCCACTGTGGTAGTGCGTACCACTGTTTCATCCCTATATTAAGTCCAGCAATCTGTGCAAAGGTGTGCATCACTGATTGATGAATCCAAGGTGAAAGAATCGCTATGGATGACATCATAAATCATGATTTTTTAAGGCAAAGTCTCCTTTAATTTTGCGCATAAATACTGAGTGTATTTCAAATTTATCTTATTATTTTTTGCCTATACCCTTGAAAAATTCAATCCTAGCGTAATTAACCTATTAAAAATGAAAGTTTTTGACAGATACCACAAGCCTGTAAATGCTGTAAGAAAAGGTAAAGATAAAGGTTTCATCAGAGTAATCAAAAGGATACTATCTGGAGAGAAGTTCTTGTTTTTCTTCAGGAGTCAGGACAACGTGCTCAGGTACTAATTCATGCTCTGTGATGTTGATCAGGAGCTCTGATTCCAAAAAGTGCTCTAAAATATACTTGGGCGCCATATCAACTAAAGACTGGGGAAAAAAGACAAGTTGTTAACATGTGTACAAATAGACCAGAAACTGAGAATTTTGAAACTTTTTTTTTCATTTATTAAGTTAAAACATTATATTTCTTATCTTGTCCACTAAATTGAACAAGAATAAAGAATGCATAAGATGTTTTGATCCAAAATTGACACTCTTCATTGCTCTAGAAAAATAAGTTGATCATTTATTATGTTTTGACAATTTTAATAAATACATCTATCTGCTTCCTTTCGTAATTTTCTCACTGATTCCACAAGAGAATACTTGTACTTAAATATGAAAGCATCCTTGCTCTTTTCATCATAAATTAAATTGATAATCACACCTTCAGACAAAAAAATGAATAATACTGGTTTTGAAATTGAGGGACTGGATGCGAAAAGGGCATTTCTCAGTTGCAGTATTTCAGAATATTATCTAATATTTCATTCATTGTAAGGAAAGTGAATGCATCCATTTCATTAAAAATTTTACTGAATATTCCTTATGATTCTACAATTTTCTATGGAAAGTATGCTGGAAAAATCATCCATTGAATTCTTCTCCAAGAGATTAATTCCCATAATAGATTCTGAAACACCGCAATCGAGAAGTGCCCTTTCCTCATCCAGTGCCTCAATGAGGTTCATACTTCATGGAGGACTAGTCACCAAATTTCCTTCTTTTTTCCATTAATATTTGGCTTAGTGGTTCATTTACTCATCATAAAATTATTAAAAACACCTATTTTTCACAATTGAAAAAGTATTTCTTCATTGACAGATATTTAAAAAAAGTTCGATGGTTTGTAAGACTGAGTAGTGGTTCTTTTCTTCTTAAACAAGCAAAATATGAATTTGCTTTCACAGTATCAAAACACATTACGTACTTGTTTTGCCGAAGGAGTCATACCAGCTTGGACCACAATAATGGCCCGATGAATATTTTCTTCTTGCATACGCTGACAGTAAGTTTTGATTGTTTTGATACCAATTTTTGGCTCTTCTGGGAAAAACACGAACATTTGATCTACAAAAAAAAATAAAGAAATTGATACAGTTAAAAAAATTAGACGAATTGTAGCTTTGAACTGCTATGCCTTGTGAAAAGTACTCTCCTTTCCTTATCCTTTCTTCCAGGCTTTATCTAAGGCTTTATAGCTGCTTTTTGGGAATGATTTCTGAGGTGAGCCATGAATTCAACAGGCTAAAAAAATTGGTAATTTTGCTATCCATTTGATCGCAAAATTACATAGATTGATCACAAGTATGCTTACAACTAGTTGCATAAAAATAATTGTGGTGCAGTGGAGGAAAGATAGACATTAGCCACTCAGCGATGCAGAAAGTTCTTAGCCTTCCCATTTTCCAAATGGGTCCTCTCATTTTAAGAATCTCTTTCCCCCAAATGTTCAAAGCTATAACCTTCATTATTCCTCTAGTGAAGTTGCTGCAATTATGCAAAAACACACAAATTTTCTGCAATTTTCCAAAAAATACGCAAATTTCGGCCTGATTTTCCAAAACATTTGCCATTTTAATACTGTAGCAAGTTGGCTTTCCGATTTTTTCAAGCCATCATAACTGCAAGACCAGGAAATTCCTGGACCCTTGCAGAAGCTGACGAGTGCTCAAATCACGTTTCAGCTCATTTTTTTTATTAAAGTGAGAAAGCACTTTGACTGTATGAACTAGAACTAAAAAATATAATTATGAGACGCTCAGTGATGTAAGGGCTGACTGTCATTTATGAACAGACAGTTTTTCCATTGAATTTGCTTGAAATTCACGTGTCGGACACTAATGGCTGATGCTGTTACCGATGAGTTGAATACACACAAAGAAATTTGTTACGAATCAAACTTACCTGTGGGATCATCATTGTGGGCTACTAACACAATTAAATCTCCACGAGAGGGCCTTTTCTCACTGTGAGAAAAAAGAATAAATACAGTATTATGAAAAGAAGAAGTGGCATGACATTCTAAACCAATTTTCACATACAAATTACATTGTACTAATAAACCTATCACATTGACAGTCAACCGAGGATAATTGCTGGGTAAAGTAATAGACTCTTCAAATATTTTTTACTGTCTTGTTTTTTTTCTTTTTTCCTATTTGAAAATAATACCTAGGTATTTGAAAATCAGTCAACAGCATGTCGCAATGTGAACCAACTTCTTGAAAAGAGGTGAAGTTGCAAACTGCCTGGAAAATCGTTGAACTTTCTCTGTTTCCTTTGATACTTACTGCGGTTCTTTATGACGCGATGGAGAAATAAAATCTTTGAATAAAGTATCATGAACCACCACCTTGATGGCTGGACTAGGGAAACGCACATTTTGGTTTACCACATTCCAGGCCTTCCATCAGAAAATCATCTTATTATCATCATCTTATTTTATTATCATTATCATCTTATTTTTCTAGCAGTAAACTCATCAAAATACTTTCTTGATAACTTCTATGATTTTTCATCCCAGCCTAAGGAATATTCATCAAAAATATCAAACAATATAGTTGATTTGTTTCTATTTAAATGAATGAAATAGTCAGAGCCAAAATTTGAAACTCTGATCTAGAATTAGGTATGCGGCTTAAGAGTTTAGCCATTGATATCTTTGCTGCATCAGCTGGTTTCTGCGGCTGATTATGGAGATTAATTTACTTACTTAAGCTCATATCATGTACAAAAATTGCATGAACTTGATGAAAACTGGCTATCAATTTCTAAGAACTGAAAATATTGCTTACCTAGGTTTATCGCCGAACTGTTCTCGAAATTGGTCTAACGTTTGATCCAATTCATCCTGTGTTACAAGATAACCTCGATCGTGGCAAAGCTGAAATAAAGAGGAAAAAGTTTAAAAGATGAAAGAAGGCTTATTATAGTCCTGTGTGGATTAAAAAGGCAGAACAGACTGCAGAATACTTAATAAATATTGAAGTGTGAGGAACATATGGCCTAGGTCTCAACTATGATAAAGAAAGATAAGTTTAGACGATTTAACTACAAAGAAGAGTTATTGAAAAACATCACATCATGACTTACTCCTCATTCCATTACAGCAGCCTGAAGGTTGAAATTTTATGTTTGTCAGGTTGACATAAATGACATAGGTTAAATGGAGCATGATTGGTCGGCTATGTCTTATCGCTGCTTTGTCGTGCCTATGTCGGATTGAACTCATGACAAGCTTACAGCACCTCTTAAGTTTCCTGTATGTCTTCCATTCCACCTGACAAACGCACAATAAAGCAGCGATAAGACATAGCCGACCAATCACACTTCGCCATTTAACCTATGTCATCTATGTCGACCTGCCGAACACAAAATTTCAACAATCAGGCTGCTGAGGGCCTCTTACCAACACTTTTTTAAAGCTTAATAGACAACTTTGAGCGGAGCTAGAAACAAGCGTTACTCAGCGATCAATCAGAAGCAACTGTAACGTCTTGCACTGTTCACACTTAGCGCACTTTTTTTGTGTTTGATGAAAACTTAGAGCTATCAAAAATTTGTCATCCATTAGACAGTGTACGCACTGTGAAATAAAAATAAATTTAGATTAACTCGTTTTAGATCTGTGAAGTCTCTGCATATCTTACCTGCATGACTGTTTTCCTAATTCTCCAAAGTTTGTAAGTTTCTGCTTCATCATCCATGTTAAATTGTCAATTTATAAGAGCTGTTAATTCACTGAACCTATTAAAAACATTAAAAATAGAACCAATTTGCTAAATTATAATTATTTGCTGGTAAAGTTTCTTCCGGTCGCGAACTTCGTGTAGATTGCTGTAAACATAACCTCCAAGCGCAACGTCGCTGCGCGATGAGCGTTGGACGGTGGCGCCGCGCCACGGCCATCAGCGTTGAGTAAAAATGGCGGTAAAATTCAAAATGACGCTCTTTTTCTTTCAAGTAGGGTTTTCAAGAAATTTCATGGGGAAAAAAGTAATTTCATGAAATTTCATGGGGAAAAAAGAAATTTCATGAAATTTCATTCGATGAAATTTCTTTTAGCAACTCTAAAGAATCAAAGAATCAAAGCGAGTACTAGCATTACGCGGAGAGGCGATCTATATACCAACCTAAATAATGGACTATTCACTTTCTGATTGATCACGCGATTTAAAGTCAGCGGATTTTACAGGAGCATTTCTCGGAAACCTACCAATATATGGATTACATTTTGCGATAAAGGAACCACTATCTCTGGTTCTCCCATAAAAGCACATACATACACAGGGAAACCAATGGCATGTATGTTATTTCTAAAATGGGCCAGAAATAGTGGTTCCTTATTGCAAAATGTAATCCATATTATAACCGAAACTTTGAAAATCCAAAGATCAGAGCATCAAAATACTAATTAAATCAATAAAACTATCAAAAATTGACTAAAATTCAGGGAAAAACAGACTAAAGGCAACGGTAGTGTCTATTTAAACACACGTAATTTCTGATTCTGCATAAAATATGAAAATTGTTGTATAAATGAGTCGTAACATGTATCTAAGCTCGGTGTTTCGGTACCATGTTAAACATGAGAGAGAAGTTAGGAGAGCACATATATAAATGTTCATACGAGCTTTATATTGGTCCGCAAGTACATCGTAAAAAAAATCAAATGAAAATAATAAACGACATCAAATAAGTAAATTAAAAAAATAGAGTGTCAGGATTTTTTTTTTTTTTTGACAACCACCCCCAGAGATCCGAAGCTGGGTCAAATTGACCCGCATATCTCGCCTGAGGGAGCGATGGTGCGGATACACACGAGATTCAGACATAGATCTATGGGCGAACCCTATAAAAAGATCTAGACATCGAATTGAAAAAAAAGAAAAATCACGAGTCATCAAAGCCGAAGATAGGACTAGGAAGGACGTAATCCAACTTCGTTTTTTAACTTTTCCTCCGAATCTGAGTGACTCTGCGATGGCAGCATAGAGCAGAGCATTGCCTCGCGTCATCGCGCCTTCAATTTTACAGATGCAGCACGGACATCCATCAAGCACGAATAGTTGTATCTCAACGCCGTCGCCAGCGCGCGTCCTTTCCCGTGCTCAGCTTCCATATTGTGCTAGTCTCCGTTTGCCTTATTTGTAGCGATGCTTCAAGAACTACGTGAACAACACGGCCGAAGATAGAAGAGACGTAATTCGGCCTACTCTTTAACTTTTCTTCCGCATCTGAGTGACACCTCCTTGGCAACAGAAAGCGAAGCATTGCAATTGCGAATTGACGCCTCGCGCCATAGCGCCTTCAATTTTGCAGATGCAGCACGGACATCCATCAAGCACGAATAGTTGTATCTCTGCGCCGTTGTCAACGCGCGTCTTTCCCCGTGCTCTGTTTCCAATTTGTGCTAGTCTCCGTTTGTCTTATTACCAGCGACGCTTCAAGAACTACGTGGGCAACACGGCCGCAGATCGGACTAGGAAGGACGTAATTCAACCTCGTTTTTTAACTTTTCCTCCGAATCTGAGTAACTTCGCATTGGGAGCATAGAGCAGAGCGCCAGAGCATTGCCTCGCGCTTTCAATTTTGCAGATGTAACACGGACAACGCACGAATATGTTCTGGTGTATCTGCGCTGTTATTGGCCCGCGTTGAGGTGTCTCTTATTTTTGAAATTCGAGAAAAGTTAAGGTTTAGTGTCTAATTCAATAACCATTTCGGGAAAAAGGTTAAAAACATGTTAAGTGGTTTCCCAAGCACTGTGGAAGGCGCACGTCTAAAAATTCTTATTTTGGCGAGAGTTGTGTCTTGTCAAGGAATTCTTCTTTTGACGACTATCGTTAGAAATTCCAAGCTGGGTCGAATTATCTCCTCTGAGCGGGCCGATTACTGGAAATTTAGATCAGTCCGATGTGGTATTCATATATGGACTGAGTTTATCAGATAGGAACCAACCCACATCAAGTTGAAACTAGGAAAAAAGAGGTTTGTCTAAGATAAACTTTAACCCCTCTTTTCACAAACTAATCATTTTTTCCGATTTTGAGTTTTTGTCAGAAAAAAATATACAACAAGAAGAACTCAAAAGCATTCTTAACTCAATTTTTTCTAAAATGTGGGTTGGTTCCTCTCTGATGAACTCGGTCCGTATGTACCCCTCGCCCACCTTCAAGTCATATTTTGCGTTGCGACATCTTATTCATGCATTATTCTTGTTGCACGTACTTCTGACTCTTCTCTCAACAAACGCCCAAATATTTAACTCCTCAACTTCATGTAACTTCTACTTCACCGCAACCGTACGGTGCGGGAGTCTCAGCAGTAAAGTTACCGATGCTTATCGTTCGCCGCTCACTAATATTACATTCATGGTTATATGTTACGATGCCTGCGCACTAACTCACCAGCAGCTATGCGAGGGAGGCAAAAGAGATTTGCGTCAGTGAGATTATAATCATTATCATTACTCCAGGCTCTCCGTAATCAGATGCGGGGGGGGGGGGCACTGACTCCAGTCCAAAACAGAAGCATGGTTCGACTGTTCCCACCAACTGACGGCGCCTTTGGCAGTACCGCCCCCTTCCACCCTTATTCTCGACTCACCGTCCTCAGTACCCGGCGCACATCGGAATAAAAAATCGGTGCTTAAAGAAAAGCAACAAGTCCAAAACGCGAGGGAAACGACTTGTTTAAAATATCAAGGAGGAGATAATTATTTCTAATTTAAAAAATTAGTGTTTTTGAAAATGATTTCTTTTGATTAATTTTTCGTAAATGGAAAAATATGCAAGAACGTAGGGAAAAATAAAAATGAAAAATAAACCTTTAGCCTTGCTTTATTCATGAACCTAACCCAACATAGAGAAAGTAAACGATATCCAAACGCTTCTGTTTATAGTGGACCATTTGGACCGCGTTTAGCAGAATGGAACCAAGCCACATAAGCCACTGCCAAAAATCGGACAATCTAATTTTTTACATGAAAACGGTTGTGCGGATTTTTGTGCAAATATCAGCGAATTTTCTGCATAGTACGAAGCAAATCCCCTAAAATTTTCAAATGAGTCCGCAAAAACGTTCTCTTGTAAAATATTAAATCGCCCAGTTAAATTTGATAATAGCTGATGTGGCTTGGTTCCTTTCTGCTAAACACAGTCCTCTCACGAGTATATCCATGTAAAACGCATAAACTGAACTACTGAGCGCCTGCTGCGTTTTCCACTCCACCCCCTCCCCGCCGCTGCTCCTGAACCCGACCAATATTTTTATACGTACCTATCAGTTTTAAAACCTTCCTACCATTCTTGATTTTGTCAGAATTTAATTAACAGCGCCGAGAGTATATGGGGTAAACGCCCGCCATCGGATGCCTAATTCCCATCATTTTCTGCTCGCCTCGAGACATTTTGGATGCTTGGGCATTAATCGCTGCTTCCCTTAATTACCTAATTCTACCGTACGACCTTCAAGGAGATTTTCAAGTCTCTCAGGGGCTATACTTATAAGTTCAAGGAGTAAGTGGATCGATGTACTTACAGGCAATCAAAAAATTAATCTATGACTTTGCTCCTGATAGCACCGTAGATCCCGTAGGTGAGGCTGTATTTGCATTCTATAATTTGATTTTTTTATTGGGCTGAAGAGACCATGGGACTGCGTCGGCGTCGAATAGGGAATTTTCCTCTTCCCAGAAATTTCTGGTTGAGATTATATTCTCCCGGAAACTTTTTACAAAGGAATATATGAACACGTAGAAAGTATTCATTCGCATATTGAATGAGCCACCGGGAATTCCGTTCCTATTCCCGTGAATACATGCCGTGCTGAGGAAAAACGCCGTATGAGCATTCGAATCTTACCAAATTGCCTTTCGGAAAATATTTATTTTTGAAGAAACTTATGAATATTTTTCATTGAAATTTTCAGACACTTTAGACCAAATTACGAGCAAAATTTTCTGATAAATTGGAAGAAAATTATTGATAACTTTTCCCACAAATTCTTGATTTCTCAAGGGAAATTTGACAACGCCTGAAGGCTCATACGGCATTCTTCCCTGGTAAATAGATCGTATTCGATAATTGTTCAATGTATCGTTTGGTTCAAAACCAGAGAACATAACCTCAAACAAAAATTTTAGGATTTAAGTCAAAAAAGCTGAAAATGAGAAAATTCCCAACAATTTCACTTTTCATTGCCATATATTGTGCTCATAAGAATCAAAAATCATCACAAATAACCCGTTCCCTCAGATTCCTCAATTGACTTCTGGGGCTATTTCGCGTGTTCCTGTGGTTCGGGTCTGTTTACATTGGGCCAACTTTGGAGCTCCACGATAGCCTAAAACTGATGAACCAATCAGAGAGCGGTACATAGATGGCAATACTCTCCCGTATATGTACAGGTACTCTAGTAACACCAATGGGAAAATTCGCACAGCTCAGATAACCTCACCGTCAGTGGTGACGAAGAGATAAATCTTGGAGCTATTAATTTGGCGGGTGATTAGGCGGAAAATTTATCGGGGTGGTGGATGACGGTCGGTGTCTATTGGGCAGCCTAATTACTGTCCCAGCCGGCCGGAGCGCCTTGCCGTGGGGCATTCTGGACAGACACCCCATCGCGGAAAAATTGCGATTCCCCAATTCCGAAATGGATTCCGCCAAGTTCGCCGTATTCGTTCTCTTTTCTCTCACCTGCGGCTCTGCAGCTTTTGAGTCCACGGCGGGAAACTACGGTGAGTCTATCAGCTGTGCGTCCATCGCACACAGTCACGCTTTTTAACTTCCCAGTCAGAGAGAGGGAGATACTTTGGTGCCTTTGATGACCAGTTTTTGACACCCCCCCCCATCATAAATTTTGACCATCAGGCGTTTTTTGCCTTTTTGACTCAATCAGAGGAGAATTGAGCTCCGTGCTAAGGATAAACACCGTACGGACTATTAGGCGTTGCCAAATTTATTTCGATAAAACACGAATTTTCCAAAAAAAACTTATGATTATTTTCCTTCCAATTTTTCAGATAATTTTGTTCGCAATTTCATTTAAAGTTCCTGAAAATTTGAAGGGAAAATATTCATAAGTCTCCTTAAAAATCAAAATTTTATCGGAAGAAATTTGGCAACACTCGAATGTTCATACGGCGTTTTTCCTTAGCACGGCAAAATAATTATTGAAGGACCTCGAGGACAAGGCGCATAAGTGCAGTTTTTGCTATTTCGAGAAATACGCGTTTGAAGTTTCGAAATTGAAGGAATTCTCATGGCGGAAAGAAAGTTCAAACTGACTTCTTGATGCTTAAAAATTTGAATTCGGGAGCGAATTTTTCGCAAGTTTTACTTGAAATCATTAATATCCCATTTTTTTCAAAAACTGCACTTATGCGCCCTGTACTCCAAGCTCCTTAAATAATGTGCAAGTAAGGGCTTTAAAAACTGATTCAAAACGGGTTGTTGGCAAAGGCAAGGAATCCTTTTTAATGTCCACCGAAGCCCTAGATGACTGAGAACTGTGCTAAGGAAGTATTGAGGGATCCCGTCTTTGCAATATCGTATATCGCCTTCATTTTACTGGGTAGGCCAAGCAAGATATTTTGCGTCTTTGCAGCTCGCATATTTTGATGACAAAAGGAACCATTGTATCATAACAAAACTTACTTTTGTATTTTCCTGCTTGATTGTTCACTCTTTTTCTCTTCGTGGATTCTTCAACCGTGTTTTATTAATTATTTGAAGAACATAGGTATGTAAACGAATTCAACGGGTTTCGCTAAAATAACTAAACGCATAACGTCTGAGAAAAACGAAAGTTTATCCAGGGTTGTTAATGCGGATGTCATCTCCGTCTAACCAAACCACGCAATCATGCGGAATACGACCCGTAGATGGATACTGCTGTGTCGCGAAACATGAAATAAATAAATATTTAAAGATTTTCATCATTTGAACACCCTGGTAAAAATTGGCAGTAGAATCTGTGTTCCAAAATACCACAGACTAAAAGCCGGCTGTAAGATTTCCAACAGCTTCTGTAGCCGGCTGTACAATTTCTTATAGCCTTTTATAGCCGATGGCGATTAAGCATTAGCCAGACGATAAAGTTTATGCTAAACGTTACAAAATACGGATACTAGGACTTAGTGAGTTTTTGGACTACCGCTCTCTTTTTGTGCCATAGTATCTTGATATATTTTGCGAGGAAAGCTCCGTACTTTTGAAGGATGCCTGTCATTCTTAATATGCTGGAGCGCCTTCAATTTCTTATGATACTGTGCAATACCTCTGGTGTGAAATAGTTGCTTCATACACCGTGGCACGCTGCGGCGCGGCGGGCGGGCAGAGGGCGCGAAACGCGCACTGGCGCCTACAAACCTAACAGTGATACTTCACGCATTGCGCAATGCGTGAAGTATCCCTGCTAGGTTTGTAGGCGCCAGTGCGTCGCCGCTCCGCTTTGTGTCAGGCTCTAATATTTAATCTCGCGGAGTCAGCGTTTTTCAACTCATGATTCTGAAATGTTTGCACTCTCTGTATGGAGTATTCTCATTTTAATTGATGAAAAAAAATGTGTTTTAAAGGAAAATATAATGTGTGTTTTGTAAACATTAAGGTAGTTCCGTAAAAAACTTAATGATTTTCAAAGAACACAAATTTCTATACAATTTCTTATAGCTTTTTATAGCCAATGGCGATAAAGTGTAAAGCCCGGCGATAGAAACTATAGCCCGACTGTATACTTTTTATAGCTTCGTATAGCCCGGCTATACAGGGTGCGGCAAAAGTCCCGGGACGGCTGTTTATTTTTTAAACGGCTACACGTAGAAAAACGAATTTTGGGGGATGTTCTTGGGTCAAAGTAAGCTACTTTTTGGCACTCCCCAAAATTTTTTTGGAGGCCCCCCTAGGGGAGGGCGGGGGGCAACTTTTTTTTTTCAAATGGCAACCCCCCCTTTGTGATACCTCATTCGAAAGATAATAAAAAAAGAAAATTTTTGGCGCAAACCACAGGTCAAAATGTTCATTTTTGACAAAATGGCGGCCGGTCAAAGTTCAAAATGGCGGAAATTTGGCATCTCCGTTGTTTATTGACGGATTGGTGTGAAACTCGGAATCCTAGGGTTTTTCGAGATGAGAAAAACGATTCTGGCATTGGTTTTCCAGAAAAGTCAGTCCTTTTCAAAATGGCGGCGGTCAAAATGGCGGCCTCGAGCGGGAAGTGGATATTTAGGTTGCATATCGTTGGATTTGCATGAAACTTGGTATCTGGAGGTATTTCGGCACGAGAAGAACGAATCTTTCATTGGATATCTGAAATTTTGACAAATTCCTAAATGGCGGCGGAAAAATTGCGGGAAATCAGTTTTACGGCTGTTTACCGATGGATTTGCATGAAATTCGATATCCTGGCGGTTTTTGACTCGTTAGACAGGAATCTTTCATTAGATTCTTGAAATATCAAATAATTTCATGCTAATCCATCGGTAAAGAGCCGTAAAACTGATTTCCCGCAATTTTTCCGCCGCCATTTTGGAATTTGTCAAAATTTCAGATATCCAATGAAAGATTCGTTTTTCTCGTGCCGAAATACCCCCAGATACCAAGTTTCACGCAAATCCAACGATATGCAACCTAAATATCCACTTCCCGCTCGAGGCCGCCATTTTGACCGCCGCCATTTTGAAAAGGACTGACTTTTCTGGAAAACCAATGCCAGAATCGTTTTTCTCATCTCGAAAAACCCTAGGATTCCGAGTTTCACACCAATCCGTCAATAAACAACGGAGATGCCAAATTTCCGCCATTTTGAACTTTGACCGGCCGCCATTTTGTCAAAAATGAACATTTTGACCTGCGGTTTGCGCCAAAAATTTTCTTTTTTTATTATCTTTCGAATGAGGTATCACAAAGGGGGGGTTGCCATTTGAAAAAAAAAGTTGCCCCCCGCCCTCCCCTAGGGGGGCCTCCAAAAAAAATTTGGGGAGTGCCAAAAAGTAGCTTACTTTGACCCAAGAACATCCCCCAAAATTTGTTTTTCTACGTGTAGCCGTTTAAAAAATAAACAGCCGTCCCGGGACTTTTGCCGCACCCTGTATGATTTTCTATAGCCTCTTTTAGTCGGCTATAAGAACTCCTATGATATTTTGAAACGCAGCTCCTATCGCCAATTTTTACCAGGGCAAGTATATTATTAGTGTCCTGTGGATGATCACACATTTTTTTTTTTCATTTTTTTTTTTTTTTTTTTTTTTTTTTTTTTTTTNTTTTTTTTTTTTTTTTTTTTTTTTTTTTTTTTTTTTGATATAAAAGGAATTTTATCCGATAAAATTTTCCGCTCTGAAACCACTAGAATTATATTTTCAACAAACCAAGAAGAAAAAAAAAGTTTGCATTCACCGTCTTCTCTGACGGCATGGCAATCAATGATGATACTGCAGAGATGCGTATCTCGGTTTGCGGCGTTGCAGACTTCCTGTCATACCTTATTTTCTACATGGAAAACTACTAAACGTCACTCTTTGAAAAGAGCCGTATGCAAAAACGACATTTTTCGCCCCCCCACTAAAACTTATTCAAACTTCGTCTATCAGTTACTAATACTGGAGCGCTTCTTTCCCCAAATTTTCAGACCCCCAAAAAATTTTGGGGGGGGCGCTAGGGGGGGTGGAAGTCAAAACCTGTGATCCTCGATATCTTTCGAACGAAACAAGATATTGAGGCTCGGTTTGGACGAAAAATCGTCTAAAATTGCATACTTTAAGATTCTGAAGGTCAAAATCCCAAAATTAAATTTTGAAATTAACTTATGTGGTTTTTTTCAGTTTTTGAGGGAAAACAATTTCTTTTAAACAGATTAAACTGAAATTTCACATTTTTTATTTGAACCAAAACCAGTTTTTTAAATTGCTCGTCTTTTTTCGCATCCAACGAATGGTCGTATAAGCTGGGGAACTAAACGGTTCCGGAGTTATGATCGATTGAAGTTTCCGCTCAACGCGCGCCGACCGATTTTCGCGCGCAAAAAAGTCGGATTTGACTGTTATTAAATCAGATTGAATGTTCAAACGGAGCAAAATGCATTAATAGGGACTCTTGAGGGTCGCTGAGTTCAGAAATTATAGATACTTCCAAAAAATTCACGTTTTTAAAATTACAGCTCCGTACAAGACCACTGAGCGGTCGGTCGGCGCTCAGTGGGCCTCTAAAATAGAGCTACGGAGCTGTAATTTTTGTCTGAAAATTTGGGGAAAGAAGCGCTCCAGTATTAGTAACTGATAGACGAAGTTTGAATAAGTTTTAGTTGGGGGGGGGGCGAAAAATGTCGTTTTTGCATACGGCTCTTTTAGTGATTTTTCTTCTCCTCATAAAGAATATTCCGTGAAAACTTTAAACCATGATGATGGATCAATCTTCCTCTGAAAAATAAAATAGGAGCGGAGATATCGAAACACCGCAACCAAGATACGCTCTCTGCAGTTTCACCGTCGAATTCGCGTACCCATGATCATAACTGATACCTTTTCACTTTTTATGTGTTCTAGGCAACCACGAAAAATGGCTGAAATACAGTCGCGCGCTCTCGAACAGTCTCAGCAGCGAGGAAATCCTAAAATTGCACGATACGGAATCCTCTCCGAAAACGCGCACGACACCCTGCGTCGACGGTGAAGATTGCAACGACCGGCGAAGCCTCAGCATCTCCGAGGAGTCGGAGTCGGAGACACCCATGTCGATGCTCTTCCTCAACCTCGACGACCTCGAGATCCCCTTCCCGGTCGTGAAAGACGTCCTCCACTTGAACAAGAACCACGCGGACCGAGGCAAATTCGTCGCCAAGAAAGCTGTCGTCTTCTCCTTCGTCAACAAAACAGCTCTCCGCGAGATCGATACCTCCGGACACGTGGATCCCAAAGACGACCCCATGGTCATCGCCCTGTTTCTTCCTGTTGATTTCCATGCCAATAAGCCCGTTGCCAGCATTCCGAAAGCCCCGAAACACGAGATCGACGCCGAATGGCCCAGGTTCTTCAAGACTCTCCTGACGGAAATGGCTGCATCCAACGTCACATCGCAGAACTTGCTCCAGCTCCTCATGCCGAATTCCACGCCGGGCATCCATGCCCGGCAAATTTTCATGCAAAATTCTACACCCGATATGGATGCTCAACATCCCTTTATGATCAACTCTCCGCCGGGCATGTACGCCCGACAGCCCTCAATGTCCAATTTTGCACCGGGAATGGATGTTCGACAACCCTTCATGTCCAATTCTGCTCCGGGCATGGATGCCCGACAGCCCCTCATGCCCGATGCTGCACCGGATATGGATGCCCAACAGCCTTCCATGCCAAACTCTCCGCCGGGCATGGATGGCCGACAGCCCTTCGTGTCCACCTCTCTGCCGGGCATCAATGTCCGACAGCCCCTCATGCCCGATGCTGCACCGGATATGGATGCCAAACAGCCTTCCGAGCAAAACTCTTCGCCGGGCATGGATGGCCAACAGCCCCTCATGTCCAACTCCGGACTGGATATGAGTGCTCCACATCTCTCTCCGCCGGCCATAGACATCCAACAGCCCCTCATGGCAAACTCTCCGCCGGCCATAGACATCCAACAGCCCCTCATGGCAAACTCTCCGCCGGCCATAGACATCCAACAGCCCCTCATGGCAAACTCTCCACCAGCCATAGACATCCAACAGCCTCTCATGGCAAACTCCCCCCCGGTCATAGACATCCAACAACCCCTCATGCCTAACTCTTCGCCACAAATGGATCCCGAACACCCTCCCAGGCCCGACCCCGAGACGCCGCCGGTCACGGACGCCCGGCAGGCCAGCTACGAAGAGGCCATGCGAATCGTCAAGGACCACAACTTCCCGGACACGGACGTCACACTCTACTTCTTCCGCACCCCGCACGTTACCGTCCCCCCGAAGTACGTCAAGAAAGTCATAACGGAAGCCGACGTGCCTCTAGCCGCCGGCAGCCTGTCAAGATTCGAGGTGAACGAAGTCTACTTGATGACAGTCGCCAACGAAACCGCCGGCAAGGCACTGAGAGAGGAGCTAGATGGTAATACAGGGGCGCCATTAACCACCCCAGTCGTTTTGTCCTTCATCATCCCCGTGGATTTCAAAACCACACGTAAGACACTCCCTCGAGCCAAATTAGCCGGTGGCCCCCCGATGCTTGTGCCGGGCAGCGGGGCCCGGCTCGTGCCGCTGACCATCATGCCGATCCCCATGTTGGTGGATTTGAGTCCGCGGTTTTCGGATTTGATCCGTAGGCAGTACTTGAGCGCCGGTGTCCACGGAAGTGGAAGTCCCGGTGGTGTGGGGGTGGATACCGTGAACCTGCCGCAGGGAAGTCCGAGGAGGAATCCCGAAGGGGTGCAGCCACGACCGACGCGGCCTCAGGGTAGTTCTGACGCCGGCGCCTACCACTACCTCAGCGCGCCGCCCGCTACGGCGCCTGGCGGCATCGCCTCCGCATTACAACCTTGAGGGTTTGTAAAATGCACAATGAGAATTGTCACGAAATTAGGTTTTAATGGTTCTCTTTTAGTTTATATAATTAATACGAAGAATAATATTATTAATTTTGGGGCATTAAAATACAAGTCCTAAATTCAAAAGATGCGTCTCTTTTAAAAAAAAAACACGATGGAGAATATCCTTGAGAAATTGTGATTCCTTGCAATAATTGGACGTATTTCTGCCAAACGAAACTATGTGCATTAAGACATGAGCCCTGCGACCCATAACAATTTATGCATAACAGGACTCACGTCATAATGCACATAGTTCCGTTTGACAGAAATATGTCCAATTCATATTTGGATTGCGTTTAGCAGAAAGGAACTAAGCCACACCAAATATTGCTAATACCTGTCTGGGCAATTTAATTTGTGGCAAGAAAAGGTTTGTGCGGATTCCTTCGAAAATTTTGAGGGATTTGCTTCATACTGTAGCAGAAAATTCACTGAAATTTGCATAAAAATCTGCACAACCGTTTTCATGTGAAAAATTAAATTGCCCAATTATGTTTGGCAGTAGTTGATGTGGCTTGGTTCCTTTCTGCTCGAAGCGATCCATTTAATCCAAGCCGATTTTCAACGAAGAATCCTGATAAATTGAGATGAAATCGCGGTTGAACGGAGATTTTACCTACAGGACAAATTTGTGATAAAATCAGGTGAAATCACTCGTACGATGGTAATTTCATAGCAATTTGATTGCTGCTCCTTGAATACAACTCCTTTTTCTGGAGAAGTCTCTTTCACTTTAACTTTGCCATTGAGAGGTTTCCAGGAACCTTTAAAATCGAATCAGAGGATAAAAAACCGTTGAAGACGAGGCTTTTGAAAAAGTCTAAGTAAACATAAACATGTCACCTTACAAATGGATCCGTTCAGGATACGAGTGAATTTTCACGAGATATAAATTAAAAATACCACATAAATCAACGATTTCCATGGTTTTGGCAAACTCTAGAATAGCCACTTACTTACATTAAAATTATTTACTTTAAAACCTATCGATCCTTTTTCATAAGTATAAATGGCAGACCAATCGATATATCGCAAAGCACGCCACACCACTGGAACCCAGCCCACAAAAAATGAGCTTTCAAACCAGAACAAACGATTCATTTTGAAGAAAAGCATAGATGCCACTAGAATTGTATGATAGGTAGGCGTTTCTGCAAACGAGCCGTTCGATGCGGTGCGTTGACGACAGGATGGATGAGCTCACCTGTTTACCTATCTGAGGGAATCCATTGTAGAGAATTCAGGCAAAGACTGGAAATGAAGATAGATTGGCATGGGGCCCCAGTGGCGCAATCGGTTAGCGCGCGGTACTTATAGGACAGTCGTCGCAAGCTATGCCGAGGTTGTGAGTTCGATCCTCACCTGGGGCACGGAAATTTTGAAGTGCTGGACCGAGGTTTACGCCTATTTAAGTGATAAGTCGGAATGTTTGAACTGAAACTCAAAGGGGAGGCAGGTGACCAAAAAGCTCATTGTCAGATGAGAGAACACAAATTCTGCTTATACGCAAAGTGCCTTCAAATATTTTAGATACATCACGCAGGACAGCCAAAGGACGGTCTGATCACCAGCACTGACTCCAATTGCAAATAACCTTTCACGGAAAATGAAGAGAAGGGAACTGTTAATTATGAAAATATCTGACCGGTATTTTCTCCTTTTGCCATCCGTGCGGCGTGGCGTGCTTTGCGATGTATTGATTGATCTGTCATTTAAACCTATGGAAAAGAATCGATAAACAGAGTGTTCGCAACGAACGCCTTAATAATCGATTCATTACCATAACTTCAAATGGGGGAAATCTCAATTATTGATCATTCACGCCTCGTCATTTGCGAATATTTTTGCTACGTATACGTAACCACTTTGCCCTGTAAAGCGACCATGGGTGTCGGTTTTTCAAGAAAGACCTGAAAGAGGACGGATTGCACGCATATGAATTTTTGCATCGGTAAAATTCGGTGCTTGGTAAAAAAAACGAAGAAAATGAAAGAAGCTCTGGTAGAGAGTAAAAAAGCGTTTTGCCGTAAGTGGCTCATTACCATTTCGTGGCGCAACTATTCATGTTTTCGCGAAATCCCCCGTAAGTATACTCATTTGTTTCCTTTTATCAAAGCTGCGGATGGTCAAGTGAGTACAGATTTTTATTCACCAATGAAAAAAAAAACCCAAGATTGAAAGAATTGGTGTTATTCAAAGAACATTTGGTTGGCATCTAAAAACAGGAACAAATATAAAACAGAAGGAGAGTAGGTGGGTACAACTCAGTTTTTATACAGCAAAAAATACCTAATTATTTACAAATTTTTTGGGTTGTAGGAACAATGTGCGGCGGACGGCACACGTTAAAAATAAAAATGACTCCTCAAATTGAGGTGTGAAGAGGTCTATATAATTGTTTTTTTTATTATTTGAAATATTTTAATGAGACATGAAGTTTTCCTGAAGCATTGAAGTTGATGATATCATCAGAATTTTCTTGTAAAATTGTATAGACTTTAAGAAGAAAGGGTCTTCAAACATCAATGCAGGTCACATGTTAGAAATGAATGATAAGCAATTTGATGATCAGAAAATTATGGAATAATTTTGAAACCACGTCCGTTGTCCGAGTAAGATTGAAGATTCGGAGGACAATGCGATTTGAAATGTTCAGTTGGGCCGTACTTAAGGAGTTATTTAATAACATTACGTCATCAATTATTTATTTATTTATATTTTCTTCGTTCCAGCCACTCTGCAGCACATACGTCACATTGTCACATATTATGTGATTTCCAGAGATTTCTTTAAAAAGCGTCTTAAAATTCAGAAATTATTATACGATAGTCGGTCTACTATCGACTTTTATTCATGAGTCGTAAATCCTGTAAATCCTCCTCTACTTTCAAGAATGCATTCCTTATTCAAGAGCACTCTAGGAGCTGTAATCAGATCGGTGTTGTCCCTTATTTCAAGTAGCGTCAACATAACTAACAAGGGGAGTCTACGAAGTGACATCCTGGGATTGGGTTCATTTTGCTTGTACATGAAGAAGAGACAAATCTAAGGTTGACGTATTTTTTTTTAGCCGCCACCTCCCAACCGTTCTCGAGATATCGATTTTTAAAGTTACGATTTTTGCACGTTTCCGCGCGGAGTTCCGGCGAGTCAACTGAGCGCCGGCAAGCTGCACGAAGCGCGTTTCTTATCAGCGCTGCAGACCGGCCGACGTTATCAACTGTTCCGTGGCCGAGTGGTAGAGTGTTCGCCTACCGTTCCATCGATCGCGGGTTCGAGTCCCGCTTCGTACCATAGCTTTTGGGGTCCGCCGCAATGCGTTTTTACAAGTTTCCTTTATTTTTATCACACACCAAGGGGTCCGCCCCCTGGCCGCTACGCGGCACAAACCCCGGGGCGAAAAGGCCCGCTTCGCGGCTTCGCGGCTAGCGAAATCATCGAAATCGACCGTTGCCGGTTGCAAATTCAGAGTAAGGAAAAAGTCATTAAGAATATTGTGTGGTGGGAAATTTTTATTTGAAACATCATTTTATCATTCAATTCAAATTATTTACCCAGTAACCGTCAACGGTTGATTTCGATGATTTCGCTTGCCGCGATGCGGGCCTTTTCGCCCCGAGGGTTGTGCCGCGTAGCGGCCAGGGGGCGGACCCCTTGGTGTGTGATAAAAATAAAGGAAACTTGTAAAAACGCATTGCGGCGGACCCCAAAAGCTACGATACGAGGCGGGACTCGAACCCGCGATCAATGGAACGGTGGGCGAACACTCTACCACTCGGCCACGGAACAGATGATAACGTCGGCCGGTCTGCAGCGCTGATAAGAAACGCGCTTCGTGCAGCTTGCCGGCGCTCAGTTGACTCGCCGGAACTCCGCGCGGAAACGTGCAAAAATCGTAACTTTAAAAATCGATATCTCGAGAACGGTTGGGAGGTGGCGGCTAAAAAAAAATACGTCAACCTTAGATTTGTCTCTTCTTCATGTACAAGCAAAATGAACCCAATCCCAGGATGTCACTTCGTAGACTCCCCTTGTAAGTCTAAGGGATGAACATTTTGTCAGGAATCTTAATTACGCAATAATAGCAAATTACGCAATATTTTAGCAAACAATATTTGCTATAAAGGAGGGCAGATAGGCAAAACTTTTGAAATGTCGGAATAAGCCTTAAAAATGAATCTCAATTTAGGAAGAAAGCCTCACGAAAAGTAAAAAATGTCAGGAATTATGAGGTAAACCCCAGAATTTATTTAATATCAGAGCGCATTTGACTGTCATCCGCCGGAGGGATATGAATGTGGAGGAAAATTCGCTCCTTCAGAGTGGAGTTAAGTAGGTAAAAAGAGTCGATTTCGCTACAAATGCATAGCTTTTGGAATTTTTGGGCAGCTATGGTGTTAAAAGTTTGGGTGCGAAATTCTGCGTCGGAGTCCATGTTGTGCCAAAAAACCCTGACTGATATGAATGCGGAGCAAAATCTACTCTCCTTTTGGAGTGACTTACTTTATTACGGAGCGGAATTTACTCTTTTTGGGGAGTGTCATACGCTTTTATAGTCTTAGCTAACTTTATTTCGCAGTCATACAGGGTTATTCAAAATTCACGCGCCACTGGCCATGAGGGGGGGGGTGGCCACTTGAAATCGTTGAGTTGCCCCCCGACCCCCTCTACCCGAGGGAATCAAACACTGGAAAGTACCTAAAAAAAATTTCCCCCTTGATATGAGGAAAACCGTCCTAAACCGCAAATCGATATCATAATTAGAATTAAAGTTTTAGCCAGTGGTTCGTGACTTTTGAATACCCTGTATCACTCGAGTTTCTTGGGCTCGTATAGACTCGAGCACCAAATTTCTTTCCTCGATTTTTAACGATGTATGCGTGTTTGGACGAAAATTCTCTGCAGATTGCATTCCGAGATTTGTAACGGTGAAATTTATCACTCAGTAGGAGGGAGGAATCCCCCTTACATCCAAACTCGAAGCATCCTATCTGACACCCCCATTACTCTCTCAACCGCTGAGATATTTCAGTTTCGCCCAAAAGTGCGTCATTTACTTTCGGATGCTCCTAGTCCTCGACGATGACGCGGGTTTGGGGAGCTTGATCTGACCGATGAGACTGACGTGCGTGTTCTGGACGAAGCTGTCCAGGGCGTTGAGCTGCTGCTTGGTGAAGATGGCAACGATTGGTCTGTTTATGTTGGCGACGTCGAAGAAGGAGATACGCAAGTCGTTGGGCAGGATGAGCCGGGCGATGGGCAGGTTGGGCAGGTTGGCGAACGGGAAGTTCTGATAGCTGAAGACGACGACGAGCTTCTCGGTGTCGTTGGAGAGGAGGTAGTCGGCGATGTACTTGGTGGCCGGGTCCAGGGTGAGGCCGCTGATGCCGCTCAGAGCGTAGACGATGTCGTAGGATTTGTCGTCGGTGGTGGTGAACACGAATATGGGCTTTCGTTCGATGTCCTCAATGCTGAAACCTTCAGAGAAAAGCAGAACAGAATTTTAAACAGGGGAACATCTGAATCGCCAATGGGAAGGTCGATCCGAGCGGCTCCCCAGTTTTCAAAAATCGTGGTATTAAAAAAATTAGTGACTTGGTCTCAACAATAGTGGTGTGAATAGGACAGTGAGTTGGAATTTTTTAGCCAACGGAATTTTTTTTTTTTTAAATCCAGAAAACTAGAAAACTCAATACAGAGGGAAAAAGCTCATATGACTGAGGACATACAAAGCAGAATTTTGGGAATAACATTATTAATATTAGTTCCACATGGGCAGTCGTAGATATCGTCATTCCTCTGACGTAAGGACGTATCTCGATTCCCACATGAGCCCTGTTCTCTGTATAACTCTGTGCTTTATGGGGCTCCGGTGGAAATATCGATATATCCTCGCGTCTACAACACAAGCCAAAATTTGCATGGGTACTTCTTGATCTGCCCGCTGGAGCTTAATGGGCCTGATTTTTTCCGAGCGCATATAAGTGTACCTAGGCCGGATTGATTCACATTATTCCACATCTGCCCGTAACATGTACGTATATTTCATGGCTTTGATGACAAAAGGATGTAACTGCATTTTGACGTGAGCCCTGGGGAGCATGCGAGTAAAGTCACCAAAGACATGGTTCATCTCAAACTGCAGTTTATTTCTTCTGTTGTTAAAAAGAAGACTTGAGATATATTAAATGTTCAATATACCAACCTCGATGTGGTTCTGGAGCTGTTTGATCCGGCACAGGTTGAGATTGGGGTTGTGGCTGAGCCCGACTTTCCGGAGGGTCGGGGTAATGTCGACGAGCCCCATAAGGATCGAAAGGCTCAGGGTTCGCTGGGATTTTAGGGCTTTCGAAGGGCTCCACAGGGTCTGGCTGTGGATCTGGAAGAGGCTGAGGCTGAGGTTGAGGCTGAGGTTGAGGTTGAAGCTGAGGTTGAGGCTGAGATTGCGGCTGAGATTGCTGGAAGTGGTGCAGCAACTGTTTTACTTGAGGCACTATTCCTGACTCTATCGATCTGATGTGCGTGTACACCGGAAATGCCTGAAAAAGGTCTGTAAAAAAATGGCATTATGAACGATTAACAGGTAACGATGAAATCAGCAGGAATCTATTTTCAAGAAAATTGAAGAGTTCATTGCTATGCTCCAAAGCTGCTTAATTTTAGCGATTATAAATACATCATTACAGTTAAAACCTATGTTTATCTATATTCTAGGTTCTAGACATTTGCTGATCACGATTAATTTTCATTTATGAACCGGATGAACCCTCCTGCAGAGCTAGTTCTGAACCAGGGTTTTTGTATAGGTCCAGAATGTAATTCAACGAGGTTGAGGGAAGTAGGTTTTCATCAAAACTGGTTTGAAAGTGGTAAAAAACGAGAAATCCAGGCCATGCAAGATGTTTTTTTGTGATATCGAGTGGCATGGTCGGTTGGGAGTTGAATCTTATAGGACCTTGTGACTTTAAAGAAAATGCAAATTGGTGTTTGACTAAAAATATATGTTTGACCTTTTACTCCTAAAATAATTATAATGTGTCTCCATGTGAGTACATCATATAATAAGTTTGAGATTATGCTCGCACATTAGCATAGCATTTCCTTTCGACTTTAGGAACGCTCACACGAACAAACACACTCACTGTCCACGTACATTACATTGCCATTGTCTACGAATTGTATCGGGAAACATTACAGATGATAAACTGAACGCTCCTTCAATTCAGTGATTATGCAATGTAAACTACCTTGGTGGCCGAATAGTTGTATCATCTGTTGTGCACTTCGTGTAAAGCTTAAAAATGTGAACCTTTTTTTCAGTGATACCGTACCTAATACCTTCATCTATCTATATATTTAATATCCTAAGGCCTTTTTTGGTCTCCAACAGTTTGTGCTAATTCGATCTCGGAAACTACTGGACCGATTTTCCTCGGATTTGTTTTAAATGAAAGCTCATAGGGTCTAGATGTGCCAAGACCCCTTCATTTTTCGATTTGCGCGACCGAAGTTGCAAAATTTATCTCGATTTGATAACGACATATTTGCGTTTTTGACGCTGGACGAGTCATATGGTTGGGGGACCTCCCACCCTCTGATTTTCCGTTTCCCTCTCCACGTAAACCCATCCCTACCTGCTCACAACACGTGCACCCTTCTACCCTAGCATGGGTCCTACGGCAGTTTCACTCATGTCGGGGGTCGGCTCATGTCTTCTTCCAAGAGAATTGGTGATTTATCTTCACCCTTTCGCACCGTTACAATTTCAAAAAGTGTTCTGATTTTCTTTTCCAGGAGTGTTATATGTTTTTCAAGGTTGTTTCTTTTTCTAAAAGTAGGTAATTTTTAGTTTCCTATTCTTTGTTTTTGAATTTATCATTTTGCCTCCAGGAAGTCCTCTAAGCACTGGTAGTAGCAAAATTTGGCTCGCGAAGCGAGCCAACAGTTACTCGCTCCGCGAGTAACTGGGGGTCCAGGGGGCTTGCCCCCGGCTAGCGGCGCAAGCGAGCGTAGCGAGCTGAAGCAGCTAGTTCTCATTAAGTTATAAAACCTGTATTTCGGATTTAATTCGCTCAGACCCTGTAATTTATACAAAGCCTCATATACAAGTGTTTGCATTATCTGTCAATTTGTACGTCATCGTTGTCGTACATAACATTGTGTAATGAAGGAATTGCTCCCGATAAACAATTTGGTACTTTTTTTTATTTCGACCGTGAACCAGAATCGCACGGAGTAACAATTCTAAAGTACTATGTAAAAATTAAGAAGACTTAAAACTTATAAAATTCGAAATGTCCAAGAGGAATGCGGTCATTATTTTCTATTCCTAAGTGAAACTCTGAGGAACTTCGACCTTCGGTTAATCCCTCTTTGAAGTCCGTGAGATGGATATTCAAGTTAGGGTTCCTGAAAGCTGTGCACTCTTATCTGAACGCAAATTTTATCCATTTATTTCTTACATTACATTCTTATCACTTTTCGAGTATTTTTTTGAGGGTTGGAACTATGGCGGATTTTAATGATTGGAAAACTTACGATCGGCTGGAATGCATTCTGCATACTTGAGTGCCAAAATAGCAGCGTACACTAGTGGTGCAATCATCCTTTTAATTTAAAATGTCTGCAAACCACGAAACAAACTGGCACCTTTCCTCCAAAAATTAAATCGAGAGCGTATCTATTTCACATTTAACAAGCTCTACGTTGCTTCCACGCTCGGACTGCTCCCTGTTCATCAAACTTATCTGTAAATTTTTATCAACCAATTAAGTGATTCAGCCAATACCAAATTTGGTCATGTCCTCCCGTTGTCTATCATTCCCAGGAATCGTCTAGCTTCATCGAGAAACGTCCTAAATCAATCGCTGAATGACGTGATGACATGTTGCATTGACGCCTATCATTTACCACACATAATCCTTATCGTAAATCATATAACATGTAATGATGTCATGATCAGTGAATTGATTTTTGAATTTCATAATCTATTGCACAACTTTTTCACGTGTAGGTATTCATCGCGGAAACGAACTTCTCATTTGCAGGTAGCCATTAATCAATGAACTTTTCAGCTAAAAGTAAGGAGGGTCAAAACAGGAACTAGAAAATCTGAAATTTATTTTGTTAGGTACAACATTTTTTGAACAGTGTCAAAGATTTAAAAAAATCAAATTTAGTAGAATATTCTTGGCTGCTTCGTTGGTTATCGTAAATTCAGTTATTTTTAGTAGAATTTGATGTCCCAATGACCTCTCCGATCCATCTCAATCGCAATGCTTTATAATATCCGCTCTGGTTTTACTTTTTGGAGCGCATATCACGAGACATTGCATGAGATTTTCAGAAAATAATGTGAAAGGGCAAAGCGAAATCACTTCAACTTTTGCACAAAAATGGCGATTACACGTCAATAAATGGTAAAAATACGACAGGAAACGATAACGACGGCGTTAATCTTTCCATCCCCCTCTTCCTTTTATTCTTTGATGACGTAAAGTTCCTCTTGAAATGTGCGGTTACGTATTTTTTTGAGTAATTGACAAGTTTTTCTTTAAAGTTCTTTTCTCACGTTTTCCCCCTTTTTACGACCCACCGCTAAATTCTGGTCCATTTCCGATGGCTCGAACCGCAGATGTTGGAGCACTCTCCCGACACCACCGTTATATCCCCTCATCAGCGCGCTGGGAGAAGCCCGCAACTGACGCAGGATACAGCGAGAGAGGCGACACGATACGAAATTTGAATATTTACATGCAAAAGCAGGAGGGTGTATGCGAAAACGGGCGAGGGCGAGGGTGAGGGTGAGGGGTAAAATTAAAATTTTTTGCACATGAAATTACGGAGGCAGGATTTGCAGGTTACCTGGCTCCTGTTGGCTTCCTTCCGCCGGACGGCAACTGAATCTAAAAATAACCGTTTCGGTCTGGTGACGTCTTGGTCCGCAGAGCAATGTCCCGACAGAATTTTTAATGGCAAGAAAAATTGCTTCCGGGCGGACCGGGTGTTCCTCCCCCTGAGGCTCCTATCGTCCAGAATCTTCTCCGCTTCGACCATTGTATTCTGCCGGGTTGAGGAAGAGCGCCGTATGAACATTCGAGAGTTGCCAAGTTTCCTCCGATAAAATGTTTATTGTTGAAGAAAATTATCGATATTTTTCTTTGAAATTTTCAGACTTTTTATATTCAATTACAAGCAAAATTAGCTGAGAATTTAGAAGAAAAATATGCCGAAATTTTCTTGGAAATTAGTGGTTTGTCAAAGGAAATTTGGCAACGCCTGAGGGCTTATACGGCGCTTTTCCTTAGCAAGGCAGTATTCCGCTCTGAAACTTATAGCCGGCCGTTCGGCTTGCATAGGTGATTCCGTTCCTCCTATGAGTTTCGTTTGCATTCAGAACGCACCGTGCGGCGTTCGACCCCGGAATTGTGCGTGAATACTTAATCGCCGCGCACCGGGTTTGATAATGTACGGGCGAGAACCACCGGCTGTTTTATGAAATTTTGTAGTCGGTTCTGTTTATGACTGTTCTTCCATCACACGTCGATGACCACTTAGTTCTTCGTCGGAAATACCAGCACAAACATCGATATTTTGGACAAGAATTGCTAAAGTACTAGTTTTCCTTTGTCCTTTCGGCTATTTGCAAAAAAATAAAAAATAAAAAAACAAAAAACAATAAGAACAATAAAAACAACAAAAACAATAAAAACAATAAAAACAAAAAAACACAATAACAATAACGATAAAAACCAAAAAAAGGGGAAAAATTCTAAAGTAAAAAGCCCTAAGTGTCATACTCAGTTCGGTTTGGAAAATTGAGTGGGTCAGAAAATGCTGAGTCCTGTACTTTTTGTCGCCAGATAGTGTCTTTCTTACCCCTTCTAAATGTAGCTGAATGTGTACAATTATTCCAATTAAAATCCTCCGAGAAAATTCAGCGAAAAAAAGTCACAAATTGTCCTCATTTAATTAGAGAAGATTGGCAACCTAGGGTTGTTCATACGGCGTTTATCCTCATGACGGTGTGCAAGCCTGCACCGTTGATTGCTCCGATGAACTCATAAAAGCTCTTTTACACCTGCTTAATGGAACGACGCTAGCACGAACGGCGAGCTCGGCTCCTAATGAGCGCGCCTTCAATCAATAAATTATGCATCTTAATATACACGAAAGTATGCCCCGCTCGTCGCGTCGCAGGGGTATCAAAACTAGGTCGCACCGAATGTGCTGAAAGGACACCAGACACTTCACACCGTTTCTTTTCATCCTCGATCAAACGCCCTCTTCTCCCCCTCGCGCATCGTGCTTCGGCTCCTGCGAGGCGTGAATGATCGATTATCGATATTTCCCCATTTGAAGCTATGGGGAAGAATCGAGTACTAAGGTGTTCGTTGCGAACACTCTGTTAATCGATACTTTTCGGTAGGTTTAAATGGCGGATCAATCGATATATCGCAGAGTACACCACGCCACTGAACCTTTCCCTCCGCGTTCTTCGCCGTTGTTACGCTCCCCGGCCTTTCCCCGTTTTTGGTCAAAATTTCCTCGGTCCTTTGTGTCTCGAGATCGTTGAGAATACAATCCCCGGGTTAATTGAGGCACTTAGTGTTAAAAGTGCATTGCAGCGTTGCCGTGCTTCCGTTATTCAGATTTTTTATCTTAGGTCATGGGTCCGTCTAATCGCTAGGGATCCCTCCGTCGCCTTTTGGGACGAAGTAAATTGACAACACGATACTGAGGGGGGAAAATACAAAAAACGATAAAAAAAACTTCTTCAAGCCGATAGCTCCCGATGATGATGATTGGAGAATTTTGTTGGTACATGTTATTATTATATCATAGAAAGCACCAATAGCAGCACCAACCTAACAGGTAGCACCAAAAAAACGTAGCAGATACCAAACTTTTTGCTATTTCTTTGTCCTGGCAAAATGAGTGAGTGAAATTTGGAGACCCCAAAGATGGGTCGTTTTTGACCTGACCGAAAGCCACCAATGATATCCTTTTGGAAGGGTAAAATAATTATTTCTATCTAACTTCCCTTTGACATCTATTGAAAGCAAGTTGTTGATATCTCATCCAGGAGTTGGTTTCCGTACTTTTCGTTGTAAGAATCGTTTTCTGAGAAAGGTTCTGAAGAGGAAACATGTGAAGTTTTCTTGTAGTTCAGACCTTGTCTGGTCGCCCCTTGAAAACGAGTTTCTTAAAATTTGATAAATTTTTTTAAAAGTTTTCTAAAAATTATTATGTTATGGTAGAAAATTTAGTATTGTCTGAAAGGCTTGCCTAAAAATGCTCCATGAGGCTGATTTCCATGACGTTGGTTCCCATGAAAAAGTGACATGGAAATAATTCCTGTTCCATTTTTCCAGTTTTTCCTTCAAATTTTTCTTGTGTAGTTTTGTTGTTAGAAAAAATGTTTCTACGGATCTGCGGATCTTTCTTTGGAAATTGTAAAATCGCCTAGTGCGACACAAAAAAAAGGAAAAAGAAAAAAAAATCCATGTCACTTTTTAATGGAAATCAACTTTGTGGAGCACAATTATTGGCAGGGGCTCTTACGGCGTTTTTCCTTAGCACAACAGTTTGAGGGAAGGAGGCGTTTGAAAAACGAGCGTATGAATCCGACGTCCCCAGGAGAAGGCGCATGATGCGAAAGCTTGCATGAGACACGATTGCGGGAGATTGCACCACTACCACTACAACTGCTGCCTCCTTAGTCCTGCCGGTATTGATCCAGAGTCGCATAATATTTTTGATAGCGCAAAAGGGAAAAGGGGAGCCTTAAACCTTCGGGGCTATGAGTCGTCGGCCCCAATCATTAGCCTCGTCGTCCATTCATTATCTCGCATCCTTCCCTTCGCCTCTCGCTGCCTACACTCGTCCTGTCGTGCTACAGAAAAACGCAGTATGAGCTTTCAGGCGTTGCCAAATTTCTATTGATAAAATACGAATTTCCTGGTAAATTTATGAACATTTTCCTTCCAATTTTTCAGATCATTTTCTTTGCAATTTTACCTGAAGTTCCTGAAAATTTCATGAAAAAATATCCATAACCTACTGCAAAACTAAACATTTTATCGAAGGAAATTTGGCAACTCTCGAATGTTCATACGGCGTTCTTCCTTAGCACGGCAGTTCACTCGTCCTGTCGTGTTAAGGAAAAACGCAGTATGAGCCTTCAGGCGTTGCCAAATGTCCTATGATAAATCACTGATTTTCTAGAAAATTTGTGCATATTTTTCTTCAAATTTCTCAGATAATTTTGTTTGTAATTTGATCTGAAAAGTCTGAAAATTTCAATGAAAAATATTGTCAATTTGCAGCCTAAAAAATAAACATTTTACCGGAGAAAATTTGGCAACGTCTGAAGGCTTATAGGGCGTTCTTCCTTAGCACGGCAGTACACTGGTGTGCTAAATAAAAACGCCGTATGAACCTTCAGGCGTTGCCAAATTTGCTTTGATAAAACACGACTTTCCCAGTAAATTTTTGAATATTTTCCTCCCAATTTTTCAGATAATTTAGTTCGCAATTTTACCTAAATATCCTGAAACTATAAAGGGAAAATATCTATAACTTTCCTAAAAAATAAACATTTTATCGAAGGAAATTTGGCAACTCTTCAATGTTCATACGGCGTTCTTCCTTAGCACGGCAGTACACTCGTCGCTGTCATGCAATGGAAAAACGCCGTATGAGCTATCTCAAAGTTGCCTAATTTCGCCCGACATCGCAAAAAATGGTTCTGTTCAATTCATAGGGTTCCTGCACTTCCTTTGTTACAGCTAGAGAAGTTTCCGATATGAGGAAAAAGCACTCTATGTTCACGACCGGAATTCTGTTCTCACAGCAAAAAAGTTCCGTAAGTATAACGAAGAAAGTGCAGGAGCCTGTGAATAGAGGGTTCTGTTGTAGCACCGACTATTTTTTTCGTGAAGAAATGAATTTTAAAGAAAGTTAAGAATACTTTTCCTTGGAATTTCCTAATGCGCTGGATTGAAATGAAACCCTCATTTCAAAAACTACTCATCTCGGAAAAATTGAATTTTTCGGAAGACGACAAAAAATGCGTAACAGCCAGAAAATGAGTGTTTCTTCCTTAAATAATGTACATTGAAAGAAACCTAAGTTGGGTCGTTTTCGAACTGAGAGATTCAATTCCGAGCGATATTCTCTCAAAAATTTAAAGACATATATTCAATTTTTCAAAAAATTCAAATTGCAATCTTGCCGAATCGAACTACAGTTAAGACGAAACCCTGTTTAAATCGAAAATTCCTGCGTTTTGTAGTCACCGCCATGGGCGCAGTGTAAAAAAACTACGATTAAGACGAATATGTGACTTTCATTTTGTCAAGGATGAAAAGTTGCTAAAGTCGAGGAAAAGTTTTCGGAAAACCTGACAAAAATTCGATTTTTTACGAGGGAAATCAAGAGAGAGGAGCGATCTAAAAAGAATAAAAAAATATTTCAAGTAAAGATGCATGAACGTGCCTGAAATTTGAAGAAAGTACGAAAGTAAGAGCATCAAAATTTGTAACTTTTGACATCCTTCGATGATTTGTTGGAAGCAAAGAGATAAAATTAGGAAACCACGTAAATTTGAAATTTGTGATAGATTTTTGAAAAATTTAAAAAAAAAGGAAGAAGATACTTAAAGTCACTTAAAGCTCGTGTTTTCGAGTTTAATAAGCAGGAAACTGGATGAGACAAAAAGCCGCGTAAGTCGACATTTCTCTCAGTCCCTGAACGATTCGACTTAGTGACACTGTATTTTATTATGGGAAATTTGGCAATCTGAAAATGCACGGTGTTTTTCCTCATGACGGAAGTATGCCTTTGCCTTCATGCTGCTGGCCGTCGATCATCTTCGCCTGAATGGCTGAATTTCTTGCAAAATGGGCGGAAGTCCATTTCGCTTTCAAAGTTGACCGTTGGTTTAAAAAAAAAAAAAAAAAAAAAAAAAAAAAAAAAAAAATACTATCCTTGCAGAATACGTTCAAAATATGTATTATGCTCGTTTATGGGAAAATTAACCGCATGTTTCAAAATTTTCAAAATTATTGGTGTCTGTCTCCGCTAGGAGGTTTCATCGAAATTTCAATCTCAGGTTTCTGAAAGGCCATCAGAAGCCCTGAATCCTAAACTGTAAGGGCCTCATGACTCCTAAAATCCCAGTTTCAGGACCTCTCCAATCCTCCAAAATCCTCAAGACTGCAGGGGCCCCCAAATTATTTGATTGGACCGCTCGCAGAGTGGAAAAATTTAAAAGAAGTAGGTATTTTAACAGAAATAAAAAAAATCAGGGGGCCCTTGGAGCACCCCACTACCCCGGCCAATTCGGCCCTGCCTCAGTGTTGCATTTTTTCCCCTCTGAACAGAGCAGTCTGCTAGTTTTGGAGTTAAGTTGTTGATTTTTTTATATTTTTCCTTTCTGCCGTTATGCGTGTTGCTCATTGGATGTAAAATACGCTGGACATTTTTGTCAGAAAAGAGCCTGATTTCCCGGAAGAAGAGAAATTGAATCTCTCAGCTTTACATCGACCTAGATGAAATTTTTCAGGAGACGATAAAAATAGCGTCAGAAAAGGGTTGTTTCTACGCAAAAAAATGAACATCGTAAAGAACTCGATTTTTCGAACTAAGAGATTCGATTATTATAAAGGTTGGAAAAAAATATAAGAAAATAAAGGGGGGGAAAAAAAAAATGAGAGTAAGGTTCGAGACGACGCAACCAAGATATTATGAACCGAGCAAGTTTCGAACACTTCAGACAGGGCTCGCTCAATGAGCTCCATCTTCCCGAGATGAAGAAAATTACGAGAGAATCGAGAGAAAAGATGTAGGTTTCTCAAACTTGAGGGGTAGGTAGGTATACTTTATGTGTAGGCATGGTATAAGTGGTAATGCAGAAAGGAGGAAAGATGGTTTTAAGGTCTGAGGGGGAGGGATCGGGCCCCGAAGATTTTATTACAGAATCATATTACCCCTCTAAGGTTGAGCAATCATTTTCCTCCATCCTATTGTTAGACTGGGCCGTCAATGTGTCGAGAAGACTGCTCTTTCTGAAGGCGAAGCATAGCTCAGAGCTCCGGTGCACCTTGCTTTGCTGTTGCAAGATACGGTAACATGTGGGGAGTATAAACAAACGGCTTTGTATAGTGTTACTGTGGTAGGAGTTAAATGGTTCAGTGGTGGGGATGCAGGCGCATGCTTCGGAGGGGAACTGAGTTAGTATGTAATTGTGATTCAGGTCCTCGCCTGCTCCACCGGGCCAGTCGCGAGAGAAATGTCGAGCGCGAAGCGTCTGTGCTGTTCGCGCGTCGGCGGTCCCAGCACCAGCAGTTCTTCATCTTTGCTCGAAAGTAGTTCTAATTATTTGTTTTTGTTCGGTAGTGTGCCTCCCCAAAATGATTCGACCCACCGTCGCGGAAAGTGCCCGGATACGCTCCTCGATATCACAGCCAAAGTGGTCGCAGAGAATATTCCTTTCCAAAGAATCGAGGAGCGATACGATAGGATCCCCGAGCCTGTGCAAAGACGGATCATTTATTGGTCTTTCCCCCGTGATGAAAGGGATATTTGTATGTATTCCTCCTTATCCCGTGTCCCCTCAGTGACTTCCAGTGGTGAACATCTATCATTTTACAAAGGATTAAAGCTCCTCGAGTCAGGATGTGTCGACAGTGTGCTGCAAGTTGGTGAGTAGTGCCTCATTTTCCCCAGTTTTCAGGCCAAGCAATCTCAATCGAGAAAATATTGGTTCCTGTTGGCTATTACCATAGAATTCACCTTTCATTACTAGTTTAAATCATCTCAAAATCGTCAGGTTAAGACTTAATGACCCACCCCACCCTCATGAGCTCCGTGCTATCTCCGATCAGCTATAACGCATTCCGAGTACGCCCCATGACTCAGCGTGGCTCAGTACTTCGAAAGCAATATCTGTAGGAATTTGGAAGTGTCTTGACGGCCTTACCTCGATCGTATCGGGTAATTTCCGGACAATTCGTTTCTCCAAACAACATCCGCTTAACGACTGCGTTCATATTGGATGGAAGCTTCGTTTTAATTAATTCTAGGTAAATTTCGACCCAGTGGCGACAAAGCCATAGGCGTGTTGTGTCCTAGTTAATCTAGTGCATCCTCTTACGAAATTGAGAAAAAGTAAAAACAGGACAGATTCTGTTCACTCCCAGTCACTCTGCAACACGCTTGGTCGCCATTTGCTGCTAGCTCTCTCGTCCACCTTTCAGATCTTTTCCTCGCATGGATTTTTACGTTGCATGCTAACCCGTGTCGGTCTAGGATCTCAATTCGACTCAAGTCTGTGCCCTTCCTCGTCAAATCCTCACTATTGAGATGTTATCAATGGGTCTTCTCTATCGATAACTGTGTTGGGTCCCTGTTTTCGAGGCAGCAGTTGAATTTTACAGGAAGGAGCTTCAAGCCTCCTTTGAAGAGGAACTTATTTTCAACCAGCAATTTTGAGTCAAATGGGCTATCAATTTCCTGTTGCCCTCAAGCCGTTAGCCCAAATTCGAATTTATCATACTGCTACCCAGGATAACAGTTGAAAGTCATAAGAAGGTGAAAAACCTCTATGTTATCCTGGTCTCATAATCTTCGGTTTGTATAGGCAATTTCGATTTCTTGAAACAAGTCTAATCAAAACTGGAGACGGTGAGGAGTTTTTAACGATGAATCTGTGTTTGTGTGTGTATTCAAATTGAGTCCAGAACGCGAAAGGCTCAGCTTTGACCACAAACAAGTTGAGACAAGATTCTGAAAGTCTCAGTTTTGAAAATTTAATACCCATGTACATTGTTTACTCGATCGTTTGATCCAGTAGAACACAAGCTATCTCTGTAAAAATGGATTCACTTCTTACAACAAGCTACTTATTTTCTCCTTCCATTTGACCACTAGACTAGAGCAATCAGATACTTCACCTTAGCTCAACAGGCTCTTGTTGTATAAAGTCAACTTGGAGCAGTACTTACCTAGTGTTTGATTCACTTAAAAATGCATGGTCGAGGAAAATTTGTTTGTCAGCGTAGGTTTTTATTTTAGACTTTCCTCTTACATACACATCACAAACTGAGAAAGAACGTGGGTCAATATTGGACACCAAGGTTTTTCAGTTCTGATAACCGAAGTTTTCGGCCTCTGAAACTGAACTTCGGTTCAGTTAAGTAACCGGAAACTGTGCTTACGTACCTGAACTGAAAAACTTTGGTAAGTATTTTACAAGAACCCCTGTGGGTTCAGTGGAACCCATGAAATCCAGTTCCTGTTCCCCAAGCTTTCTTCTCAGAGTCCAGATGTGAAATACTTGCAGTCAGTATTGTTACCTAGAACGGCAAAGGACCACGGGAAAATAGGTTCAAGGCGTTATTTTTTTCCTGAATAAGTCTCTGGTCCAGGAGAATCGATTGCCCTGAACGAGCTAAAACTAACTCCTGCTCACTTGATTTAAAAATGTTCAATGCCTCTTTTACAAAACGCTGCTTACTTTAGTGGTGATTTGCTGCAAATGCCTGACAGTGTTTTCATTGATTCTCGCCTTTATAATCAACCCCCTAAATAAGAAGGACCTTGGATTGCAAGATCCAGAGCCATCCAACTAAGCTAATTACCAGTGTTGGTATCTCTGCACAGCGAATGTGGCAACTCAGTATCCTTCACAGACCTATTAGAGTTCCATCTGTGCAATTCACATTCACAATAATATACAACCTTCTCATACCCTATTCGCCGGCGAAGTGGTTCTTTATTGTATGTATGAGGCTGTAAATGCGAGGTCAAGCATTCCAGCAGTTAGATTTTAGCCCTCTCCTCATCTTGTCTTGCGGATACGAATTGTGAGGGTCGTTTTTCTTTCTCTTTGATCATCTATGTGACCGTGAGCTAAGTTTTGTATGATGTTAGGAAAATTTTACAAAAATAAATAAACACACACTGGAAAATAAAAACACTTTGGATCCAGAGTCCAGACTCTTAAAAACATCTACAAGAAAAAATACTCTTGATTCAATCAGATTTAAGCTTAAATCAAGAACCAAGCCTCTTAATTTGAGCGGATTTCCTTTTGATTTACGCTCAAATCTGCTTGAATCAAGAGTCCTTTTTCTTGTCAATGTTTTCAAGAGTCTGGACTCTAGATTCAATGTGTTTTTTTTCCCAAAGTAATAATTGCTATCATTAGGTAATCGTTTTTGAAAATGGTTCAGTTTTTTACTTAGTACTTTTAACATCGTACCTGCGTTTCTTTTTTCCTAATATCCTCATGCCCATGATTCTTTGAATGACTCGGGCAAAATTTTTTTGGCTGATCGTACTTGTAGTGACGAGTTGGGGGGGGGGGGGGGTGTCTTTTTTTTTTAACTTCCATCTGCTTTAGATCATCCTTCATTCTCCATGCTCATGGAAGCCTCTTGATTTTCCAGAATGTGAGTTCCTGGTTCTCTATCAATCCTCAAATTCTCTCTTACCTTTAAAATTTCATTTTGTGCAATCTACTCGGATAATCCCCACGATTTTTTAACTATCGCCTAGCTGGGAGTGATCTCTTGATGAAATCACTGTCTCCAGATTTTTGAATTGGGCTTCATTTTGTGAGAACAAGCCATCATTTCTGGCTCAGTTGGGCAGATGCAAGTAGAATCCGCCTTACTACACTATACCTTGCTCCATTTCATCTCAGGTCCTATGTTTTTGACGCGCAAAGCTAGGCAATATTACTTCTTGAAAACGCACGAACTATCCCTTACTCATCCAAGGGAATTCCCATCAAGTTTCAAGGCGTTATATTGTTCAGTTTCATGTTACTTAAGTGAAAAATTAAACATGAGAAGAAATTAGGCAACATGCAGTGTAGTCAGATCACCCTAGATAGTGGATACCTGAATACGTTCATTTCAGAACCGACGTTTGGCCCCTTGCTATTAGTTTCCCAACATGAAAATATGTTTTTGGATCAGGAATGGTCCGTATCGCAAAATGAGGTTAAATTTTGATTACCTACGAAGTCTTTGCACAGCTTCTATGGAGCTACTTAAACAAGGACTCTGATTTTTCGTCAGGAGTTGAACCGCAAAGCAGTCAGGTATAGACCTCGAGTACTCTATAATCAAGATATTCTATAGTATAGTTTGGAATAGTAGCGTGCCTATGTTCCAGCTATACCTCCAGCTTTATCATTCGAACAGGAGCCATAATCGCCAGAGTTCTACTCTGCTAGCAAATAAACGCGTAACTACACCTGAAACCTAACGAAAATCCGCTGTTTTTCTTTTCATAGCTTTGAAGAACGGTCATCATCTGGGCAGAAGAAAGAAGGACAGGCCTGCTAAAACAAAGGTAGGGGTTAAGCAGGTGAACAAAGAGAGATGGTCTAGTAGCCGTGGAAACTAATTTATTCACGTAACTGAATCGTGTCAGTTTGGAGAACTAAATCAGGTGTTTTCAAAGGATTTTGATATTCGAGGAAACGCGTTATTTTTGTCCAACCACGGGTGTAGACGGCGCGTTTTTCTCCCACACTCTACATCCGTCACGTCGAGCTGTTTTGGGTACTGAGAAAAATAACTCTTGTCACAATGGGATCGTTTACTCGCACTGCATCTGATAGTGTTGAGTTGGTGATAATTTTATCAGGGCATCGACAAAGCTCTATTTTAAGATGGATTGATTCTATTTACCTACCTACGTACAATGAAATCGCAAAATCCTCAACATTTTCAATTCGCATCAGGGTAGTCTCAAAATGCAACTAAAATGCAATTAATTTCTCAAAATGTTCCAGGGAGAGCCACGAAAGTGTCTGGGAAAAATTATTCGTTCACCTTCATTAGCCTTCTAGAATTTTGACGTTTAGAACGACAGATTTTACCTGCAAACTATTTCAAACTATGTCTTTTTGTCATTATTTGCATTCTGATTTTGCATATATTCAATTGTCAGGGAATTTTACTGAAATGTGTCAGGTAATTTCATTTTCTAAATTTTGTGGCAACCCTGTTGAACAATATAAAGCAAAACATTCACAGGCTTTGCTGCGTCGACCTATATTTTATGGGGAGAAATTTGGCAGGATCAGAGCGTTCTTACGCCGTTCGTCTTAAGCACGACCGTGTCGTCGTTTGAAACGCAAATTATGAGACTGCTTATTCCATAGAAAAAACGCAACAACTCGAGTTTTTATCATGATTCTTGGCAGAGGACAAGGAGAAGCTTTCTCGAAGCCTTGTCGAATCGGGGGCGAAAAAAACCCCGCGATTCGTGTGCGAGTCTGCTCCATATTTCTGCCGTACAAAAAAGTGAGCTGATGGAACTGGCCCAAGGAAGAACGCCGTATGAGCTTTCAGGCGTTGACAAATCTCCTTTGATGGAACACGAATTTTCCAGTAAACTTATGAATATTTTTCCTCCAATTTTTTAGACAATTTCGTTCGTAATTCGTTCTAAAAAGTCTGGAAAATCCAAGGGTAAATATTCATAACTTTCTTCAAAAATTAATATCTTTCGAGAGGAAGTTTGGCAACATCGAATGCTCATACGGCGTTTTTTCTTAGGACGGCAGCGTCGTGGTGGTACCTCGCAGACATATTCACGACGGACGGGGACAAGGTTTGCTTTCACCTGAAATCGGAAGACAGAAAAAAGGTTAAGAGCCATGAATCCAAGTTGAGCGAGGCCC